CGTCGGATTTGTTTCCCTCATTCAGAAACTAAACAATTTTTTTATTAATTTCATTTATTTACATATAAAGTGTAACTTAAAATGTGAAATTCCTAGTGCGATATAAATTGCCAATGCTAAATGTCTATATTTCGGATTCTTTAATAATTAAAAATACGTTTGCCTGCTTATTTTGAGGCAATGTGAAAAACCGTGAAAATCAATTATGCAATTATCCGATGAAAATTATTGTGCATGTATCATCACAATTGTAATAATCAGTAAAGTAATTTCTATATCTTATTCCCGGATGAGTTCTCCCGCTCCAGCATCCCGCAGAGCTGCATGAAGACGTGCTCGGCTACCACCAGTTCTCTCCTTCCACAGTCTTAGAACCACCCCAAGGGCTTTCTGGTAGTTTCCGCCTTGCAATGCTAAGACCATGGCCCCTTGATTGCAGAGTAGGCCGAGCGAGTTACAGAGAATGCAGTATTTAGATGATAGGAACGAGCTTGAAAGCTCGTCAAGCTGATCATCAGTAACAAACCTGAGTGAATTCAAGGAAGAGGAAATATATGTTTGTATGTTATTTCCCTTGTTCATTGTCCAATACTCTAAAATAGTCATAAGGTCGAGACGTCGAGTAGGTATTTAAGGAGAGGACAACAGATTTTCTTTTCTTTTTTCTTTTACAAAAAAAAATAACAATCCATACCTTGGATATGGAAACATTTTTATTGTATTCTTTGACTTTGCATGTTTTTTTTTTAGGAAGCACTGATTAAATTTAATTCAATTCGGTATCACCAAAAAGAAAAATGTTACGGAATTACGTAAACAGAAACAGAACGAAAAGGGAAGAAGGAAGAAGAAAACTAAGCAAAAAAGAAATAAAAATAAGAAAGCGAAGAGGAAGCAGGAGAGTTAGAACGAAAGGAGAAAAGAAGATACTATAAATAGACTGTTCGCCAACATAACCCGACTTATCTATCATGCCGGTGAATTTCCGTTTGGTCTACAACCAGTTCGTCTACTACCCAATCGGTCTATTCCTTATGGTCTTCCCCCAGAACAATTTCATCTACTTTTTCATATGTCTATGACTTTTTAGGTATAACAGACAGTAAGTCTATTAATCATTTGATGATTATTATTATTTATGATTAAATGATTATTAGACTGTAATGTATAGCACATTACTAGTTGTAGGCCAAGGCCAAGCGGCTATAAACAATCTTCTTCGTGAGTGTTTGAGCGCCACCTACGTTCCTTGAACGCTACAGTCAATTCGCCCTTAATTCGACATGTCGAGTGGTACAATGGGACCTAATATTAGGGACTTTTATGGGACTTTTATATTAGGGACGTGTAACGTCCATTCAAGGCAGTGCATTAAAAGGACGTCGATCGTAGCAATCCCCATTGTCTTCGTGCGAATCTAAAAGTCCATATTATTACTGTTACAATTCAACCATCGGCCGTCCAAGCCACTTAAAAAAAAAAAACAAGAATACTTTGCTTTTAATCTTTATGCTTACATTTCTGTGACAGTCATGCTGCTAGATTATGCTGATGATGATGCACCTTCAAGAAGATTTATGAAAAACAATAAGCAGATCGTGTCATCAACTTTTCCACCTGAAAAATAAAATAACAAATAAAGGTGATGAAATAAAAGAAAGTAGTAGTAGTAGGAGTATTACTGCTAGTAGTAGTAGTAGTAGTAGGAGTAGTAGTAGTAGTAGTAGTAGTAGTAGTAGTAGTAGTAGTAGGAGTAGTAGTAGTAGTAGTAGTAGTAGTAGTAGTAGTAGTTGTTGTTCTTGATGTTGTTCTTGCTGTTGTAGATACAGAAGACGATTTGAGTATAAACCTTCTATTAATCGGATAAAAGCGGTACTGTAATATAAATGGATATTAAAATAAATAGTAGATGATACATTGATTTTCATGGTTAAAATAGTATTGGCATCTTACCTGAGGTCTGTTGTATCTCTGATACACTATAACATGTGTGCTTTACCTGAGAGCTAAGGGAGTGTCCTTTCTACTAGGCTGCTAGTAGTGAAGTGGCTTGGAAGTTCAAAGCAGTGACATTCTTCCTATAGTGGTAATGGTATGCTTCAGTTATCCAGCTATTGTCCTATTGTCACTGGCTGGTATGTATATTATATTGGCATGTATATTACATTGGCATGTGCATTACATTGGTATGCATTGCAGCTGGCATGTATATTATTTTGTTATATATACATAACAATGTCCTCTTTCAATCTTTTCAATGATGTGAGTTTACTGTCAGTGGCATACATGTATATTACCTAGTATGTGTCACATTATTACATGTTCAATGTTGCATCCATTCATTGTTATGATCACTCAACGGCTGTTGTTATGCATACTGCACTATTATTCAATAAAACGCCCTCCTGTGGGGGAACCTAATTGTATCGATTTAGTCAAAACAGATACTATAATTATGAAGAAAAAGATTCCACAGTCATCTACACAATCATTAAACAAAATCAAGAGTCCCTATTTCTCTCTAAACTATTCAGGTCATGATTCCAATAAATCATGATGTCCATCTATGTTATGTCTCTCTCTCTCTCTCTCTCTCCTTCTCACTTTCAGCAGAAATCAGATATGAGAAAGTGGTATTGCAACGGTACTTACATGAATCACAACTCTACAACACTTTTACATTGACACCATCAGGTAGAAGGCTAGACCATTGTGTCAACAGTCGAATCAGGGATATGTGAGTTCCCTGGTCGAATCATTACAATACTCATCCCATGCAGTCTATACTTGGGCATGGTTCCAATACAGACAGTTCAGTACAGACACTTCAAGCAATAAATAATCATGATAAAATAATGAATTGTCGATTACAATCGCTTCGTACTTTAAACCCTTTTCAGATTAGCATTGTTGCTCATGTTGTTAACATTAATATCATTTGGTGGGGTGTCCAAAGTTCACGTAAATATTTAAAACAAATTTTGGTATGTAATATTTGGTCCATGATATTTCATATCATACACAAATTTGTTTTGATCAATTACTACCTAATGATCAGCAAAAATTCTTGACTACAAATAGTGCAACTAGAATATTTATCGTCAAAAGGATTCCAGCGATATCGCGATCTCCAAATTCGATGTTGGATTGGCTTGCGTAGCAAGTGAAGAAAAGGTCATAACACCTTAATTCGCGCATGAAAGTTCACAGGTGATTTATCCGAAAGAGCGATCAACCAATGATAAGATGATTACATGAATTGGAAGGGTAAATATCATACAATCAATTGGTATCGCTATTTACTAATAATGTTGATGCCATTTACTCTCAAAATCAAGATCTCCAGACCCTAAACGATAAGTTCATATTTTTTTGAACGGACGTTCCTCTTCCAATTGGTAATATCAGATTTTCGAAATCTTGCCGATAATTTTGAGACATGGAACTGTACGTGAAATGAGGTGACACTTCCATACGTGTCAATGTTGGGAGAGTTGGTGAGTGAGCGAGTGAGTCACATAGAGAGAGAGAGAGAGAGAGAGAGAGAGAGAGAGAGATTGAAAAATGGGAGGGATGATGGAGAGAGAGGGCATTGTAATGTAGGCCTACAAATATTGGCACACAGAAACTACAATAATATGCAATTGCAATATATGAAGACGCTCAGAATTAAAAATATATATAATAATTTACTACAACTTGGTCGACTCTGACAAATATAAATTAACGTCTTGTCAAAATTAGTTGGGTTCGACCTCCTTTTATAGGTCTTTTAATAACTATAAAACTATAAAAACTTACACCATTGTATGATTATAGAGGTCACCTCGTCACGTACAAGTCAATACCAATAAGATGAAAAGTGAAAGAGCGCCACCTATACTCACTCCCCCTTCTCTCTCTCTCTCTTTCTTTCTTTCTCTCTCTCTCTCTCTCTCTCTCTCTTACATACTCTTATCTCTTTTTCTATATCCCTACGTATGTTTCTCCCTCTCATCTTCTCCATACCAATCTCCCTCTCCCTCGCTACCTATGCTCCCCTCTCTGACACCCCACCCAAACGCCCACACACACACACACACACACACACGCACACACACACGGTCACATACACATCCCACTCTGCATACTTTTCTTTAAAGAGAAAGGATATTTCAGTAAGCACTGGCTATGCCACGGCTTCATGTAATTACAATGTTTAATCGTTAACAAAAAGTAGTAGTAGTAGTAGTAGTAGTAGTAGTAGTAGTAGTAGTAGTATTAAGTATTTGGCTTTGTCTGTCTGTCTGTGACTGGGAGGGGAAAAGTTAACTGAATAACTTTGGAATAACTGATTGGGGTTGTTAGGCCGTATGGACCACGTACACCGGGATCTATATATAATACACTTATTACTAATAATGCAGTGGGTTCTTAATGAACAAAGGTGGTGACTCTCCTCTAAATGGGGCTCCCATTCAACGTCCTATCCGAATAAAGAGTGTTCTCCACGATAACGTAGCATGCGTCTAAGAAACAGGGGATAGTGATCTCCCTTGGTTGGATTCCAAGTTCCAACCCACTGTATTTGGCTTGACAGGTAGACGTTTTACCGACTGAGCCAACTCACCTCCTAACTCAAACTATTATTAACCTGAGTGTGTTATATCATGTCTCACTATTATTATATCTTTGACTGATTAATGAAAAGCAATGGATGTACTCAAAGATACAAGTCAAACCAATTGGGATCTACATTGATTGGAAGAAAATCCACTTTTCTCTTTTTCATCCAACATGACTGTTTGTTTAATGAGCCGCATATCGAAGCCATATTATACAGTATTTACATTCATCTGATCTTTCGATACAAAATGTCCACCCCTTCCCTTATCATAGTTTGCTTTTAAAGTGAAAGAGCACCCTCTTATTTCCTTCAGATCACCCCCCCCCCCCCCCATTACTCATTCGGGACTATAAAGGGACTCCTGGCGAATAAAAGCGCCAGTTACGATTCCTCATCGGTGATAGATGGTTAGCTCCTCGGGATGATCATGCGAAGGAGTGTTAGGAGCATCATATATATTTGATGATGTGGCTTCATTAAGATCAACCTGACAAAATGGCCACGGATAAACAAAATGAATGCTCATGTTCCTTCCATATCAGAATCCTCTACTTTGCTTTTTCAATTCTCTGTTTTCTCACAATTTCGATGTTTGTGCTAACATTCTGCTACGTAACGCAATTGCGAGAAACCAGGCTCTGTCTCCCCGAAGCTTCAGGGGAACCCTACGTTCGAGGAACCGCTACCATTTCTCAAAGCGATCGCTCGCAACGTGAGTTTGCTGGAATGGGAGGACACCCAAATGCTAACACTTTAAATGAAAATTTTCATCAAATTTTCGAAGATGGAAATGATTTGGAAGCTGAGAAAGGCAGAAAGCATGGTGCGGAAAAAGGAGAAAATGGGATTTACAGTGAGAAAACTAGGAACTTGAGCGCAATCAGAGAGGAAGATGGGGATATTTCTCGGCGAGCTAGAAGGAATGTGAATGGAGCGGATGGTAGAAGGCTTCAAGTATTAGCAACAGTGCCCATATCTATTCCCGTAAGTATATAAATTAATTCCCTTTCTACCCATAATTTTGAATATGTCACATTAAGCGCTAATAACAGATGCTGAAATATATAGAGGAACTTTACTCACATAATCCTATACGCACTGTGTTATCATTTGGCTTATATTTTTGTCTCATATTTTTTTTTTAGTTGCGGCTAATTGTTTGATCATGTTTTGTTGTATCATATCTTATACTGTTCATACCAAATTTGTAATTTAGAGATCTTTCTTGAAAAACAGTATCGAAATCACTGATGAAGTCACCCTGGTAGAAAATAAATATTAACAAGAATAAATAGGAGCGCGTACATATGTGAATAGTCTGCTGCTCACCATCATTCTGCTTGTGGCTCCCGACTTGAAGAGGATTAGGGAACGGGTATCAGATGGTAGAGCCCCCATCATCAGGTTCACCTCTTCACCTTTTGTCCTAGTCTGGAGTAGTTGACAGCTTTTTCGTTCTCTCTCTCTCTCTCTCTCTCTCACTCACTCTCTCTGACTTAAAATAATATAAGCGGGTGTCGTAATCTTCTTCATACGAATTAAATTTTGTGTATTAAATTGGACATGTAATCCAAGTGTGTGAGCGGCGATACCCCGCCATAAAAGTGTAGATACACGACGAAACGAAAAAGAACACAGAACAAAAACTCCTCCTCGTCACTCTCGATAAAATAAAAAATAAAGGTCGTGACAGAGAAAGAATGCATTGAAGAAGAGAGTGGGAGAGAAATGAAAAATATGCAGAGAAATTACTAGAATGAGGAGCTAAAGACTGTTACAGGTAAAGAGAAAGAGAGTGAGGGGAGAAGTGGCATTGAGGGCGATTTTCTGAGAGGGCCTTTTAAAGTAAACGAATTCAGTTTTTACACCCATCTGACACCAATGACACTCATACCAGATTAAAAGAAAATGTTAATGTCTTCTTGCACTATCATGATAAGTTTTGTCGTCTCCCACAGCAACGCTCCATTCTCGGCTTCCATTACAGCGTTTGAAGAATTCAAAACCAATTCAGTTTTCAGACACAAATTTGTTACCTCTGGAGTAAGAGATCTATTTTTGTAAAAATGGTATCTAGATGAAAATTCCTTGTTTGGGGAAAATCAACTTAGCATGGTTGACACCCCAACCTTTTGAAAAAAGCAAGTGAGTGACTGAACCATTGGTAACTATGAAAGGTTGTTCTTGTGTCGGCAGGTACGGTGATGAAGTCTGGTTTATTATTACTATTCACAATTTGTTTCTACTTGTCAGAAAATGTTTATTTTGCTGAATGTTGATCTGACATAAATACATTTTGCAAATTGTTTACTCATTCTCCTAGCATCGAAACTCAACAGGGACAACATCAAAATGACGGTTTGTATCCGGTTCTAAATTTAAGGGGGCAACCAAGTTGCTACGTTCATCCGATAAATATTACTATTAAGCCTTAACCTTTGACTCAGAAACAATCGCTCACTCTGCTGAAGATATAAGAAAGTTTTGTGGGCAGCAACAATACAATCCATTATCACTACACAGCTGTAAACGACTTTCGGCGCTTGTCTCCAGAACTTTTACTTTTACGCTCATCCTCTAATGAGTTGTGCAGAATAAAACACAAAATTGTTGTCAAAATTAGAAGGGGGTGGTGATCAAAATATGTTAGACGTATTCACCACTTTTACTAAATACTTTCTTCCTATAATAAGAACGCATATAATAAACACAGCAGTATTTGACGGAGTCCCACTGTTACGTCAATACCACTTAGGCCCGGGCTAATAATGATTGTCTTCAAAATTGTTTTGACCTAGAAACATGGCTGTCTCAGTTTCTACTTCATACACGTTATCAACTGTAAACAAGGTATTGCAGACATTATGAATTTTCTTTTTAGGATGTCCTGGTTTTACTAAACCACCCCGAAAAAAAGAAAGCCTGTAGGCCTTTAAAAAAAATGTTAATCATATTTTATTTCCCTCCTTCTGTTGAGTGAGACGCTGATCTGCCATTGACTGATGAGTGTAGTTCTTATACACTTGCACAGTGCGTCGTAGTGAGTGAAATATTGAAAATGATGACAAGCTTTTGACGTCTACAAACATTGACCTGCATGACTCCCACTTCATGCATTGAAGGTATTCTTGAACAGCGGAAGGAACTGGTGGTGCCGTAATATATATCTGCCAGAATTAATGCGATTGTGACTTTACATGTAAAATAAATTTATGTTTCCTGTTGATAATTACATGGTATGTAATTTGAAAGTGGGGATTGAAATGAAATCTTTAACGTGTCATGATAATGATGTGATATTATTTACCTGCGATATCCTAATCATTATCGAAGTGTACTGCATGCAGCTACCATTACCCCCCAGCACTGCCAGGTATCCCCATTAAATGCACTTGGTTTCAAAGGGACGAATCGAGTTAAAACACATTGTCCAAGGATATCAGCACTGAGCAAGGACCTCTCTTATGAGGGTATACCTAGGGAACCTCTCCCCCTAGACAGGCGCGGATCCACGTAGATGGGGGGGGGGGGGGAGGGGGCCTGACCAAAAAAAGCAGTTTAAAAAAAGATGGTAACCACAAATTTACCTTTATCATGTTTTTGGGGGGGGATGTTGAGTAAAGAAAAAAAAAGGAAAAGATTTTATTTTTAGTGCAGACCGTGGGAGGGGGGGGGGGTGGCCCACGGTCTGCGCGATTTGTAAATTTCTGCCCCCCCCCCCCATTGCAAAATCCTGGATCCGCCACTGCCCCTAGCTGTTTGATGTAAGAATACACCTAAATATAGTTATTACATTGGGGCGTGGGTATGTCTTATTCAATATCATTATTTGATAAGATCAAAAAATAACTTTCGTTTCCATATTAATGCCACGGTCATAATGGATTTGACCACCGCTATAAACCATTTGTCACCATCCCCACGGGTTTTCAATGCCAATTACCCCCCCCCCCCTCTTTCCTCCTCATCCTCCACTTTCCTCACTTTTGGCTAAGTAATTTACACCCTTTCCATTCATCATGTACTCACCAAAATGTCAAAGAGATGCATCTCCTTCATGACAAGACAATCGCCTAGAGAAATGTTCATGGATATGTTTTCCTGCCAGATTGGATGTTTTTTATGTTAGTAGTAGGACGTCCGTGACATAGATACGTTCATGAACCTCTGGCAAGGGACAAACATATAGTTATACCATCTGATGGTTGGGTATCGTGCCTGAAGAAACGGACCTGATACCTAATCTCAATCAGGAAAACATTCATTATTTTTGCGAAGATTCAACCATCTTCTATTTGTATTAAAGTTGCATAGTTTTTTTCAAGACGGCAGTTTCGACATTTGCCTCTTCAATTGTTGGATTTGAGCATCCAGGCACGTTGTCATAAACTATTCTTAATTTTAGTGAACATCACTGCGTCCTCCAATTATCACGATGACAATTTCGTAATACACTCTGCAGTATACATACGTAACGACTGCCTGAATCAGTAGGCGTGCGAGTTGCAGATTAACCAACAGATATTTAATTAACAAGGTGTTATTTAAACACTTTACGATTATGTGAATGTAAGTGAGAAAGGGGACACTGATTTACTGTGAGAATAAAGGGTAAAACGCTATTTATTCTTCATTTTTGTTGTTAAAAAATGGAAATAAAATCATATGATACTTCATTCACTGAATTCTCCTTTTTTGAGGTAGGGGGGGGGGGGTGGAGCAGGGATGCCCGTGCTCCTTTTTATTTATTTTTAATCTCCCCTTTCCTCCTACTACTGCTCCCGCTCTACATCATACTCCCCCACCTTCTCCTCTCTATTCATAATTATGATCATTCTGTACAGTCATCTTGGAAAAACCTGGCTTCATAGTTCTTATAAAACACTGGGTAGTTGCCATATACTGTAGGCCAAATTCTTCTCACAGAGAGACGGCCTTGTTGCAATCAGTCTAGTCAGGTCACTAGGGATATCACTTGTGTCTAAACAAAATCCACTAGCCACCCAGCACGTGAAATGGAATTTATCAAGTTGAATATCGCCAGAAATATTTGTAGAATAAACACAACTTTCGTGCACGCTCCCATAAACTTGGGATCAATGGAAGTCTCGGGCCAAGCCTCTTATTCCACGCGAGTTGGTTTTGGGAAAGAAACTTGCTTTACGTCGTTCTAAAATTTATTGTTGTCTACAGTACAACCATGCAGGAACGCTCCAGGAACATTATTTCCAATGAAAGAAGAAGGGAGGAACTTGAAATTGTGTCAGACGGAATTCGTTCATATTTTTTTCCTTCACTTTGACCTGCTTAAAATTCCAACAGAAAATCGAATGCACATGGTTATTTGCACAATCAAAATCAGAGACCCAAAACAGTTTCTGAATGTTGAAATTGTTGGTCATCAGCGGTTAGGGTCGATCACAGTGATCATGATGACATATAAATGCAGTGAGATAATGCCCAATTATAGTGGAGAGATGTGACACTAGATACAAAGGAAAGGTAAATAGTGTTATTTGAACCTATTCTTGGGTGTGCGTGTGAGTGTGGGTACATGCACGTGTATGTACAATCGGGTGTAAATATTGCTTTCCAACGCATAGTAACTTTAACATCTTCATAGTTTTATTTTGGGTTGCATTTCGAGAACTTCAATCCTCACTGACTGCCATAGAATCCCTGACTGAACTATAAACTTATGCTTATGATTATGTAAGAGTGTTTTTCTGGAATATTTTTTGGAGTGAATGAAATTTATTTTAACAAAATAGGAACTTAGATATACCCCCCCCTAATTATGCTTGTTATAGAAGATGTAAACCCTGTCAACCCCATGGTCTGTATTCCAATGATTTAGTTAAACCCGACACTGGGTCTAAGAAATCACACTAACTTCCCTTGTTAAAACTATTTTAAACGATAACTTAGTATAAGCTCAACGTCGGATTTAACTATTAGAAGAATAGGGGCCAATCAATATTTGTGAAGATTATATTTTTATTAGCAATGTTAGATACAGTAAACATCCCTGATGTATGCCCCTGGCGACAGGGTTTCCATCCCTTTGAGTGATAAATCTTTGTATGTTGTAGTCCTCTCCCGGCTATGAACGGCTCAAGTTAGGTAGCCTAGGGGATTCATAGAGAAGTGTGTATTGATCTGAAGCTCACGCCAATAACCCCCGCCATCTCCGAAGGCGGGATGATCGGTCAATTCCTTATGGGTAAATCACACTCTGGTGTCCTCCCGAAGGTCATAAGGTGATCTTTGTATTCTATTTCCCTAACAGATATGATGTGTTTGTGCTTGATGCTATCATCCCAACTATAAGGGGGGCGGGGTGGCGGGGGGGGGGGGTGAACTCGTCTTCATGTATCTGTATTCTTGCTCCTCTGTTTGACTGGTTATAATATTTTCTTTACACATAGGAATAATCCAAATTTGATTTTCACAAGTTTTTCTCTTGGTGTTTAAGTAAAGCTGTTATTTTGATATCTGTGCTGTATAATTTTAATTCGCATTTGGAATCGAATGATATATCCCCCTTAGAAAAGAATGCATCAATACCGATTAATGCAAGGGGTAACAATCGAGCTTATTGGAACATTGTTAGAATGAGCTCTGATTGATTAAGGTAATTTCATGCCCCTTGTCGGAGTAATACATAACCAGAAAAACAGCGCCGTTTAGGGGATCCCTTAGATAAATAGCAATAGTTACACAAGCTATTGTTCGCGGAAAATTAAGTATGGACGAATTGCTATTAGCGTCAAAAGATGATTTACAGCACTTCATTTTAAGTGTGATTGAATGAGAGAGACAGGGAAAGAATGAAGAAAGAATGGAAGGAAAGAAGGAAGAAAGAAAGAGAAGTAAGACAGACAAAACGGAGAATGAGGAACAGAGCCTGTCGAACTCGACCTCATTCGGAGTTCACAATACCTACCATCTGTAAATCATGTAAGTCACTGATTGTTGTTGGTGTCGAAAGGTGAACAAACGAACAGATTCTTGGCAAAATCCTGCTATTCTTACAGTGGATCCAATTAACATTCAAGTCGGCCTTTTATGGTAGCTTTTGTAGCTTTGTAACACCAACACCAAATCGGGCTAATGGGATTTTTCTCGTTCTAAAAGTTGTGGAATGAGGGCGAATGACATGGGCTGGTCATATTTAAAAAAAATCAAGTATATTGAGGGATGAAGTTTCAGGAATGGAACCGGCCTGTGCGTTTACGGATATGTCGATTTGTTGTTTTTGTTTAATAAATCCAGGGGGCATGTATTGTGATTTAGGGTTTATCATGTTTATGAGATAATAATGGATTCCGTGTGTACCACCATAATATGGGGGTACGCTTTCTTAGCAGTCAGGTAAAATAACCACCACTACACACACAAACACACCCACGCACACACACACACACACGCGCGCACACTATTGTCTAACATTCAAGGCCTCTGAAATGTTTCTTTTCGGCCAATACACAAGAACCAGATCTTTTTTCCTGAAGGGTATAGTACAGTATATCATCTACTTGAAATTATCTCTCAAACTGTTTTTTGAAGAATATTCGCAACAAAAAACATGGTTTTGTCCGCAAGTAGCTGAAATCTTACTCTCTCGATTCGTATAACATCATCCTTCCCATCATCCACTCTTATCGCCGTTTCGTCAATAACTAAACAAATCTTTAGGACTTTCCCGTAATCATCCTGCACGTACAGAGGTCAAGTAAACGAAGTACCTTGGCATAGTTTCCCCTAATCCCCGGCGGTGAGACGGAGAGGCGTTAGGCGACGTCCACTTACCGGTAGCAGTCGAGCATGAATGCTAACAACATGATCTTCACCTGTTGCTATAGCAACGCGATGAAGTTTTCATCTGGATATTGGAGTACTGGCATGTGCTTGGAGGTTTAGGAGGTTAGGCTGCGCACGTGGAGCGGAAAACTAAACTGCTCAGAGAGGATGATTGTGGCACAAACAACCCTTATTAAATCATATACTTCAACATGTCCGTCCAAATGATGTAGTTTGTATGGTATATCGGATAACATGCATGAAGGGCTCCACCGTAGGGAATTCCCTGGCTATCGTTTAACTTCATATTATGATACCATCTGTCTTATGAATAAAAACATTATAATCATATAGAGTACAATATTGTCCTCCAACTCGCATGGAAATTTGCCAAAATATCGCTGTCATGGGTATAGCCGTCATCACTTGCACCTCAGAAGACCTCAGAGAAAGCAACCTCACATTATGTTGCATTCCGCCACATATGCACTGATACCACCCCTCCCCCACTCAAGCACGTACACACACACTCACCCACACACGCACGCATCCAAACACACACGCCCACACTCTTCCCACATGATATGACATTATGTCGCATTAGTATGTTCAACTCAACGTTCAAGGTTCCAACATTGGCCTTTGTCATATTCCCTAGCTCTTCAGTGATCCATCATATGTTTCTTGTACTTCAGTCACACCGCCAAATCGACTGCAAAACAACTCAAAAATTACTCTTGCATATATAATTTGGTGTCATATTGTGAGTAGGCTTTAAAACACAGTGTTGATTAATTAGTAAGGTGTATGGTTTTCATATAACAAATTAATTGTTATTCGTGCATTACATTTTCTTCCCATACATAGAGCACACGGAAATTGCGACTTTTCCTAAACCACTGTACAATGCGCTCCACAAAGTATAAGCATCTCTTGATAGCTCCATGGTATAAGGGTCTGTTAAGTAATGATAACCCATTCATCATATTGAATAAAAATATTGTGTAACCTATATTATATTGAATATGAAATTGATATGCTGTAGCAATGACCCCTCTAGTAGTCGATCAAAGCCAAGAAATCCAATCTAAATACATTTCACGATTAGGAAGGTTTAACTGGGTAACGGATTTTACTAAAACATTTACATCGTTTACACCTCTATCATACATTATGGATTATTGTGTCCCACAGCCTTGCCCTTGGCACCAATGTGCAGATGCTGTATTTCATATTCCACGGTCCCAGCGGTGACATTACTGGCTGATGAATGCTTCAAACTTTGAAAGGCATAATATATCAATGTTTAGTGTAGTGGGACTTTGCAAGTAAGTAACTGAAGATGGCCGCGATCAGCCCATGGAAGAATGCAGACAAAGCTCTGACTGCGCAAAAAGAACTAAACATCAGTGCTGAGCAGGGTGACCCAGGGTTTAGGAACAAGATCATGTGAACTACATTTTCATTTAGAACTAAGTCCTTTGATGGATGGGGCATGTTAGAAAGCAGGGAGGAGATAGCTCATAGCGAGCGATGGGCAGAAAACATACATTGAATACACCCACAGGTTTTACCAGGGAGGTCCCTCCCACCTCCATGGCTGTACCCAATAACACCGACGACAACGACACTTCACCGACATCAAACCGATCAAAACATTATATTAAATCGAATGGCCAAACGTCCAATCGTTCTAGAATCGGTTGAGAGCTAGTTTGGTGGTGTGACGGAAGTATTACGGTGAGGTTGGAGGATCCTTCTAGTTTTAAGAACAATCTTCCTGTACAGAAAATAACAAAATTTCTGCCAACGTTTTTCCTCTGTCTCGTGATGAAATTCCAGTAACGTATGACGTGCATTAAACTTTCACCTTTTGGTGTCAACAAACATAAATATCATTCAGGTGACAAAGATGATTGCAATACATTGAACTCTCCAAAAGTTGGGAATATTTCAGGAAAAAAAATCATTCTTGAGACTTGTAAGGTGATTTGATATGAAATATACATCTTTTGAAAGAAGTTTAACACTTTATTTCTTTCTTGCGCTGTTTAGCTTTCAGGTGACAAGAATAAGTGCAATACATTGAACCGTCTGAAAGTGAAAATACGTTGAAAATTCATTGTTAAAAATTTGAGAAACTGGTTTAATATGTTTTCAATCAGGAAGAATTTAATTAAAAAAATTATCTCTTCCTTTTCTTTCTCCAGCTTTCTTCAATAGCAAACGTATGCAACTGGACAAACGGAGAATGCCCAACAGGTAACATTACTATTATCATGATTATAGTTATGGTATTAACTTTCTTTGTTTGGCATGTGGGAAAAGGAAATTTGTTCTTGAAGTATATACTTTTGTAAATATATCAATGACAAATAGGGTTTATTTGAGAATATCGGGAAATGGTAAAGAGCTGAGATCTCTCAACCTTGAATATCCTGGATGAAAGCATTTCGGAAATTATTTATTCTCCCACGATATTAAACCCCTTCTCATAGTAATTTATGTTTGAGACTATCGCATATCTTTTTAAAAATCTGATCCCCCAACATTAAATAATGATTTTGCTGAAGAATTATTCTGATAACAAGCTGCATTAACCTATAAATTATTGTAATATGGAACCATTTACTGATTTTTATTTTAATAATGACCAATAATATAGCGCTCATATCTGCCAGGTGGTGAGGCACATGGCGCTTAGACATTATTAACCTGGTTATATAGCCGAGCCACCAATATAAAGTAACTAGCGTTTACACCTCACCACTTCAACACATTTACACCTGAGTTGCAAATGTAGATTAGCCTCTTGCCAAAGGACGTTAAAACGGGCTGGGATTTGAACCCCGTACCTTGTGATCTATAGACGCTAATGTATCACCAAGCTTTAACTGTCTTGGTAATACTTCTGTGCACAACTGATAATATAAACCCTAACGAACTCTCTCATAGCTCTTCCCGGTGTCACCTGATCCTAGAAAGCCAGCCAGAAAATCTAGGATGGCTTTTATCAGTGTATTCCATCTACCGGGGGACTAGGCTCGCTTAGTTACTGATTCTTATCATTTGAGGGTAAAGAACAGACCTCTTCAAACTCAATTTAAGTCGCTCTTCAGTCACAATCTATCCGCCACTCCTCTTCCTTTTAGAGATACAGTGATCTTCCAGGAAGCTTATATGTTCCTCACGTTCATGTCTCGAATAACGATCTTGTGGAGATACGGTTAACCGTGCCTTAAGAAGGTAACACTCGCTTTACATCAGTATAGTTGCAAAGCTGGGAAGTAGATCCTTCATAGTGGTTCCTTTAAGGTGCTGTTTAAAGATTTAATATAAAATTGAAGGTGACATGACAAAATGCACTGAACACAATCTACTGGCCAATACCTCTCTATCATTTCTAATGTATACTACATCTGCAAAAAGAGCTGATCCGTGTACACCTAAGGTTGTGTATAAGATTGAGAATTACACTGAGAATGACACGACACAAAATTACTCTATACACAATCTATACGCCACTATCTACACTTACATATTTACTGCAACTGCAAAGTGAAGATGTCCTCTTAATTAGTTGGAAGGTGCTGTAACACTCTACGAATTACAAGACACGGTTAAATTGGAAGCAGTTTGGTACACAAGCACACACATACCCACGCATGCTCATATACAAACAAACAGAGACACGCACACGAAGTTCAATGATCCTTAGAAAATGGTACATTTATTTGTAAACTTCGAATGAAGGTACATTTTGGTTCTGGTAAATGATCATAGACAACAAGTACGAAACGTATGCTTGATCATATTGATTGATATTAGATTATGTCATCCCCTTTTCCGTGCTTGAAACATTCTAAAAGGTTTCATGCAAAAACCATCGACTTTTATTTCATTATTACCAAGAATGTTACCCAGTACCTTTAAACTAACTTAGGCATGCTAGGAAACCTGTAGCAAAGGTATCTCATTGGAGCGCATCTCTAGAGGAATTTAAGTAGAGCGGCCGGGTTCTTTTTGATGTCGATAATACCAGTTAGATGTTATCATGTCACACAATCGAGTAGGAGTCGGCCATATCAAACACCTCCTCCATTCACTAGTGAATTCCAGCTTGAGATTACATTTCGAGAATCACTCGATATGGCGCAATATAAACGTGGCGAACAAGCAGTCGCTGTTGCCCAGGGTTTTTCCCTGGCGGATTACATTTGGCAGCTTCATATCGTGTTGTTATTAGGCATCATGACGGTAAAATAAGAAGTTTGAAAGCTTAAAGTGAACCGGTAACGTTGTTGTAGGTTGATGAAAAAACTGCGTAATTTCTGTATGATATGTTACTTATTATATTTTTTTACTGTATTAACCCTCTAACATGAAAACAAAACCTGAAAACAATTCTCAAACCACAGAGATAATTATGGTTTTTTTTTAAGGCTTTACTGTGCAACACCTCTAATATTTCATTTTCCCAACCGTTTTTTCCATGAAAATAACACATAAAACAGGCTTTAACAAATCTTTCAAGATTGAAATATGTGGAATGGTATATAGAGAAAATTCATTGCATTGTAAAGATTCACATTCAGCTACATTTTAATCTTAATATAATAATAATAGTTGGGAGAATTAAGAAATCGATCAAATAATTTTCCCCCAATTTTTATCATTAATAATGGTCTGTTTTCACTCAAACTCAAACCTGTATATTTCTTATCTGAACAATGTTACAAATTCCCTTTAAATGATTTACTTGTAGCTTTATAAAGATGATCGATAGATTGACCCTTTAATTATTGGTACCTTTTTATTCTGCAAAAGGGGGCCAAAAACAATCAAAAACGTTGTGTCTACGCCCTTTTGATCTTAAACTGACAAAAATATACATGTATAAGTATTTGATGTTACAGTATATTAACAAGTAGTGAATGTAGATTTTAGAGGTGTTAGTTATTTTTTATTATCATTATAATCAATTTTTGGGGCGACCATATTTCTTTTTGATTGACACTTCAACAACTAGCTCAGCCCATCTCCATGTTCAGTGACGATTTAAAAAAAACATATCCATGTTTTGATATACCTTACAATTTTACTCCAGAGACCGGGATACTTCTTACCTCTATCATATTCGGACTAAAGTTTGTATATCCCTGCTTCGTGTATGCAGCTTATGGCGTCCCTTATTATCAGGCAATACGATCTCTTGGTTATATCATGTACTACGTTTCCTAATCATCTGTCAATCTTGCGACTATCTTACCCACCGTGACCCTTGCATTTCTTCACACTCAAGCTGACAATTTCACTCAATTAAACGCTTAATTATAGGAAGCATGGCGTTCCCTAATTCAATCAGGCATCACAGATGACAAAAACATGAGGGGGGGGGGCTTTATGTTTTTCTAATCGGTCAAAATTAAGACCTCGTGGACAATGTATTCCGAGAAACGGTGTAGCATTTTACTTTTCCGCTGTATTTAACATTAAAACGTATATTAAAAACGCTGATGTACTTGTTTTCTTCATAAATGATAGCTAAATTTATTAAATACAAATTTTAATTTACTATGCAATTAGCTTCCCAAATTTCGTGGATGAATTTGATTGCACGATAATAAGTGCTAACATCATCTAGTTGAGTACAGCGGAATCCCTAAATCCTACATCTCTTTACCTTTTTGTACCTCGTTTTGTTCATCCTCTTCGCTTCCACACTGCTGTATTTATAATGCTATTATCTATCGTAGATGTAGACTTATTACATGGTTTTCAGCATAGCCGGATAATAGAAAACTACGGGGGCATTTGGCTAGAAATGTATATAAAAAAGATGTGCCTAGACTAGGTCTTTCAGTACAGCCAAATATTATATACAATTTATTCAAGGACCAGCTGGAGAAAGTTGATGTCTTGATCACCATATACTTACAAGTATTATTTTCTAACACACCAGTGGGAAATTGCCAAACTTGCAACAGAATGCAATACGCATTATCCATTTAAGCAGGTTCATATTGAGCTGGGTTAAAATGCGTAAAAGAAGAGGAGATATGGACATAATGACTGATTGTCAAATATATTTTGTTTGACTTATCGCCCATCATTCAAATCTCGAATCCGCTTCGGGAATATTTTATAACTTGCTAATGTGTATTCAACACTAGATTGATATGGTGACCTTGACTCTTCGATTGCAGCTGATAACCGGTCAAAAGCTTCCTAAGTACTTTTCAAATCCCTATTGACAGAAGAGGAAACGGTATTACTGAGTGTGCATATTATGAGGAGAGGACTAGAATAAAGTATAGATAACTTTTATAGGGAATTTCACAAAGCCCATTAGAGCACTAGATACAAATTTTAATAAACAGATGACAGAATGATAGATGACAAAAAAATATCCGAAGTACGAGGAAAATGGATTGCAAATCGGTAATCATATGGACAATTTTATGAGACAGATTATGCAATAAGTATGGGAATAAGTATCAGAAATACTTGGTATTATATTGGCAAAACAGTTTTAAGATCTGAATAATTTTGCAAGAGATATTGTAATGTAAAAATGAATGTTTTCAGATGAACCCAAACTGCTGTAAATAGCTGTATATATCTGCACAGTTTTCACCAAACGAACTCTATATGACCCTTCCTCTTGTCAGTTAATGAGAAAATGTCTCTCTTCTTTTGGCAGAGGACCAGATAATTTCGATATAACTTTAAGACACAAGCAAGGCTGTCGCGACACTTAATAACTAGGGAACGAAAATACGAACTCTATTAAGAAATGTCAAAGTTGTTTTAATTACTTCAAGGAAAAAGAAACCACCCATCCCCTCCTCTTTCTCTCTCTTTCTCTCTCTCTCTCTCTCTCTCTCTCTCTCGTCCTCTCTCTCCCTCTCTCTCTCCCGTCCCCTCTCTCTCTCTCTATATATATATATATCTATCTCTCTCTTTCTCACACACAAACACACGCGCACCCTCACATACACACACACCCGCACACGCACACACACGCACACACACACACACGCACACACACTCATATTCAGAGCACATTTGGCCAATGCTTGATCACGAGAACTCTCGATGTCATAATTTCAATTGTTTATCTAATAGGCAAATGACATTTACTTTAGATCACCTTTTGGTCTGTCAATATATACACATTCCATTCTTGACAAACTTAGCAATGTGTAATTCTTTTTCAACCATTAGGGATTTTAATGGCAATCTAAATACGAGTAAGAGGCAAAAGTGCTATACTTATGATATATTATATGGTGATGTTATGATTTTGTTATTGGTGTAGTACATGATTGGTTTTATATTTGTTTGGCTGTGAAGCGACAAAATGTCAGATTGACGAATGTTACTCTTTGAATTTTAATAAGTTCTTTAATCGCACGAAATTCAGAGACTTTTCTTGAAACAATTACAGTCGAATAAAGTTAATAGATAGGAAACGTCTTTACTTTTGAGGAAGTGGTATGATTTATACCAAACCTTAGCCTCTCATCTTACACCCATCCATTTGACAGTGTGTGGCCAGAATGACTTTGAATAAAGCTAGTTGAAGATTGAACGATCAAAGATCTAACCAAAATGACAAATATGAATGCATGAATGAAGCTCTAACAGAGATGACAAAGTTGAATGCTGTTTCTAAAATTGGACTCACTTTGATGACAATGATAGGTTCCTTGTGATAGATCCCATAATATATTTTAGATGGTAACCCGCCCAGCCAATGCATTATTCTTTGTATGGAACACTTTTGCATGAGGGTAATTTATTCATATTTTTCCCGGATATTCCTTCCTTTTGTATTTTGTCATATCTCTAAGAGTGTAGAAAGGATTATGGGGATTGTCAAGTCGTTTCCTAACACCTGTTGACTATTAACATCAGACTAAGGGACAGCTGTATCATATGATATGACTACGTGGGTGTCCTGTTGATACATAGAAAGATACATTCTATATAGATCAACATATGAAGTTGAATCTAGGAAATAGAAGTGATTGGTGTAGTGTAAGTTCCTAGTGACACGCCTACAATACATACGCACAGGTCAATGGCAAATTTACACTACACACGCGTACATTTGTCCCACAAACTCCCAATTGTGTGTTTACTCTCGTTGATGAATAAGTGGAAAGCGAGATAATGGACCCCTATGGCTTTGAAAACGACTTAGAAATTCTCATTTTCATCTGAGCAAACATTTTAACGTCAAAAAACAAATTTTGGTGGGAGCAGAAAACCATCATACTCGGGAATTAATGAGTGGACAAACTGAAACCTGAGAAGTGCCAGGATTGTTTTCCACCCATTGGGTCGAGATTGTCGTGTTGATTCTCACGAAGCGATCTTGGTATCTTTGATTTCTAGATGATCTTGAGAAATAGTATTTGTGAGGAACGTTTTTCTTCCTTGCCCATCCAATGGTACCCAGAGGAGACGTATGCACCCTCCCTTCCATGTTAAGGCCTAGGCACAATTTAACAAACTTGCAGTGGCTCATTTTACGAAATAAACAGCATTACCGTTGTCAGTTTGATCAGCAGTCATATTGGTACAGTAACAATGATTAATACCATAGGCAAATTACAAAATTCCCCCACCCCTACAAAGCACTCAAAACATTGTTAAAGATCAAAATTATATTTATCTTGCCTTGTGCTCAATATTGAAAAGGCACTGTTACAACTAGATGGCCATCGCGCGCTTTCTCTCTTTATCCACATTGCATAATGTTAGTAATAAAAGCGATTTGTATGAATTGCGGTCACAACTTCATTCAACGTTTTCTTTTTTTAAATGAAGCCATTAAGTAAGCAGGGAGATGGTATAAGACCTTCGTGTGCCTGGTTTTGTCACCGTCAAAGTCTCCTTAGGGTATACTTTTACAGTTGTACTTCTCTTGAATACAGAGAGCTCTATTCGGAATGAAGAAAATAATGTTTTGTTTGCTAAAAAGGTTTGTCTTTTGTCCCTTTGATGGGTCTTGGCATTGCTCGTCTGCTTAGTTTTGTTCTTTTCATCTCGGAGGAGGAGTAAATCCTCGTATTTGACTGTTTTCAGTAATAGAACGCTTTCTTGTCTTCTTTTGTTTCGCTTTCTGTCTCCCCCTCACACTCTCTCCCTCGCGTATCACAACCATTTCCCTCTTTTGGTTTCAATACGTCTTTTAAATATTCTCTTCTATATCGCTTTTGTCTTCTTTATTTGTCTTTCCCACTCAGTCTGATTTACGCTTTCCCTCATCTACCGTTACTAAAATTAGACACAAAAGATATATAAATAGAGAGGAAAAGGGGATAGAGAGGGCAAGAGGGGTAAGGGTCGGGGAGAGGGAGACAGAGGGAGAGGGAGAAGAAACGAGAGAGAGAGAGGAAGAGAGAGAGAGAGAGAAAGAGACAGACAGAGAGAGAGAGAGAGAGAGAGGGAGAGAGAGTGCTAGAGAGAGAGAGAGAGAACGAGAGGGTGGAGAGATATAATTTCATATATATATTTATATCTATAATTAGAGGGAGAGAGAGATAGAGAAGGAAGGGAAAGAGTTTAATGGAGTAGGGAAAGCAGAGGGAAGAAATATATTATTAATCATGCAGCCTTTTCACACACAGCTAACATTCTATAAACATGATTAGTTTAAAGGGCTTTAAACTAATCACCTGTACATACGACATGATATTATGGAATGCACACGCAAGCCCTTCCAGTTTTCATACTGCCATACGTAAGCAATGACAGTTTTCCATGTATCCCTTACTTCAATTATCAGACCAGGAGAAGATAAGCAAGCTAAGACATTGAGGAATCATGTTGGTCAGGGATGTTTGATGGGTTTGTCGCGAGCATGTTTCAGGCTGATGGAGATTTCATGTGACTTGCAATTAGAGGGATGATTTCCAGGGCGGTTTAGCAATCACTATGCCTGAATGCCAGGCAATTTGATACAATCAGATACCACACTATACGCCCGAGGCGAGGGCTCATTACTCATTAGCAATACATTCCTGATGAAAGAAATAGAAAAGAAAGATGCGTGAATAATACCATCATACATTCTAAGGTATTGAAAAGATTTGTTAACATATTCTATAAAATAGCGAAATCAATATTTAAACCCTCAAGTGCTGAAATCTGATTTATAATCCATATCAGAAACGATGATACCTATTGATATTCGATTTATCAGTTCTATTACACTTACTTTGGTAACGAAGCTGAAATGCTATAACTTTTATGATTCTCTCAACGAGACATTATTTTACAAAAAAGCAGGCTATAAACTTCTTTTTTTCTTTCTACTAATAATCCAAATGAGAAGTTGAAGCTGCACGCAAGGCACGTCACCAAAGGCAAAAAAAGAAAAAGAGATCAAATCCCCCGGAAAATAGTTCATAGCCAGAATTGCTTCCTGTGTGAAGAAAAAAAGAAAGAAGAAGAAACTGCCAAAGTCTGTTCAATCTTTCAACACTAAGTAATTACGAATCATCATCAACAAGCCAAAAATAAGAACAGTCGCTAAACATATAGCTGCAGGAATGATTTCCATATACTAGCCAATTTTCATCCCAGATATGTAAATATCCAAATAAGTCGACCCCATATTTCGCTTCTCACTTCAAGCACCAGCAAACGTCAGCTACAAGTTGTTATGTACCTCACGGTTACCAGTGACCCTTGAATAGATAGCGGGAAACAAGTTTCGTTGACGAAGAGATGACAACTCAAAAACATTTTGAGAATTATACAGCCTGTTGAAATAAGTATGACACCAGTTTGAGAGGGTGAACTTTGACAGATATCAAGAAGTGAAAAGGATTGCATTCCAACTGTCGTGATTTATATCATGATCTTGTCTTTGGGTAAACATTCTATCCACTTGCATCTTCGAGGGCAGGCATTAAAATAGTGATAACGATGACGTGTGGCAATTTCCCTGTATCTTTTCTATATACTTTCGCAATATTCTCACACTTCTGCTCATAAAATATAGGGATGGGTATGATCCTTAGATGCATATTTGACTTAGATGCCCTCATATTGTAAATATAAAAATAATACACGCTATATATATATATAATTTTGCCGCTTTGTGGCAGATTATCTTTTGTTTAATAATTAGCATGTCACCTGGGTTATTCAAATACATTTCCATCCACAAAGAATAGGCACTATTATGAATAAAGTTTCCCGCCAATAAACATGATTCAGAAACGAGCTTGGGAAAGAGGGTATACACGCACAAAGTAGAGATTGAGTTCTGTATCATATAACAAGCTTTTTATTATGACAGTGACGTAGAGTAGGTGCAGACATGGGGGGGGGGCACCGGTATCATGGAGAGGGGATGGGGTGGAGTTGGGAATGAATCCATTTATTATACTTAGTGAATGAGATGCAATTTAGTAAGGCTATTTGTTAGGGGACATTGGAGGGAGAATTTCCCTTGCCGGTTCCTAACCGCTTTTCCTTTTTTAAATTTTTTTTATTAACCTTATTTTTTCCCCGCCATTCGAACGGGGCACTTGACCCCGTGCCCCCCCCCGAAGCTACGTCACTGCATATGAAGATAAAGGTCTGATAACTATTCTATATGGTCTATCCTCACAGGTCCAAAAGGAAACCCTGGTCCTGTAGGATTGACTGGTCAAATCGGTCAGAGGGGTCTTCCTGGACCAAGAGGTAAGGTTTTGTTAAAACTATTTAAAAAAAAAACATGTAAGAAAAAAAAAAAACCAATTGTTAAAAAAAACATATTTTTTATTTTTTTAAAAATATTTTTATATCAAATTTTGTATTATTTTACCCAGAAAAAAAAAATCCTAGTCAATATTAGGCGCTGCAGCTTTGTTGTATTGTACACGTTTCCGATCTCTAGATTCATAGTCATTTTTGTTGATCAAATAATTGTCTTGATTATTTGTATACAGATAACAATAGTCAGTGGTCAATACTTTGAAGTATGCTAGAGCGCCAAAATGGCAGCACAGCTAAAGCCGGGGTAATAATCTCCAAGTTTGGAAGCGTTTAGTGATAGTAATAAGCGTTATATAAAAGCTGAGTATTATTATTATTATTATTATTATTAAGAGCTTTCGTAATATCAATTCATACATCTTCTTCTAACTTAAATCAACAACTCAAACACAAATTTTTCAATGAATAATCTCTTGCATATCTTTTCCGATTCAGCTGACTAACAATGCTTTCACTTTTTTCTTGGATGACTTTTTCTAATCCATGCAGGAGAGCCGGGTGTTCGAGGGAAGCGAGGAGATCGAGGTAAACCGAAAGCTCCCTCTGACAATTAACTGTCATTTGAATGGACTTACTATATGTAAATCATTGGAAAGTAGTTTGTTTTATAATCGGATTACTTGTCGTCTGAAAAAAAAGAAGATTACATATTGATAAGATATTTTCAATTATTCAGCAGTATCAATCCGATTTCGATATTGTATAGCCAGTTGGCGTATTTCATTGTGTTCAATTTCCATGTTGATTCCTGCACGCTTGACACGCTTTGAAATTTGTTGCTCTCTTTAATAAACTCTTTCATGTTAATTTTACGCATCGTTATTTGACCCTCTTTTCGTTTAATTTTGAACTAATTTCTTCTTGTACTTATTATTTTATACTCTCCCTTTCCCTGATTATATCTTGCTTTTTCTCTTCCCCTTCTCTCCCCTTCTCCCTCTCTCTCTCTCCTACTCTCCCTCTCACTCTCTCTCTTATATCTGTCTCTCCTTCCCTTTTCTCTCTCTCATCTCTCTTTCTCCCCCCCCCTCCCCTTCTCTCTTTCCCTCTCTTTCTCTCTCCAGGACCCAAGGGCCAAGCGGGAGAAAATGGAGATCGAGGGGCTCGTGGTGAAAAAGGTGAGGGTCACTATGGATCTTTCGTCAAAGAACGGGAAAAGAACCAATGTTACAGTGTTTTTGTTATTATACGCCTGCAGGGTTTGTTTAAAGATTTATTCATGTTTCAATTCTTACTCCAAAGAAACCGAAGTTTGTTTGGGAGCGTGCACATTCGGTGACGGGTCAGAAAGTGTAAGATTTAGTAACATTGTAAGCTACTTAAGTTGAAATTTAAGAATGTGTTGTCGGGATTTTATTTTAGATAATGTAACTTCGTTCAATGTATCACAAATTAGCCTAGCCTGTATTATGTTCTCCCAACCTACAGTTATGTGAGTTTTACGAACGCTTTTTTTCTCACAAATGACGAGAAGTAGAATGTTATTGCGGCTTGTGGCATTTCAGGAACATTATATAGTATCAGTTCCGTATGATATGTGTTGATATGAATTGTTCTTTTAATATGCTACAATGGGGATATATGCAAGAAAATTGTGATATTGTATGCTGCTCAGAAATCAGCATGAGGTATGGACGACCCAATGTTTAAGAGTACCTTACAAAGTTAGAATTTTCTTCAAATACCGCTCTTAAAAATGATTTACTTCTATGTTGGCTTTCAGTCACTGTGTTACAATATATGTAGTATAAAGAACACTGTTAAATAAACATCGTAACAGGATGAATAATTCATTGATCGGAAGCTTAAAATCAAACTATTCATCCAAGGATAAGCTTTAAAGTATTCGAGCGGGGTTTTCCTTTAGTTTGTCGGGTACTGTTTTTTTGCTCCATTAAGGCATGCAGACCCGGTAGTCTAAATCCTTCACCAGAGCCACACGCTCCTATTGTGGCCTAGTCCTAAAATAATATTTATAGAAATCAAAGCTGGAAAGAAAGGGAACTCGGAAAATATAAAGGAATATTGTATGAGAAATTTTAGCGTCATGCGCTACCACGAAAACCCGATTTGCGTGAAGCTTTGAAGAAATAATTCCTGGTCAAATCCCACGACGTTATTTGCACTTTCTATTACTTTGCCTTCAATCAAAAGACCTTCAGAAAGAATTTGTAAAACTACTGCAAATACATTTTTTATTTTAATATTGATATAAGTATAGGCGCCGAGTTGAGAATAAAGCGAGGTGACATATCGCTTGTATTTCATTTAAAACTTGATGAAAATGCTATGAAATTAAGCTGAAGTATATGGAGAGGTAAACGACCGAAAGGGAATGTCACCAAATACTATTGGAGACAAAATGGTGTATGCATTGCCGGATGCATTATTCATCAACGAATTTATCAAAACGTTTTTAAACATCTATTGCATATGAAGTATGTTGCAATCATTAAACAAAATGTTAATTATATTGATATACCAACAGAAAATAACGTTTAGTACACAAGATCTGTTTACTTTCTCAGGTATTTTTGTATTTAAGAAAATGAGACTTTGGCATAACCATAGGATATGTTAATGACAAATTTTCTTAAAGTTTGTGGTCGAACATGTGCTGTGAGAAATAAAGAAAATCCTGTTTATGAAACACAAGTGTGATTACGGACAGTTATAAGGATAGTGCTTCATTAATTTTTGCAATGAAAATGGTGTCAATTCATATTTTAATTAAGAGAGTCATTGATCTTGTTAACGGGGGTGATTTTTAAAGACAAAAGTGAAGAATTAACGGAGTCTACGGTAAAGAAACATCTTCGTTGACGTAGCAAGAAGGAATACCGTTCTTTAAGCTTCCACCGTGTAAGCTTTACACTTTGTATGGGTAGCTCTTCTATCATAATAGACACGCGAATTACAGGGATGACCGTCTTTCAAATGAAAAGAGAGGTATGGGTCAAGAGAAAAAACGAGATGCAGAAATTGACCAATCTGTCCTGGGACATGAAATCTGATGGAGCCTGTTCCACACACCTACACGTGTTAAGTGCATTTGCCATGGAAATGTTTTGCTAACACCCAGCTAAGCTGTGAGGTTTTCCAACTCCCAAATGTTTACCTTTACAGAGGGTCACCTGTTGCGATAAGTGACGTTTCTATAGGAGCCTGGGATAAAGGCTAGCCTGCAGGGAGGAGCACGAATTGAAAGAATAGAAAACAGTTTCCAGGTCTCGTTTTGGTTCAACGTTGACCCAAATTTCAAGATTGGAATAGAGTTTTAAAATGATATTCCAGCTAGTGTGAAATTAGACGTGCTTAAAGACATGTAGAGCTTTGCAAAAACGAATAACGCTTGGCAATTTTATCAAGAGAATCTATATAATTAACAAAAATATCGACATAAAAATTGTACACCGTATGTGCAGCTAATTCACATGCAAACTACAAGATCAAAGGATGAAGGGTGTTTATGTGATAATATTCGCGATATCAAAACAATAAATTAGGTGATTTTGTGGGTGTGTATCAGGAGTCGTCTTGAGAAAACAGACCCTAAAGTCTCCTATAAACCTTTCAAAATCCAATTGAAGATGTGTTTGCAATCGAAATCTTCCTTTCTGCATGAATAGAGGTCCATTATTTTTAATGTCATTTTCCACAAATTTGGGGTCATTTTGGATTCCGGGTACAGTACTCGTTACACATTCATAAACGAAGTGAACATATCGTTCTCTGGATACACAATCTCTAATAATAATAATAATTCATTTTAATAAAAGAATTATACCAGTCACGAACAAAATATCGAAACCGAAAGTGTGTAGATGATTTGAAAAATGAACAGTTCCTGAAGAAACAAGCAAATCTCTAGTGACAGTAATCTACAAATAACCCGTCAGTTTTGTCATGTACCATAAATCAAATTCAAAGCGCAGACGGTTCAGACCGTCCGGGAGAAGAAAGTCTCCGTAAGTTCGTCTCTAATGTTCGACGTCTGACCCCATTATCAGAAGAGACATTCAAAATCGGCGGTGCAGACAGGATACACTGTTTTATACATTGAAACATAGGAAAAAGGCGGGAAGGGGAATGACATCACTGTTTGATGGTAATGTGTGGGGGACACCTAAAAGATGAAACACTGATAAATAATCTCTCTCGCTTTGGGGATATTAGGCCTAGCTACATGGAGTATCCATGGTCACCAATTCATTTTAATTTCACGACTTGAGTGGATACTAAAAAGTAAAATGATGGAATAGGTCTCTTGCCTTCTATCGTTATTTCATTGTAGAAACAAGACGAGAATTCAAATAGACATTTTCTAGGGTATGGAAAAGACCTGGTAGTCAATAAAAAAAAGGGGGGATTTTCGGATTTCCAGCGCTCTCTGCATGGTTTAAAAATTGGTAAATATCAGGATCCAGGATATTCCAAAAGGAGTGGGGGCTGAAGCCAACGTGTGCGTGAAGCTCGTAAGCTCGGGCCCTTATGGGTGGGGCCCAGGAGCTTGCCTTAAGGCCCCTGTCGGGGGGGGGGGGGTGGGATGGAGCCCTCATACGTTCTCGAGGTTTAGCAATTCAGAAACCCCCATTTAGCCGTATTGAGCGAGAGAAACGCCCACTCTCTTTTTAGGACGATTTCATACAGCAAAGCGTTGTCTTGGAAATCACTTCTATATTTACGGACAGTGTCCAGGAGCCTGTTTTAGGATCCCTTGTGGGTTCAAAATATGTTGCTAACAAAACAATTTGAAAATATGCCAACTTTTTTTTACCATCTTCCTTTTCTTTTTTTCAGGAGACATGGGTTTATCTGGACCACAAGGACCTCCTGGTATTCAAGGGACTCAGATTGACAACTGTTCATGCCTGGGTAAATACTATTCAACTGTTCGAAAGATACTCCTGGTGAACTCGTGTTTAGCTTGGGAGACGTCGCAAACAGAACCCGATGTAAACGTTTCTCTTGTGGTGCTTAAGAGGCACAGTGGCGTAATAAGCAAAAAAAAAAATGGGGGGGGGGGGAATATTCGCATCCCCATCAGGTGGCAAAATGGGCAATTGTTTTTAAAGGGGGGGGGGTGCGGATATTGACGATAACGGTCAAGATATGGGCCTTCAAAGTACGTTTTAGTTTTTGCATATTTTTTTTGTTTTTGTTATGTTGATTCATAAGGCTAGAGTAATTTGCATCTAACCAATGTCACTAGTTGATTGCTTACATTAATGCTCTTCACACTTTGAGCAATGAGATGATAAGTTAACATTCCACCCATTATCGCATTGATGAAAGTGTACAAAAACGTAAGAAAACACTATATGAACCAGCAAGCCATTCCATCTGATCTCGACATATCTCGGTCAGCTCAAAGTCTCCCGAATAGCCCCAAAGAGCCGACTGATATCAATCACAGAGTGTGTTCTGTGCCATGTTTAAAATAGATGCTTTAAGGATATCCTTACAATGTCTTAATGACAATATCGATATCATCGTCCACGAAAACAGGTAGACAAGGTACTTCTTACGATCGCTTCCACCTTCTGTGTATCTATCAATGATGATATCAAGATCATCCGCGAGAACTTGGTTGACTGTATCTCGCTCTACGGCACACATAATGGCCAAGGAACGGAGCCTTTCTTGTCACATCGTGTTCCCGAGGTACACTGTAGGCCTTCAATTCTTTCAATGTGCTCAGTGATCGCTCCACGGAACAAGATGTAGCAGGGATGACGTGGGTAGGATGGCGTTGAACCCTTTCTCATACAGCCAAGAAACAAGCGCCGTGCAGCCTTTCGGCAGTTCATTTTAAACGCTGCAGAGAGGATTCTTCGTTTAGCTTTGAGCAGCCCCTGATCCATCTCATAGAAAGAACACATGGTTCACAATGCCTGGTGGTCATCTACCTTAAGCTTTCTGACAGCCATCCCTCCGAATCTTCCCCAATACTTCATGATTCTTGCAACTTCCTTCAATGAAATTGTACAGCGACTGTATAACACCAAGGCAATTGCGTATTTCACAGTTGCTCGAGATACTCTGCTGCAGAGCATGATTAAGTTTGTGAACATGGCACTACTAAATAAGCATTTTTTTTTGTTGCTTGACTATGAATTTGGGAATTTATCCTTTTAAAGTATAATTTACACAAAATTGAGAAAAAACCCGGATGATCATGTCATTTTATCAACAATTGTACATCTTTGGTATCGAATTAGAAATAAACCACGTTTAAATTTTATTGGTGGTGGGGGGGGGGGGGGGACTGCCCCCCCCCCCCCCCCCATCAGTACGCCAGTGAAGAGGCGCGTCATAGATGTAATAATAACATCGCAGCATTTTGAGCCTGACATGGATAGTTGATCGCCTGAAGATTGGAAGAAACAAAATTATTGGTCTAGATTGATCATAAAATTTGTCACTACAACACTTTAACATATTACCTTTACATGTTTAAAGGCATTTCCCGACGGGCATTCGATGTGATGCACAACTTTCCAATTATTTTTGGAATCAAAGATGAAAAGACTAGACTTTCAATTAACCCTGAAACGATTAACATCAATCAAAAACATTGACACCCTTTTTTGTTTATCTGTCTGATCATGACTGTTTCTAACTACAATTATGTTTTCGACTCAATTTTTATATCTAGGCACTCGTAGATCGACAGCTGATACTCACGGTGTTGAAAGTATTCCCCTTCAAGAGCTGGAAAACAAGATGCGCAGAATTCTTCTCCAGTCATCGATCTCTGGGGTTGTCACGATCGCCAATGATACTTCAGATACAGCAGAACTCACCATTAGCAGTTTTAAATCCGTTAAGCGCAGCTCTTCCACGCCCCTGGCAACGTCATCTGGCGAGTCGACAGGTGTGCAGAATGACGTCACTGATGACGCGTATGCTGCCCAAGATTCCGAGGTTGATCTTGGAAGTGATAACCATGATGCTCGCCAACCACAGGCTCTTGATCAGGACAGGACGTTGAAGCAATCGGAAAATACTCGCCTACGAGCTGGAAATGATCGCATTGCCGAAGGCACTATTACGGACACTGCAGCGACAAAAACAGACGTGCCAACATTGTTACCAGCGCATGCACTGAGTACAGAAAGCAGGACTATGGTCTTGAACGCACAGGAGACCTCAGAGGGAAGTGGTCCGCCCTTTTCAGATAATGAAGCAGAAGAATCAGCGTTCCTCACTGGCCGTAATGGGGCGAACAACATAAACCTTGTTGACGACCAGGAAGGGATGGTCACCGAACCTTCAAAGATGACATCCGATCCTAACCTGCAGCAGATGACAACGCAGGGAAGCACCGCTGAGGGAGAAGTGACAAGGATGGGGATAGATGAACAGAAATGTGTGTATGGACGACTACTATTGATGAAATATGCATTTTTATATTTGTAATCCAATATTTCCGCTGTGTTAGTATTTTTACTCGTAAATGTGACCAAATGCTAGTTCAGTCAACTTGATAGATCTTTAACAAAAACTTATTGCATTTTACTTTTTTATGTTTTAACCTGCAGTAATGAATATATCAGCTCTTCTCCAGCGCCTCAACGAGCTCACAGCTAACAAGACGTCTCTCTTGAACTTTGTGCAGATGTCTATCGCAAAAACGGTTACCTGTGGGTGCCCCGGACCACCAGGCCCCGTGGGTCCCCAGGGAGAGGTTGGGCCAAAAGGGGATAGGGGTTTGGTCGGCCTTACAGGATCTACCGGGGATAAGGGCGAGCGTGGGTCTCTGATAGACGGTGAAGGACACATATTGCATGGTCCACCCGGACCTAAAGGAGACCAAGGCATTTCTGGTTCAAGAGGTCCTAAGGGGGATCCAGGGCTTGACGGTGTTGATGGGATAATGGGTCTACCTGGGTTCAAAGGAGAAGCTGGTCCTCGTGGTATTCTGGGTGAAGTGGGGGATCCTGGACCGATGGGAATGAAGGGTTCCAAAGGGGATATGGGTCCGATGGGAACCAGGGGCCAGATGGGTTACGATGGTCAGAAGGGTCGCAAGGGAGAAACGGGTATCATGGGACACAGAGGTGTTCCTGGATCAACAGGACCGTTTGGACCGAAAGGAATCAAAGGAGACCAGGGTGATTGATAATGGAAACCTTCTTGTCACTACGTTGTATCTTTTTCTTTCTCAAAACAAATTTTGTAATCGATTCCTTTGGATAGTACATAAGACGCCATCAAATACTAAAGGCATCGGAACAAATTTTTTTTTTGCGATGAGCCCGATTTTCCCACCAAAATGATCCTGAAATGTATACAACTAACTTTGTACTATACTAACATAATGCAACTGTGGAAATGCAATAATTTCGATCTAAATACTCTTTTAAATGTATATTTGCGTACATAAAAGATTTAAATCCCAATTGGGAAGATTTACTTAAATCCCCCCCACACCTTTGCCTACGCGCATCATTTTAAATAATAAATAATCAAGCGTTTCTATGTATCGTCAACAGCCGAAATTTAGATACATGTATTTTAAGATGACATTTGTGAGACAATATTCATGAATCCCAATTTCTACACCATGCAGGCAAGAGAGGCGAGGTAGGCTACCCCGGTCTTACGGGTTCATCTGGTCCGCCAGGAGTGCCCGGAACACCAGGCCGTGACGGAATGAAAGGGCAAAAAGGAGAAAGGCGTATTTATGTGCTCCCAGGTTCGAAATTATTTATCTATGTTTAGTAGAATATGTTATCATTATTGCACAGTCGGCCATGATAAGTGTTATATTGACTATCGTAGCTACGGATATATCATTTTCAATATCCTTCTATCATCATTTCAATTACACCACCACAACATAATATATTCCTGAACAAAAATTGCAAACGGATTGTTTATACCAAATGTCAGTCTTTTACTAACCGGATGACTGGGACGAAATAAATGTATAAATCTATTCTCTTTTTCGATCGGGTACAAAGGTACATGGTACAAGTAATATAATGATGGTACACAGAACAAAATGTTCGAGTGAACTTTTTTTTTTACAATAATCATGTAATTTTTTTTTTTACATCAGGTGGTAGTGTGCCGCCTACAGAATATTCTTCTCTCATCCCATCGGACTCGAACCCAACAACCAAGCCAGCTAACATCGAACCTGAAAAGATGTTCAAAATCTACGAACCAATCGTGAAATCACGTAAGTCTCAACATTGTGTTTGGTTATCAGATATGATGTAATTGGGGATACCTGGGACCGTCTTAAAAAACCAGTTGCGATTAATCGCAGCTTATTTGCGACTGATATCAACCCCAACTATGTACATTATATATTGAAGAGTGCAAACTTGCGATTGCTTAGAGGGCTTGCGATTGATTCGGATCAATCGCAACTCTTTATAAGACGGGGCCCAGATGGCAGACCGCCATCTTTTCATGACTACATAATGATGAGAAGGAAAACGGAAGTGTTCCAAGGATGGGACGGGATAAGGTGTAACCCCTTCCCCCTCTGTCCTCGGTTTGACGGCCCAGAAATAGATAAAATAAGTGGGTGTATGCGTAATGCGTTACAGGGTAAGGGTCGATGGCTCCTCAAAAAATGACTTTATTTTTCTCTTGTCACAGATCCTTTACACTAAATGTCCTTATAATTACTCTGCTGCCCCTGGTTTATGACACGGGGGTGCTGAATACATTCCGCCCCTTACCCCAGTCCGCCAAGGACCCCCCCCCCCCTCCCCTACACACACACACCATCTATATCTTTGTATGGATACGCCACTGGCATGGCGATACACTTCTCTCAGATTAGTAGACAAAAAAAAATGAGATTTTTTAGTTTTAACTTGTCTTCTCGTCCAAATCTAATCGGGAGGAAATACATGACCATGTCTTCCGTTTTTAATTTCTTTCTAGACTTAACAAATTCGTTGACTTGACTAATTTTTTATCCTGCGAAATTCTGAAATTTTGCTTCCGGATTATAGCATTTTGGGGCTCAAGAGCATTCTTTTACACTGTGTTTTATTCTCATTTTGGGTGGTCCTTTCGCCCCGCCCTTTCTCAGTTCGTTTTTGCAGTGGGCATGATAACATTATTGGTATCTGTATTTTTATATCTTAGAGTGCCGTTTGACGAATATTTCTTCTCCACGTGAGATACACGCTATGTCAAGATCATACGGAGCCTGGATGAAAGACACCTCTATAAATAGCAGACATCCTGATATGATATGGGTTACTATGCATCACCGTGGTGCAATACTCATAGGTAAGAATCATTTTGTGTTACTCATTCATAGTACACGTGCTGGAGCGCAACATCTAAATGTTTATAGACTGTCGGTAAATCATTGAAATTGATTTACGTTCGAAAATTTAATAAATCTGACGAACACTGTTTCGTTTTGGTAGCCGAAAATTTGACATTTATCGGTGTTTCAGTTATATAGCCTACGTTTTATAGGAGAGAGAGGGACGGGGGTTTAAGGTTGTAAAAAGAAAACTTTAAAATAAATTTCAATGTACTTCAAAATTACAAAAAGGAGGATTAAACTGAGGGTTCGAAGACAGACTATGGTCTAGACGAGAGGTTAAAAAATTGTGAAAAGGCATGTCAAACTTTGCCAACATTTTTTGCAAACGTAGTAAGTACTAGGAGAAAGGAAAAGGAACAGACCTACCTTGACAATTTGTCAATACAGTTTCACTGACTGGATGACTCTTCTTGCGCTTCTCCATAAAACAATAAATAACAAGCATATCACCCCTCCAAATTACAAATCCTTCTCTTCATGTTACGTCTCTTTCCACAGAGTACAAGAATCTTGATGAAATGAAAAGGCGTCGCCTCTCAGCAACCTTCGCATTGCCTTTCCAGTGGGATGGTGCTGGTCACGTTGTATACAATGGATCGTTCTACTATCATCATCTGAACAAAGATTATATCATTCGATATGACTTGACTACAGGATCCATTATTGAGCGCGTAAGTTTGTTAATAAGTTTTAAGTGTTCTAACTTATCACATCAGTCGTAAAGAGTCGAAAATCAACCTAGGGCAACTTTAATTGCCTTGTACATCACTTATTGAAATGTGCTAATGGTTTTAGTTATCGCGGTAAATGTTTTACAAAGTAGAATCATTTTTGGAGTGGCAATTCAATGGCATCATTGGGTGGTTTTTAACGGGGAGGGGAGGGTATTTGACCAACAAATAAAACTATTTGTTTTACAAGGCTCAAGAAAACCTGGCCGATTTGAATATTAAAGGCGGACGGGGGTTGTATTCACTCGTCAACTCTACCCTCTACCCCCCCCCCCCCCCCACGTCAACACACATTCAAAGATATACAGTCTAGATAATTCTCCTAGATATAGTGTAAAAAATTGTTTATTATCACTTGTTGTTTGTTATTTTCTTCAAAAGGCACATGTTCCATCTCTAGGTTATGCCAGCGACGACTTGTTCCAACTATCATCCGGATACACCAACGTCGATTTCGCCGTGGATGAAAACGGTCTGTGGATCATATACCCAGTCACTCGCCCTGGATCGGTCGGAAAACTCACCGTATCCAAACTCGACCCTGAATCACTGGAAATCATCACAACTATCACGACGGATCATAACTTCGAGTCAACGGCCAATGCGTTCATTGTCTGTGGAGTCTTGTACACGACCAAAGGACCGCATAGCCGACCATCGAGGGTCGATTTTGCTTTTGACTTGTTTAGAGAGGTTGTATTGGAGGATATAAGTATGAATATTCAAAACAGACATCGTAAAACTGTGATGCTTTCATATAATCCTCGAGATAGACTCCTCTATGGATGGGATAAAGGAAAACTTCTTACATATGATGTCGCCATCAAGGAATATACAGACGATTAAAAAAAACATTTTGTTCGGCATTGTGAATATGTAAGTAGTTCAAATAAAGATAATGTAGTAAAAGTAATACGAAATACCGTTTCTCAGCACTTTGCAGATATGACTACGCCGGTCATCTGATTCAATCACACACAATCACCATCTCCACTCACTGGGGAGAATTCCTACCATATGGCCACAGTGAGGGTATATGGCCATTACTAACAAAAAGGCTTTTGTCGATTATCCTATAGGTCCCAATTCCTCTCCTGGGTATGGATTAGCACATGCAGATTAATGCCATGCCAAAGGACTAATGTGCCATATCGGGTATTGAACCCACGACCATTCCATTTCGAGTCAAGTGCTTAAACCACTCGACTACAACACCTCTACAAATATCTCTTGTAACTTTTTCCTAGAAATGATACAAATATTGAATAACTAAGTTAAGATTTAACTTAAAACTGCAATTAAAGAACATGATCATAGTCCTTTAAATTGAACATTTTGGTAGATTTATGCATTTATTAACATCCGTATTCAAAGAATAAATGTTGTAATGTACAATTATCTTGTGTTTTGTGTACACTTCTTTGGCAGAAAGGGAGTACATGTATATTCAAGTGATAATAATAATAATAAAAACAATAATAATACATATTTTCCAAAGGATACAAGGCGCTGTCTCTTAGACTATCAACAATTTAAGAGGAGTTGTACAAGTACGTGATTTCAAATTTGTCTCCATTTCAATTAAAATTGATACAACAGAAATACCACTCAATTTATGTAAGATTGTATAAGATAATTTTAGTACAATCTAACCCTTGCATGTGGGGAAAATGTATCATGGTCCTTTACAAATTTGGAATACTATTTCTTGTAGCTAGAAAGGAGCCATGTAAATATTTATTTTTTGTTGAGGTGCTATAACTTATGTAAATAAAATGTAGATATGTACATAGTTTACATCTGTTAAACGTGAAGTCTTATACCTTGCACTGTATCACAATCTCACTTGTTTCTTATCTTGACTTTGATTGAATTAGATTGAATTATTATTACTGAATTGTTTGATATTTTACAAACTGTGTATCGAGGGTCCAGTGACACAAAGACGTAACTCCATATTTTGCCAAAATGAATATTTGATATCAATATGTTCAGAAAAATGTGGGCTTTCCAGGAAACACAAAGACTTAACTCCACCCAACACCCCATTGAAGTCAATGGCTAGTGAAACACAGACTTAACTCCTTAAGGCCTAAGTGCTCAGTGACACATAAACCACTTTTTCTAAAAATGGCCAAAATGGAGTTACGTCTTTGTGTCACTGACCCATCGATATGTTCTTATTACATGTAAATTTTTTCTTGTTAGTCTCTAGTCGAATTCATGTGAAGAAGTGTATTTGCTATGCAACAAACTGTCTCACTATGCTGTATATATTTATATATATATTTATGTACATGAGCTTATGTGATTTGGTTTTCCTAGGCATGTTAGGTCATGTTGTTTATTTCCCTAGTTTGAAAAAGAAGCAGTTTAGTGGAAAAATTTGAAATTTTGTTTTGAAATGGAACAACACAACCCCCCAAATCTAGTTTTAAAGCTTGATAATTAAAAACTTACATTAAAATCATTGAAACTTATATAATGTTATAAAGACTATTTTCTATTTCAGAGATGCATTTTGACAAAGTGTTTATATAATATTGGATGGCTTTGAGTATGATACAAGAATATATTGCTCGAGTTATGACAATATAAAGCGCTTCGAGACATTGTATTAAGCACTATATAAGCGGAATATTTTACCATTATTTATTTTTAACGAGTCGGAGACGAGTCCAATGTTGTCATAGCGAGAGCAATCTATTCTTGTATCACAAGAAAACAAAGCCATATGATATTGTTATTATTATCTATATCAGGCTGACTATCGAAATAACAAAATTTAATTTACCTCGGTAAATAGGCCTTTGTTTTTTGTGTGATATCGATATCGATAATTGAAGTTCCCGGATGACTGAGCAATATGAAAACAATATTTGTCAGTCATCCGAGTACTGCGCTAAAGATATTATATACACTGATTTAGTGTACCACTAGCAAGCCTTATATAGATAATATTTGAATATACCCACAAAATACTTACATAATGTACATGGACATTTATCCATGTATTTACACCCATAAAAATGATTCAAAAATTGTCTTGAGATTTCTGAAAAGCAAGATATTTTATTTACTTTTGATTTTTATCCATGTTTAACATGACAAGATAGGCAATATTAGGAGGTTTCAAGTACATGTTTTACATGAAAAGAAAAACTTGGTTATTATTTACAAAAAGTACTATACGTTCATATGACAAATGAAAGAAATAGAAAACAATTGAACCTGATCAATATCACATGAACGTAGCTCGTACTAAACTGACCAAATCTTGTCATACAGTCATTAGTATTTTTTTTTTAATTTAAAAAACCAACAACTTTTAATTGTGTATTTTGCCTGAAAAAAAAAATAAAGATAATATTGGAATAAGAGTCAGGGATCTTGATTATTTTGTTGTCCGCATCTTTTCCTGATATTTTCCATTAAAAACACTGAAATATCTTTCATACCAAGAAATGGTTTCACAAACAGTTAACCTGCATGATTTTCCTTCAATGTTTCAGATATAAATAAAGTTTGACCTAAATATCATTTAGTAATCATCCACAAAGAGTACTTCTTATTAGTGAATGTGCAGTTACAATATCATTTTAACAATGAAAAGTAAAGTCAGTGCAAATGAAGAGACATAATATTTTGAGGCACACATTTTAGATGGGAAAACATTCAATATAAATTTGTGCTGCAGGTGCTATCAATTTGCAGTTTTAGTTTACTTACAATGTAATGTATGCTCCATTGTTCCCCTTATGGAATTTGATGCATTATTATTGCAGTCATGTAATGCAAACCTTAGGAAAAGCACATTAATCCTAAGAAAGCGAAAATATTTTCACTGTATATATTTTGGACATACACCTGAAGCTGTTGTGATTTTGTAATAAACCTTCCTCGTGAATTAAAGGAACTTTGCTTTGAGCATTTCTTCCCTATGAGGAAAATTGACACTGCAATTGCTTTAACACAGATAACACACATACATGTACATTCTTTGGTGTGCAAAGTGGCATAACGTGTCTTGTGTGTAAAAACTTAGTTATATTCTACACAAATATGTTTACACTCTTAACCCTTTATTCAATTCTCTTCTATTAATGCTGGTTTTAAGACAGAATGTGCAAAATTTGGCATTATTAACTATATAAGGCTTCTGTTAAAGTGATACAATAAATCAGTGTATTTAATATCTTTAGCACAGTACCCGGATGACTGATCAATATTGTATTCGTATTGCTCAATCATTGGGGAACTTCAACTATCGATATCGATATCACATGAAAACAAAGCCATATTTATCAGGGTAAGGCAAATTTTGTTATTTCGTTAGTCGGCCTGATATAGATAATAATAATAATATAATATGGCTTTGTTTTCATGTGATACAAGAATATATTGCTCTCGCTATGACAATATATTCTTGTATCACACTCAAAGCCATCCAATGTTACATAAAAATTGTCAACCAGGATAAACGGTACGAACAGGCACATAATGTGGAAAAGAGTACATGTATATCATGATACACCCAAGATTGCAAACATAATACAGATATGCATTACTGAAATTCTGCATTTAGGATTCTCATAACTTTTTTCAGCATTAGCTAGTCGGGTCAGCCTTGATTCTCCTTAGAAATGTAACATAAGGCCCCTAACAGAATTTACTAACAAATTTCTTCCCTTGTGTATTTGAAACAAAACTTGACAGCACCGAGAAGGATTTCAGTGGGTTTGCCTTTTCTTATTCAGCTTTTGTTTATCCCTTGTCTTGTTGCAATATGGTGCCAATTACATTAAAGTCTATTAGTGCACGTGTGCTTTTCCAAGAGGAAACAAGGCACTAAAAATGTACATATCACAATTCTGTATTTCAAAGACAAAGAAATCCAGACCTACTTCCTCATTCAAAACAAAATACATGTGATGGAGAGATGCATTTTGTGAGGCACTTGGCAGAATTTTAATTTCCAAAAGTATATCCATATGTGTCATATTATCTCCCATATGATTAGGCACGTTACTTAAATGATTTGTAATTTGCACAAGGCCAGTTTTATGCTTTTGCCTAATCAGAGCAAATAAACTGTATTCTCTTGTATCTCCTGCATTGAGGTATTTCCTGAATTTAATACTGCTTCACATAATATAGGCTGTTTATCATATGTACACCAGACAAACAATCTTGAAGTTCTCTTTAATCTAATGATCACGATTCCAATTAATAAAAGTAGAAGGAGGTATGGTCTTTGTCCTTGCATACAAGCAGCCCAACAAATTCATATCCGGTACGAGCTTCATGTTTCTAGCCTCTCTGAATAGGTGATCAACAAAACCCTTGATGGGCAAGGGTAAGATCTTTGTCTTTACATGTAAGCAACCCATCCAATGTGCATTTGCCATACGTTTTTCTGGGACCCCTTTCACAAAGCCTTGTTTTAACGACAAATCACAAAAATCAGTGACAAATCTGCTGTCAACCAATCAGAAGCAAGGATTTCAGTAGCTTATAACAAAAACTGTCACTTTTGACACTGATGACAAGTTTTGTGAAACAGGCCTAGGTCTCTGGCATCTCTGATTAGGTGATGAACAATACCTTCAAGTACAGTGGTTGACTGCAAGTCTTTTACAAGTTTGCAGTCGACCCTGCCCATTCTGTCGGCAAAATTTCAGAAAAGCTGATATAAGACACATAATGAGCCAGTGGTGGCATCCTTGCCCTTGCATGTAAGCAGGCCATCCCGTGGTTTTTTTCACACATCTTAATATCCTGTAGAATCCTAGATCAACTGGGACCTGTTTCACAAAGCCTTTTTTCAATTACAAATGACAAAAATCAGTGACAAATCTGTTGTTAACCAATTAGAAGCAAGGATTTCAGTAGCTTATAACAAAAACAGTCATTTGTCACTGATGACAAGTTTTGAGAAACGCCCCCCTGATCTACGTGGAGTGACAGAGGTAGGGTAGGTGTCTTTACATGTAAGCAGCCCATCCGATGTACATCAGACACAGGTTCTTCTTGTCCGTAGCTTCTCTGATCAAGTGATCTTGTAGGATCCTAGATCAACTGATCTATGTGGAGTGACAGACGTAGGGTAGGAGTCTTTACATGTACGCAGCCCATCCGATCCTAGATCAACTGATCTATGTGGAGTGACAGACGTAGGGTAGGTGTCTTTACATGTACGCAGCCCATCCAATCCCAGATCAACTGATCTATGTGGAGTGACAGACGTAGGGTAGGTGTCTTTACATGTAAGCAGCCCATCCGATGTACATCAAACACAGGTTCTTCTTGTCCGTAGCTTCTCTGATTAAGTGATCAACGTGGCCCTCGATGGACAGGGGTAGAGTCCGTGATTTGTTCTTGATCTTCAAGATGCCCTGCAGTCTCTGCTCTATGTCACGTACATGGACCAACGCCTGGACAAGGAGAAAGATTAACCATGAGTAAATGTTACCAGAGATGCTTCAGATAGTAGTAACTTTTAAGGGCTAACTGAATTTAAAGGTAGCATTTATGTCATCATACATATAGTAAAGAGAAAACACCAGCATCATCATCATCATCATCATTCCTCCTCTTCTTCATCGTCATCACCATCATCATAATTGTCATCATCATAATTGTCATCATCACTATAACCATCATCTTCGTTAACATCACCCTCATGCACCTTCCAAGCCTGGTGCTTTTGTTAAACACCATAAAAACTGTAAGAAAATATTTGATTTGGAAATGCTTTACTGCATGTTAGGGAAAGTACATGTACATGGTTTTGCTTTAAAAGTATAAAAGCCTACACTGTACTTCAAATGGTTCAAACTTGCCTTTTCATTGTTGATTTCTCCCGATTCACTGAGAGCATTGCTTCTTCCCCTGGACGGTTTGCTCCACTCCACCAAAGGATCATAGATGAATGTCTTCAGGACACTGTATCAAACACATGTAGGAAATTCATCAAACATAACTATCATGTACGTGTAATGAAAACTGGAACTTGACGTAAATCAACAAAGCCAAAACTCTCAAATGCTGTATTGTAATGTCTAGCAATTCTATATTTAAGAGTCTAAAGAGATTGAGAGCTTCATTAGAAAGATACAGGATTTGTATCTGTATCTATAAAGAAAAGTGCACATCTGACCAACACTTCATACCCCATGGTACACACCATTATAATGGTAGACTTACCTCATGAGTGGGTCTCTCTGGTCCCTCATGACTTTCATGGTACCCTCACAGGCACGTCTGAACACCCCTTCATACCCCATGGGTCCCACAACACACACCATTAGAATGGTAAACTTACCTCATGAGGGGGTCTCTCTGGTCCCTCATGACTTTCATGGTACCTTCACAGGCGCGTCTGAACACCCCTTCATACCCCATCGGTCCCATAGCACACACCATGTTGTGAGTTAGACGGAATGGTACCCTTTCAGGCCAGTCGAACGTCTCACCCTGTAGTAAGAAAAATCATTGATCCAATTATCCTAATTTTATTTTTTTACATTTATGCCCCTAGGACAGTAACATATTGCCCCTCTCTTTGTGTGAGGTCTATGCAATGCAGAATCAAGGTTATCACCCCATTACATGTTGAAGCAGTGTTCTAAAGTGTTTCATGGACTTTAATAAAAACTTCCAGGGTTTGATTATGCCCCTAAGACAACCACCTACAGATGTCTTTCTCTACAGACATTTAGTAAATGGGTACCTGATAGGAATACTTTCAGTATTTCTATGTATATATGACAAAGGGATGGTGTAGTGTTGTTGGTTGTGGTGATGGTGTAGTAGTGTTGGTGGTGTGGTGGTGTTGGTGGTGTTGATTATGGTGGTGGTTGTGGTGCTGGTGGTGGTCTTGGTTGTGGTAGGGTTACAGGGTGGTGTTTGTAATGGTGGCATCATAATTTTCCTGAACAACCAAGTGATTCATACCTTGTTGAAGAGACAGTTGAAGTCGACATGAACGCAGTCTCCGTTGGTAGAATCAAAGAGGATGTTCTCTCCATGACGATCACCAAGACCAAGGATGTAACCAACCATGGACATCACAGCCATGGTACGAGCATAGGCAAGGCGACTCAGATACCTAGGAAGACAGGTTAAAAACATTCCTTAAAGGCATTGTTCAACATCGTTTCCAGTTTTACAAATCTGAGATGCTTAGCCCTACGTGTTATTAGTGTCTGTGATATCGTCCTTGTTTTCACGAAGTGACGGTAGTGAGGAAAATCGTAACGCAAAGTGAATGCAATTTTTTTTCACTACCGTCACTTCGTGAAAACAGCGACGATATGGTGTAACATTAAAGTTCTAAATAAATTGCGCTTCAAAATAATCTTTAAGTGCCTCAAAAAAGTAAAGATCTTCGAGTAACCGGTTTTACAATACTCATTTTCCCAAATAGTTGGTAAAACGGTTTTCAAAATTTTGAATTCCAATCATAAATGTCTTGATAATCAGACAGGCGATCGGCTAGTAAAATTCATGGGATTCCTGACTGACCTAAAGTTTATAACTATGATTGCAGCATGAGCTAAATCCAGGATTTTGTTTAGAACTGCGGCAATTATGCCCACTCCCTTTAAATATTATTACAACAAAGTAGATCTCAAGTTTCCATCTTCTCACATTTTAATCTCTCTATTGCCATTTTCTTAAGAAAACATTACACCAAGTATGGAGGATGTGATGATAATCCTTACCATGATGTAGGATCTGTAAATGTCTTCTGGAACCATTCTCCAAAGACTGGTGGATAGCGAGGCATCAGTTTGTTCTCAAAGATGTTCAGCTTCTCACTGGAGAGAGAGAGATATAAATATATATTATTATTAATTATTATTATTCTGTTGGTAGCGAGGCATCGGTTTGTTCTCAAAGATATTCAGCTTCTCACTGGAGAGAGAGATATTAATATATATTATTATTAATCATTATTATTCTGTTGGTAGCGAAGCATCAGTTTGTTCTCAAAGATGTTCAGCTTCTCACTGGAGAGAGAGATATAAATATATATTATTATTAATTATTATTATTCTGTTGGTAGCGAGGCATCAGTTTGTTCTCAAAGATGTTCAGCTTCTCACTGGAGAGAGAGATATCAATATATATTATTATTAATTATTATTATTCTGTTGGTAGCGAGGCATCAGTTTGTTCTCAAAGATGTTCAGCTTCTCACTGGAGAGAGAGATTTAAATATATATTATTATTAATTATTATTATTCTGTTGGTAGCGAGGCATCAGTTTGTTCTCAAAGATGTTCAGCTTCTCACTGGAGAGAGAGATTTAAATATATATTATTATTAATTATTATTATTCTGTTGGTAGCGAGGCATCAGTTTGTTCTCAAAGATGTTCAGCTTCTCACTGGAGAGAGAGATATAAATATATATTATTATTAATTATTATTATTCTGTTGGTAGCGAGGCATCAGTTTGTTCTCAAAGATGTTCAGCTTCTCACTGGAGAGAGAGATATAAATATATATTATTATTAATTATTATTATTCTGTTGGTAGCGAGGCATCAGTTTGTTCTCAAAGATGTTCAGCTTCTCACTGGAGAGAGAGATATAAATATATATTATTATTAATTATTATTATTCTGTTGGTAGCGAGGCATCAGTTTGTTCTCAAAGATGTTCAGCTTCTCACTGGAGAGAGAGATATAAATATATATTATTATTAATTATTATTATTCTGTTGGTAGCGAGGCATCAGTTTGTTCTCAAAGATGTTCAGCTTCTCACTGGAGAGAGAGATATAAATATATATTATTATTAATTATTATTATTCTGTTGGTAGCGAGGCATCAGTTTGTTCTCAAAGATGTTCAGCTTCTCACTGGAGAGAGAGATATAAATATATATTATTATTAATTATTATTATTCTGTTGGTAGCGAGGCATCAGTTTGTTCTCAAAGATGTTCAGCTTCTCACTGGAGAGAGAGATATAAATATATATTATTATTAATTATTATTATTCTGTTGGTAGCGAGGCATCAGTTTGTTCTCAAAGATGTTCAGCTTCTCACTGGAGAGAGAGATATAAATATATATTATTATTAATTATTATTATTCTGTTGGTAGCGAGGCATCAGTTTGTTCTCAAAGATGTTCAGCTTCTCACTGGAGAGAGAGATATAAATATATATTATTATTAATTATTATTATTCTGTTGGTAGCGAGGCATCAGTTTGTTCTCAAAGATGTTCAGCTTCTCACTGGAGAGAGAGATATAAATATATATTATTATTAATTATTATTATTCTGTTGGTAGCGAGGCATCAGTTTGTTCTCAAAGATGTTCAGCTTTTCACTGGAGAGAGAGATACTAATATATATTGTTATTTATCATTATTATTATTCTGTTTCATTATTTCATACATCAGCAAAGTATATTTCTACACCTGTTGCTATCTATACGTTGGGCATAGAATTCTGAAACGCTAATGAGTCAAGTTCAATGGCTCATCAACTTCATAATACATCAAAACCTCAGAAAATAAAAGTCTTGAAGTGTTTAGAAAAAAATAGCTAAACACTACTACGGGGTGTACATGTAGGACAAAACAAAAAATGATGATTGGGAGGACGATCTAATGTGCACTGTTTCCTCCTCACCCATAGTGGTAGAGGTTTGAAAACATCAAACACATGAACGACATATGATTGCATGATATCAGTAATGTAGAGTACTTACTCAATAGGAGCTGAGAGACTTGGGATCATAGCTTTGAGTTCACTGCCAGATGTATACAAGCCTTTCTCCCTAGGAATAAATGAAACAATCAAACATGTCAGTGCATTTATCATCAGAAGCTGAGAGGGCGTCTCCTTTCTTTAACATTTTTGGAAATTTAAATCAATCTGTCTCACATCATTCTAGCCCCCCCCCCCCCCCTCTCCTATCATAAAAGACCTGATATATATCAAACTCTCAATAAACCATAACACAAGAAGCCTTAGTGGCTATTTGAATAAGGGAATTGTCCTTTGATTATGCCCAGAATGGATAACAAGTAATTACAGAAGAGAACACTCAGTAGGTATAAGGGGATGTTACCTGTATATTTTGTGTAGTATTGGTCTGAGTCCAGCAGTGTTTGAGACCCATTCAATCAAACCGCATTCCTCGTTCAGTGGGATCACAGTCTGAAATAACAAATACATTTACATATCATCAAAGGTCTTGTGACATATCATTGGATAATAGGTTATGTGATAGGTCTTGTGACTAAAATAGTCAGGAATGAGCATACTCTTAATTAGCAGATTCTGATCTGAAAACAAACAGCAGTACTTCAATTATTCAGACTACATTCATCTGCCCTTGCCACTTAACCCCTGCCCCCTCCTTCCCTCTCCCAAAGAGAGAGAGAGAGAAAGAGAGAACAGAGAAGTATTAATGAAGGCTGTCATTGCCTTTCATGCAAACTCTTGGGAGTAGAAATGTTAAACCATTGTTCACAAATTTTAAAATCTATCCAGAAGTGCTGATCTAATTTCTCAAGCTTGAGATTGCTCAGGCTCATTAAGAAGCACTTATACAAACTCAATGATAATAGGCAAAGAAATACAAACTTACGTATGTTCTGATATAGAGCTCTCTCCTCCTCGACTCCACATTCTTCCTGAGGCACTTGTTGATGATACCATTGAACTCCATCAGACGGTTGTCTTTCCTCAGATCGTCCTGCAAAGATTGTATGGTGCTCACATTTCAGATAACAGTTTGGGAATACACAGAGGAATCCATAATACAGGTATGTCCTCTTATGTAATGATAAATTTAATGGACCACAAGCAACAGAGTAAATGCAAAACATGACAGACATGCGAAAGGCAGGTATGTTTGTAAACACAGTCTATACCGGTATGTATATTGCTTCATTCTCGTGTAAACTGTTTGTAAATTGGTTCATACACGATGACATAGTAACTGACAATGGTAATAAGAATATTGATCATATTTGGTGTAGTTCTCCTTATTTCTTCCTGTCAGATCTCTGTAGTCCCCTACCCTTACCCTTCATGCATTGTACCCCTTAAAACCCTCTTCACTATAAACCTTACCTTTGGTTTAAACATCATGACATTGAGCCTACCATAGCGAGCCCAGATTGAGAGTCCGAAGGAAACCTGCGCATGCGCACATGATAACTGCTAGGGTTGTTAATAGGGTTATAATAATTATGCAAACCCACCTTTCATCAACCCATCGTTGGCTCAATCGGTAAAGACAGAGTAATAAAATGTTGGAGTTGTGGATTCGAATTTCAGTATTTATTCAATTTAGGCACAGCAATAAATAATCAAAGTATAATTGTTTGTGACCTCTTTGCAAGCTTTTGTAGCTTGTTATGTATGGAAATGATTTTGTACTGGAATCTGGGCTCACTTGAGTACAAAAAAATAAGACAATCCTGGATACCAATGTACGTTCTTCTCCCGCTCATGATTTTAGATCAATGCCTACAAGCTTTCACCCTATTAACCTCACCTTGGGTTTACACATCATGACATAGAGTCTACCGTCACTGCCCTGGATACCAATCTTCTTGGGTCTCTGTAGAGATGGCAGCACTTCAACCTGCATTGTGAAGAGATACACATCAATCATACAATCAGATACTATCACCTGATAAGACAACTTACCTTTTACATTTTGCGGACATTAAAGCAATTGGATTTACACCCTTTAGACCGTGAACAAATTTTACTATAGCTGCTATCAAAAGCGTTCAAGGAATATCTTCCTACAAGCTTCCCAATTGTGGCTCCTGGATCAAGAGAGTAAAGTGCAGACAAAATGCCTTGTCGTCATACGGCATATGGTATTAAAGCGTTATGCAAGAGAAGATGAAGAACAATTCTTCCATAAACCCTTGCTAATTAAATTATAAGAACATTATATATTGTGTAAATAGCGTGTATAGTAGTAGCATCATTTGTGAATTTAATCATCCATTTCACTCAAACAGGGTTGGATCATCAGTTGTACAACCCTTGTCACAGAGAGCCCTATGAAAGAGCAGTAAATCACATCTAAGCGGTTAAACAAACTTACTGTATCATCAAAGCCAATGATATAGACCTCAGTCAGTGGGAAGGGGTCATGGGTATGATGAACTGACTGACTGCTGGGTAGGGTGACAGTCATAGCCGACTGCAGAGGGACAATGATCTTGCTGAAGTTGCTGCAATAAGATAACAACCCTCGCAATTAAAATGACTTTTGAATAATTATAATATAAATATAAATATATATTTTGTGAAGAGAAAAAAAATCGAATCTGTGAAGTTGAAAAAAAATGTTTGTATTCCTTTCTAAAGCAGAGATCTTAACTTTGCCTTCAAACCACAGAGGCAGGAATCTTTAATCAGTAAGAGAGCTTTTCATAACATACATATAAAGTTGTAAACCAAAATGAGCAAATACAAATAAGAATCAGGCATAACTTACCTATCAGCAAGGAGTCTCTTGAGTGATCTGAAATCACTGTTGATACTGAGTCTTTGACAGCCTGAATCCACCTGTCTGTTACACAGATCTAGTAGTCTATCGGTCAGCTTAATAGCATCCTTGGTGAACATGATTTGATAAATGCACGACAGGGGGAAATCGTTAAGAGAAACTGAAAGTACCTACAAAATCATTTGTGACATTTCATCTTTTACAAGAACTTTTTTTTGCTTACCCTGAAAAAAAGAAGAGAACAGACATTTTTCAACCATGTTTCTTCATTAGTACTTTCTGATTGACAATTTTGATGTCTCGCCAAAATTTGCAAACATTTCATACCTTCACATTATAGAGTTTCAACGACTAGAACTAGAACAACTTCAAGAAATTTATGAAGTTTCATTTGTCACATGAATGGCTCGTTTCATGCAAAGCAATCAAATATATATGTACACGTAAATGTTCATCTTTTTCAACAGTCTCAATGGCAAAGAAAATACAGTGTGCTTTTACAGTATGTATATTTTTGTTAACCTATTTATGATAAACTGAAAATAAAATATGGAAAAACAATTCACATTGAATTCAACCTAATCATCAATGTTGTGAGCAACACCTCTACATTCTACTACTTCAAACCAACCTATTTTGGGTTACATTTTTCATAATAGAATAACAACTTTACTTACATGGATGAACTTTTGCAGCTTCTTATCCAGCGCCTTTGCCCGACTGAAGATTTCAGCACATCGCCTTTGCCTCATTTGATATGAACTCTGCAAATAACAAAAAAGAATTTCAAATAATTCACTTGCCAAGTACAAAATGTTAGCATTTAAGCTCAAATTATACCTTAGAAGAATTATCAAAATTTGAAACAAGCTGCGATCAATGAAGATCAGTAACCGTGCTCATCCAATCACTAAGTAATCTAAGGTTTTAATCATGTTAGTAATGACTGTGAAGTAAAACAAACATTTACAAACAGGAGCAGTGGCAAGTGACCGAGAATTGACTTACTTTCTTGAGAATCAGTGCTCAATACTAAACCCAGATATCAATTTGTATGAAATATCAACCGATTTTTAAGTAACATGAGATACACTATCACTTTCTCTCCCTAACTTGAACTTGACTTTGAGAAGTAGACTATGATTACCTTAGAGACAGCCATTGACATCCACACAGCTTGCTGTGGGAATGCCACAAGTACCCTAGCGATGATCTCCTGTAACAAAGATTTAATTCACAACAAACCATACATGAACATGTATAAAAAAATTCAAATACAATACTCCCTTATCTAATCCAAGCATTCACTTTTCATGAAGAATACAATATATTAGGTATAGATTGACATTAATACCCCCCCCCCCCCACAAAAAGAAAATGGGTGAAACAGTAATAACTCAGTACATTTAACATATTTCTCATATAAGAGCCTACTTATCCTAAACTGTGTCCAATTTGTCAAATAAAGTTGAACAATGGACATGCCATACAAAAATATTTATGGCTGATAGACATCTGTGAAAACAACAATTATCACATTTAACTGTACACATCTTAATAGTTAATCCCCAACGTAATAGTCTATGTAAATATGTAAGGGCAGTGTTGTACATGTAAGTGCAGACAAGCCAATATTTTCTACCTAACCAGACTACATTGCCTTACCTGTAGCTGAAGGGAAACTTCTTTGTGTGAGTGACAGATCCTGGAGATGAGTTGAGAGAAGGATGTCAGAAACTGGTATGGGGCTAGCTTATCTGTGAACTCAGCGATGATCTGCAAAGAAAATAATATGAAAGACAAGTTGAGAAAAGGATGTCAGAAACTGGTATGGGGCAAGTTTATCTGTAAACTCAGCGATGATCTGCAAAGAAGATAATATGAAAGACAAGTTGAGAGAAGGATGTCAGTAGGGACTGAAGTGTGTTGATGAAGATGTACATGCAGATGTAGTCAAGGCATGTGAAAAACATGAATCCATTTGTATCTTTCTTCCAGATACATGACGCATTATGGTGGTATTGTGGTACTGGACTCTAAATCAAAGGGTTGAGAGTTTGCATCCCAGCTCAGCACCAAGGTCCTTTGGTAAGACATTAATCCGTATCTGCCACTGTCCATCCACATTAGGAAAACATCTCATTTGAGCTCTGCTCACCAGTTCACCACTTTTCCTTGTGCTACCTTAATCTGATAGGAGCACTGATCACTGATAAAGGGATTACCAGTAGGGTCCATGGGGAGAGAGACAGCGGTCAATCATAGCCTAGTTACTGACAAAAGGATTACCAGCTGGTATCTGATATCCAATCCAGATTCATAGTCTTCTCATCGCAGACCCTACACCTATATTTATAATAGGCCTGGATTCAGTGTGTCTAAAGTCTCACTTGTTATTGTTTTTTTTAGCAAGTACTAGCTATTTAAGTTTCTTTTACGTGTAGAAGAGGACATTGATGTGCTTGACAATGGAAAAATGCAGAAGGAAAATATAAAGGGAGGATAAAATAGGGAAAGACGGGTGATAATAAGGAAAGATGGAAATGGAGGGAAAGAAGGAAGAGAAAATAAAGAATAGCATAAGGAAAGATAGAAAAGGAAGATAAAAAGTTTTTAAAAAATACATAAGGAAAGATGGAAACAGAAGATAAAGAAGGTTAGAAAAAAAGAAATACATGAGAAAAGATAGAGAGAATAAAACAAGGTGAAAAGAGAGGAATACATAAGGAAAGATGAAAATTAGAAAGATGAAAAAGATAAAATTAGGATCAAACGACACGGCAAATTTTTAAGAACACTAAAAGTAAATACACTGAAAAACGGCCGCTCAGAGTGCCCGGCGCATTCACGATACTGCATGTGGCAAGCTGTTCCGAATTGGGTGGTGGAGTAACGCCTTTAACAGAGGCTATATTTGTCGACCTTACCCGACTTTCAAATGGAGAATCTCACTTTTCGGTGAACGGGGAGCGACTTTGCGTTTTACACCCTGGCCTGGACCTTTTCCCAATAAATTTCAAGGAACCGACTGGGAAAAGTCTATCCATGACAAGATATTGCTTGCGCACGTAGCTCTTCTGCAATGCTCAACGTACGTCCTATATGTCCAGTGTCGCGGTACGCGGTACATGTACTTTTGTATCGAGACGTACGAGTGAGAGAAAAACAACGAATAACAACAGAAGGAAATAGAGAAAAACAATAAATAATTAAAGAACAGAGAGGAAACAAAGAATGTCATAAGCAGAGAGAGAAAACAAAAACTAACTTGAAAGAAAGAGAGAAATTAGAGAAGGAATTAATCAAAGTAAGAGAGAAACCAAATAATATTATGGTTTTTGTGGTTTAATTCCGCCTTCTTCAGGGTTTCAATTTTTGACGTGTAGCCTATGACTTTCAAACCATTTGCTTGTTGTTCTGAACTTGAAATCCTATATCTTCTCCCTTAATCTTCAGTATTGCAGCTGCGTACGGTGTGTATAAATGCTGCATCGACGTACGTCTGTGCATGTACGATTCGATTTGGAACTGGCGCGCCCGATCGAGGAGCGTAGACTAGATTCATTCAAGCAGTTTCATTGCTATTTACCGGGAAAATGTCCAGGCCAGGGTGTAAAACGCAAAGTCGCGAACGGGGAGCGAAATACCCCACTTGCGTGTCTGGTATTACAGACCGCTTTCTTTCCCGATATCTTCGCGTACACCAAGCTTAGTGAGAATGAGCAATCTCAGAATCTGGATGAATGTTGTCCTTGTAGCGTGAGGTTCATGAGTAATTATTGTTATAAACTACGACATATAGTATGGATGATAATGTTTGTCAAGTTTATTGCGGACTATGTCATCATCATAAAAGTATTAGATCAAGTAAAAAGGCTTCAATTAAAATAGTTAAACATGAACAGAAATCATTTCGATGTTAAGATATTTTTGACGCACTTCTCGTCATGATATTGAATTTATAACATACAACGAAACGAGGACATCATAATCATAAAGACGTTCGTTGTGCAGATATGTATTTGCTTATTAAACAGTAACAACAAGAATAATGCGCTATAATCATGAGCAAAAAACCAAGAGGTTTCGGAGAAAGGTAAAAAATCATCCGAGCAGTTATTAGGCAATTCTTCAACAATCTTTAGTATCAAAAAGTTAAAAGGTTTAACTGTCGTGATAAAAATGAGCTTGTCATAGAGATTTATTATGCAAGTGAGCATCGAAATGTTTCTTTAACGAACTGCTATAAAATTTTGAAACCAAATACTCTTGTGCTGAAATTTCATATCCTCAGTATCGAGAAGCATAATGTTCCATTATGGTTGCATCAACTATTGTAAAATAGATTAAGTCCTTCGATGTCTTGTAATGCCCTAATCACTCAGCTAATTATTATCTTTCTAAAGGATTGTAGATTTGAGAGTTTCTGTTTCTTTCGTGTTACATGCAATGGACATTCAATCATCATGGCTTGATGTGTTGTGGGGAAATAAATATTGTATCCTATACGTATACAGATCATATTAAATCAAATAAAAGTTTGATGAAATTCAATGCTTATCTTACCAGAATCATTATTTTTTTAAATACCGTCTTTATAACGAATTCCAAGAAATGTGCCGTCTGCCTAAACAACCACCCCCCCCCCCTATTTCAAATTTGACGTCTGAGCCCCGGCCACTCCCTATTTTCAAATCCTTGATCTGCCGTTTGGGGGGGGGGGCAAGAAATAGGCAATAAGAAAGTTGAGTAGACCTTCAGATTACGCACGGAATAAATGTAACGAAAACAATATTTACAACATTCTATTCTTGCTTTAATACCTCAAAAATATTTAACGGTCAAACCAACAAAATTTATGTTTTCCCGGCCTTTCCTAACATTTTTCTAAACGCGTTCGAAATTATTTCGTTTATGCGAATAAATTTGGTGGCCGAGTAACGCCTTTAACAGAGGCTATATTTGTCGACCTTACCCGACTTTCAAATGGAGAATCTCACTTTTCGGTGAACGGGGAGCGAAATACCCCACTTGCGTGTCTGGTATTACAGACCCCTTTCTTTCCCGATATCTTCGCGTACACCAAGCTTCGTGAGAATGAGCAATCTCAGAATCCGGATGAATGTTATGCTTGTACTAGTGTGATGTTCATGAGTTATTAATTGTGAAAATGGGAGAAAGATAGATACAAAAAATAAAGAATAACATAAACAAAGTTATAACAAAATTATGAAAGGAGGTTTAAAACAAAAAATAAAATAAGGAAAGATGGAAACGGAAGAAAATAGAAGGTTTAAAACAAAGAATAACTTATGGAAAGATAGAAATGATAGAAAAACAAAAAAAATGATAATGCGGAAAAATAATATAAAAGAAGGAAGAAATAAAGGATAACATACGGAAAGATGGGTGATAATAAGTAATTATTCTTAAAGAAAAATGGAAATGGAAGATAGAAGGTATGTAAAAAAGAAAATAACAAAAGGAAAGATGGAAAAGGAAGATAAAAGAAGGTTTAAACAAAATATATATTAGGAAAGTCAAAAAATATGTGTTGAAAGGAGGAGAAAAATAAGGAATAACATTAGCCGGAAGATATAACAAAGTTGATAATAACTAAAAACATAAGGAAAGACAGAGAAAATAAAGAACAGCATAAGGAAATACAGAAATGGAAGAAAAGAAAAGAAGAAAATACAGAACATAGTAAAGCTAAATGAAAAAAAACGGAAGATGAATGAAGTAGAAAACAATTAAGAAGATACAAGAAGGAGCCACTAAAGAATAATGTAGGGAAAGATGGAAACGGCAGATAAAAGAATGTGGAGGTGGAATAACGCCTTTAACAAAGGCTGTATTTGTTGACATTACCAGAGTTTCAAATGGAGAATTTCAATTTCGGTGAGCACAGAGCCCAAATACCCCACTTGCTTGTCTGGTATTACAGACCACTTTCTTCCCAGATATCTTTGTGTATATAAACCAAGCTTTAATTGGGATGGTCTTGGAGAATCCGAATTAGCAAGCTGGAGAATCTGGATGAATACTATCCTTGTACTAGTGTGATGTTCATGAGTTATTAATTGTGAAAATGGGAGAAAGATAGATACAACAAATAAAGAATAACATAAACAAAGTTATTACAAAATGATGAAAGGAGGTTTAAAACATAAAATAAAATAAGGAAAGATGGAAACGGAAAAAATAGAAGGTTTAAAACAAAGAATAACTTATGGAAAGATAGAAATGATAGAAAAACAAGAAAAAATGATAATGCAGAAAAATAATATAAAGGAAGGAAGAAATAAAGGATAACATACGGAAAGATGGGTGATAATAAGAAATTATTTTTAAAGAAAAAGGGAAATGGAAGATAGAAGGTATGTAAAAAAAAAAATAACAAAAGGAAAGATGGAAAAGGAAGATAAAAGAATTTGGAGGTGGAATAACGCCTTTAACAAAGGCTGTATTTGTTGACATTACCAGAGTTTCAAATGGAGAATTTCAATTTCGGTGAGCACAGAGCCCAAATACCCCACTTGCTTGTCTGGTATTACAGACCACTTTCTTCCCAAATATCTTTGTGTATATAAACCAAGCTTTAATTGGGATGGTCTTGGAGAATCCGAATTAGCAAGCTGGAGAATCTGGATGAATGCTATCCTTGTAGTGTGAGGTTCATGAGTTATTAATTGTGAAAAATATGACTATAGAATAGATGTTGATAATTGTCAAATTTACTGCGGAATAGTTATCAAACAAATATTAGATTCAAAATAGTTGAACACTGGAACTTATATTATTTCGAGGTTCAGATATATATCAAGCCTAATATTTATGCGCTATAAATCATGAACAGGCAACCCAGAGCAGTCTAGCGTATATTATATCCTATACTTTTTGTATAATGCATTATTATTTATATCACATTTACTTATGTCCATGCATTCCAAACTAGACAATTATGATGAAAGGAACATAAAGGAAAAGCAAGGGAGATGAAACTGACAACTCCCAGGTATAAGAATGGACATAATCCGAACCTATATCAGACTGTGGATAAGACTAGAATTTCATAGAGAGAGTTCCAAGCAGTACTTATCAAGGTTGGGCTGGCAATGTCCTGGCAAAGTTTGTTTACACTGCAGATTAGGGACTTTTCTCTCTCTAGCTCTGTGGTGAGCTTCTCCCCAAACTGCACCCCACTTTCGGGTCCAAAGTGGGGTGAAGTTTAAATGGACTGTTTTCGTCATGCGGGTGCCAGATGGTAGGATGCAACTGTAGCTTGCTCAGCAATGCGAGTGTCTGTTAAATGACGCCTGGTTGGAATGCTTCCCAGTGAGTGGAGAATGTGCATTAACTGCATGTGGGTAAGCCTGAATCCGATGATTGGGGTAATAATCAATATGTAAAGCGCTTTAAATAGAGACATCATTAATGTATTAAGCGCTAAATGAAACCAGGGGCCCCGTTTCATGAAACTTTTTATCTATAACAAATGCTTAATTTCTATGATAATTTTGCTCTCAGCCAATCAGATGCCTTGATTTCAGTAGCTTATAACAGTAGCTTGTAACTTGTTATTGATATCAAGTTTTATGAAACAGGGCCCAGAATATTATTCTCACCATATATTTTTTATGACAACATGATACTCACCTTATGTAGCTTAGCCATGACCTGTGCAGCCTTGTTGACCTTGTTGCCTTTCTCTAGGTCCGAGACGTGAGCACCGTAGTCTAACCAGAGAGTGAGAAGGCGTGGCATAGACTGGTAGATGTACTGGTTACCATACATCAGAGATTGACCAAAGTTCTTCACGACGTGTACTACAAACTCTCTAAAAGTTGAGGGAAAATATGAAAAATCATATTATAGAAAAAAGAAGAAAAAATTATTGTAAAATAAAAACCACAATGGGAATGAGTAGGCATGGCAAAACTAATAATATAGATGTACTGGTTAACACACATCAAAGACTGACCAAAGTTCTTCACGACGTGTACTACAAACTCTCTGAAAGTTGAAGCGAGGGAAATGTGGGGAAATTTATCAATCTTCTAGGAAGAGGCATGTTTAAACAAAAATGGAAAGCTGCTACACCATCAGATTGTCTGATACATGCTCCTGCAACAGTTGCACTGTCATCTACTTCAATTATTTATGTCTTATTTGCAAATTCCATGACCCTAACCCTAACCGAGACTATACCTAAACCTTAATCCAAACCTAAAACAAAATCACTCCCGAATCCTTATCCTACATCTTTCATGAAAAAATCTGTAGGGAATTGTGATATCACTTATATACATGTACTTCCTCTCTAAGAACACAAGGTAAGCTTAAAACCGACTGACTATTTCCACAGTCGCAAACAATCTTATGAGACCTACCCAGCCTTCTCTGGTCTATCAGCAAAGCTGAGCATGAGCCGGTCATAGTACTTGGCCAGATAGAAGTGACCATCCTCCCATTCTGAGTTGACCTCAGTGACCGACATGTATTGCTTCATCACAGAGTTACTCTCAAACTTGGCTGTGTCCTCCATGAAACGTCCTACAAGCAGCAAGGCCTTCAAAATAAATAATGAAATAAACAAATTAATTCACACAGGTACATGTACACATGTACATACAATGTACATACAATCATCATTAAAGTGAATTCATATATGGTTTGGGGTTTCATATACTGCAAAGAGCAAACTTATATTTCAAAAGTATTAATCTTCAGTGTTAAAGCTTTCTTTCCTCTTTATTAATCCCCATTTAACATTGACTCAATCATTTCAGAATTTCTTCCATTTGTATAACCATATTTAAAAAAAAAATTGTCAAAATGAATCTGAAAATAATTAGTATGCTTTGTATTGCATATTACAATACATGAGAATAAGTTTTCAAAAAGAAAATGTGTTAACAAATTACTGCTATAACGCTAATGTTAAGTGATCACATTAATCATACAGATAGAAACCTGAACTTTGCTAACCTTTGCATGGGCTAGTCTCTGTGCTTTTGCCTCAGCAGACTTGTCATTCTGTAGACGGTTGCCCTTGGAGAAGTGTTTGGCCACGCCCTTCTGCAAGTCAATCAATGCTTGATGACAATCGCCCTGTACAGAAAGAGATGTTTTTACATATTACAAAAACTGTTGAGTTGTATAATGATGTATACTAAAACTGGTGACAAGGTAAGTCATGACAACAGTGGCAAGTTAACCCATTAACTGCAGGAACCTGGTTGTTCCTGCATAATACATATGGGACGGAGAGAATTCAGAATCCAAATGAATAACAAAGTACTTTAAACTTTAAAAATTCAATACTAAAGTGAATGAATCCTTGCAGCAGCCCTACAATACATGAATACTTCATAGCAAATATGTTATAACAGAAATAATGCACTTGTTGTCCATGCCAAAATGCACTGACTCTTAGTTTGTAAACTATCTTTGATACTAATAGCATTTACATGACTGTATCAATGTTTTTTAAACTAATATCTGAGCAACAGTGGAAGAACACAAGATATTATTTACCTTCCCCCAGAGCCATTTTGCTTTCTCGATGCAGAGATCTGGTAAGGAGTAGAGACCAGCATTGAGTAGAGAGCTATAGGCACCCTGAAGATGGCCAGCCCTGAGGAATAAACAAAAATTAACATATTTATATTTTCATAAAGTAGAGTCATGCATTTATAAGGCAAGTTACTCTCTTGCCTTTCAGTACAATCCATTCATCACTTCCTTAGCTTCTTACCTTGACAACTTTCAATGAAATTATGTGCAATTAAGTGCATTGACATGTAATGGCAGTAATAATATTTCTGAGATACAATTTCATATTAGTTTATTTCAAATATACATCTACATGTATGTCTGCATGGAAACTATTCATGTTAAATCAGACAAACAAATGAACTAATAAGTGAATGTACCTATTAATACATATATTTACAATGAAAAAGCTCAAGTAGATGAACATTTACACTGATAACTAAACAAACTGTAGTACGGTACATGTACTGAACACATCAATTATTAGAAAAAGAAATTATCAAATAAACTACTCATCATACTCACTTTCTTGCAACTTTAGCACTCTTCAGCCAGCAGTAACCAATGTCCTTGTTGAGCCCTGTTCCCTCAGAGTTGATAGGACTGAAAGAAACCATTACATTTATTTCAAATTCGAACTCACTGTCAGCGATGGTTTGGTGTTTCCAGGGCCCTGTCTTATAAACATTTGCGACTGATCACAACTTATTTGTAATTGATTTTGATTAATCAAAACTCTTTAAAAGACAGGACCCAAAATTCCAAGCTAAACTACCTTTCTATAAGCTTTTAATTGTCTAAATTTGACTTCACATTTATGAAGTAAGAAGGAAAAAAATATATACATTCAAAACTTATTCCTTTAAATTTTGAAGGGAAATTTCAATAGCTTCATGGTGTAAAGAACAGGCCTCATACACAACAGTTTCTATTTCATATTTGAACATTATTTAAAATATTTGCCAAATTTATTTTTAAACACTTCTTTTAAATCATCTCAGCTGACTTTAAACATTGTTCTTCTTGCAATAATTACTCAAATAAACGTTATTGTTTAAAATGAACACAGATGCATTTTGTAAGAGAGTATCTTACTTGTTGTTGAGACCCAGAATACTCCTTCGTAGACACAGCATTGGTTCTTGTGTTCTAAATGAAGATTGAGCCATGGTTTGCCTGGCATCCCACCACTCCATCAACTCGGCTTGTGATTGGTTCTTACTGTCACCCCCAGCAGAGAAACCTAGGAGGTTGGTGACCCCTAGATCCAGGTCACAGAGCATGTGCAGTCTGCAACATAAGGCATTAAATTAAGAGGGGATTACTATAGAAGGGTTGCTACATGTACGTCTATTAAACAAACTCCGTCCTCACATGCTTCTACGAGATTGTCTGTTAAAAGCCAGAAGGAGCTTAAACTCTATGTCGAGATACTTGAGTAAACAACGGCTCTCCGCAAAAGGGTCTGTATCTGCTCTAGGAGCAATTGCCACTTGCATCAAACATATATGGTTAGGGTTTGAGCTTCTATTGGGTTTTTATCTCAGGTTTACTTTAGCCATAGGGTTAGGATAAAAATTAGATTAATTTTGGTAACAGGGTTGAGGCAGAGAATATACATGTAGTTAGAATACAAATTGACTTCATAGCAAATTTTGCTAGAGCATGTCTCATACAAGCCTCAGCAGATCAAATGATTATCATTTCTGAGTAATAAGGACAAAAATTACTGAATCTAAGTAATAAAATTAATATGAAAACTATGGAATAATTTAGATATACTTCTTTGGAGAAAGGGTTTTCATACAGATCCTACCTTGCTATGTATTCATAGGCTCTTTGATAAGAGCCTTTCTCCATGCTTGCAGCTGAGAGTGGTCCCATCTGAGCACTTCTGGCTAACTGCAACTGAGTTTGAAACTCATCCTGGTTCTGAGTAAGTCAAATATATAAATAAAATATACACCATAATGAATACAATGCATAACAAATGATGCCTGTATGTGTATAAAAGTTGTATCAATAAATTACAAACTAATCCAGTGTCACAAGCGAGAATCTCCGGCTGCGTCAGATGTCCGGATAAAAACATGAATATTTGTTTGAGTGGCATAAACATCTGGTGTCTTTAAACATCAGATCGTTGATTCATTTTGTTTTTCACTGTATCCTCTTATCTTCTTTATTTTTAGAAATGCAACAGACAATAATGATCAAAAAATAAAATCTGAAGTGAGTCTGGGAATGAGGCTACATCTGAATATGCATAACTCTATGGGCAGCTGGAGATCTGACACGGCCGGAGATTCTCGCCTGTGACACCAGATCATTTCTTTTAACATGGCTGACTGAAAAATTATAATACATTTTCATTTCAAATGTAAGAAAACTTTCTTTAAACTGTTGACAACTGAACTCTTCCATTTCCATAGGCATTATAAAGGGATCACTTGGTTCTAGTAAGCAATTGGATGAATTAGTTGGACACTTTAAGATGTTGTTACATACCCCTTCTCTTACAGCAAGCAACGTCTTGCCAAGGAGGATGTTCCAATCACTGTTATGTCCTTCATGTTTGAGGTTGGATTCTAGATCGTCCCATTTAGCCAGCTTCCAGCATGCTTCCACTCGATAGGAATTCAGTTGGCTTGACCAGTCTGACCTGCAGTAGAGAGGGATGAAAAGAACATTTGTAAATATTCTTCTCTATACCAATATTCAGTTTCCAGAGCTACTTCAGTAATAAGAGGGAATAACAAGATTTCATGTTCTAAATCAAGATTTGTATCATAGAATATTGTATCATTGTAAATATCTAATATTACATCTAACAATACCGGTATATATGTTTTTGTTAAACTATGTAGAAATAATGATTGTAAAAGCAAGTCACCAAAATACTTGTTGATATTTTGCGAAAGAGAAATTCATGGTCTATTACATTATCAGAACAACACATTTTCTAGAGGAAACATGACTGAGACGTTTCTGTTCCTAGGTCACCCTCTTCTTTTCAAGTCCTGTCTTCCTAACCGACTGTGCAGAGATGCGAAGAAAGCAATCAAAGTGTTATTTTGACAGTCACTCATACCTTTGAGAGAGTACCCCATTAACATGAACCAATCCTGTGTTGAGCTGACCAAGGTCCAGCAGACATCTGACCAGTCCTTTATGATGACCCATCTCTCCTGTCTCTAGCTGAGTGGCTCTCTCATAGCAAGCCACTGCATCCTGGAGGTTACCTGAATATTAAGATGGATCAATGATTCGAAGGAGTTCATCAAGTCAAATACACCAGTCTAACCTGTCTTAGTGGTCACCTCTCTATAAAGGCCAACTGTCTATAGTGACCATGTAATTTGTCTACCTCGAGGAAGAAATGTGTTTTGTAGAACTTGTCTACAGTGGCCACTTTTTCTGTTTCCCTTGGGTGACTTTAAAGTACAGGTTTGACTGTACTACTTTCATGATTTCAAAAAAATAAAAAATAAAAATCATCAAATCATTCACTTTTCTAAGTATAATTTCAAGAATAATAACAACAAAAAACCTGGCAACTCCTGAACTACAGACACATAGATAATTTTCTTCCTGTTAACTCTTACGATGTAGTTCACTAAGGGGTACACTTCTGGACTGCCACATTTAGCACAATGTGTGTTACAGAGACAATGTACTAACTAATAAGAACAAAGTGGTCTGTAGCATGTTCTCAAAGTCAACCAAAGTGGAAAATTATTTATAGTCAATTGATGCTCTTATCAAGAATCCATAGTTAAGAATGGTTAGACATTTTAACAGTCCATCTCTTGATGTTTCTGATACATCACCATCACAGGACTTGAATGAATTTCATTTGAATGTGCAGTCTGATACACCTGTAATACAGCTAAAAATGGAAGTTACAAACTGATTCAGCCGAGGACGCAGGTACGTTTAAAGGTCGGTCGCCAGACGTAAATAATCATATCTGATTGATACACGTCTGTAAAAATCCAATTACACACACACACACACACACACACACATACCTGTGCTTTCATGATCATGGATCTGTTCCCTGAAGCTAGGTTCTTGTAGTCTGATAGCAGACACTCCTAATACACCATCAGGCTCATCCATGGCTATGTACAGTTTCTACATGGAGGAATAACATCAAATAGGATAGTTGGAATCTTCCATTTTTATCAGTAACTATGTACAGAAACCCTGAATACAGATGTTGACACCATAAACTGCAGGGCTGTCGTTTAAAGCCAGTAACCTGTAAAACTTGCCGCCTATTCACTCGTTTCTTACCAGCTATAATTCCTATAATAAACCTTGCAAAAATCACAGAAAGTAGATGTAAATCAATGCTAATCCAAAATTTCCTTAATTTCGTCCAAGATATAATTAGTGCCGCACATACACGGCCGCAGTCGACGAAATCCCTTACGATCACGAACGCGACGTCGTCCGTACTTACCTAGACCTATCTATCTAACGTTACATCGCAGTTCTCCCCCCACAGCGCGGCGGCCAAGCCCGCCCGTCCCTACCCCATTGCGATCCCGATGTGCACGCGAGAAGACGATGCACTGCACAAAATATATACACACTGATCATAACAAAACTGAAGCTAGCTCGCTGGAACCAAACTATCCGTTGCCGATTTGATATTTGAAGATCACGGAAACCGGGGCCTATACACGGGCGTGCAATGTCTAGAGACAACGTACTTTAGATTCTGAGATGCGCAAATCGGCAACAGAGTTTTGAACTCGGCTGAGTTTAGGCCGGCCACGGCCGTCCCCGGCGGACCCCTGCAGCTAGCTCGCATGATATATGCAGGCTCGCGCTCCGCGAATATTCAAAACTAACTTCCGATTGCAATCGATCTCGAGTGATATAACATTATAAAATGAACAGGAACTGAAGTAAATTCTTAAATGTATTCAATAATTTCATGTCAAAAAAAAATAATTAAATGAGAATTCATATGGGGAGCCAAATAAAAGTCACAAGTAAAAAAAAAAATCAAAATCTAGCCTCTGCTGCCCATTATTTAAATACTGTACATGTATTCAACAAATCATGATGTAGAAAGATTGAGTATGGTGCATCATCTCAGTTTAATTAAAAATTACAAAGTAATGGTACAAAGTGATAAATAATTATCAACTTAATAACTTTTCTTATGAGTTATGATTGTTCATGTAATATTAAACATGAACAATATGTGTGTTTATTACAATATATGTGTAATACAAGGTAGGAAAGATAACTACAAATTTTCTTCTTAGGTATGCACCAGATTGCACGATTTCAAGTGGAAAATCCCAAAAGGTCCCTACCGTGGGAGGGGGGACACCCCCCTCCCACATCCTCCCCCCCCCCTCGGTCGCTTCGCTCCCTCGCAGTGATGGTACCTCCTATAAAATTCAAATTACCTCCTTCAAAAATAATTAACAAGACCCCTGAAACTGGCATTTTTTCTTCTTCAGTCTGCAGAAAAAAAATTAATGTCTATCTGATAGGCATGGTAATTTACCGACATCGCTACCACTGCTGTAATTTATTTTCAATTGTGGCATCTTTCGGTGAAAGTGTAAATAGAGCGATTTCCAGTTCCTGTCCCCAAGATATCATCATAAGCGCCTCATCCAGTTAGTGATGCATTGTGGGACGTGGCTGTCAACACATCGGCACATTGTGAGCAGTAGGTGGTAATTTTTACTCACTCTAGCCTGAATATTCTCTGGCTTGATATTCACTCGGATAACTAAATGAACGATAATATCTGTGGTTCATATCACAACTCAATCAAATGACTTGCTATTAGGGGTCAACTCCTCAGAGGGGGTGGGGGGTGGGGGGGGGGGGGGGGGGGGGGGGGGGGGGGGAGGTGTAATGCATACCTGCAGGAAACCCAGATGGTTCTGCACATCTTGATTGTTTGAAGTTATGTACGACTCAAAGTGCATGAGAGATCTGGCGTAAGCTCGGCAGTTAAAGGACGCTCTCGCTAGGATGTCTTGTGGAATCTCTTGAAGGAATACCTTCACACACTCAAGGTATCTCTCTACAGAGGCTATTTCATCTGCAACGTATAAGGAATATCAAAGACCATTGTATTTATATTTTAAATGATATTTGCCATACAAAACAGTAGGGAAAATGGATATATGCCATTAAAAACAGCAGAAAAGCATGAATATGGATTTAATTTATTGTTGGAAGTAATGGTTGAGCAGCAGAGAGTTATATTTGGTTCTACTGATTCAGAGACTGGATGTTCTGAATCATTTTGGGGAAAAACCTGAATACGAAATATGAAATATCTCTACAAAAAATCTTGAGAAGGTTTGTTTACATATCGTGACTCGATGCCCTATCCATGGGTAAATTAATAAGAATGGCTTACTTGAGTTGCTTGCCCCACGCCTACTCTTTGCAGCCTGTAGGATCTGCATGCGTTGTCTCTTCCAGTTGGTCAGGTGATCCAGAACAGAGAAGACCGTCTGAGCGCTCATGGGGCGATCTTCACTGGATCGCTGGTCTTCTACTTTCTCAGCATGGGTCAGTACAGCTAAAATCTCATTCTGGATCTGGAATTCAAGAGATTTGATGCTGATGTTTCACTTCATTGTTACAAGCAAAGTCATCTCAACAATAACAATGTATAGTAATATAGATTTGTATTGCCATTTATAATTATGTATAATCTTCATAAATTGTCCCAGCTGTGCTAAAAGTCAAGTAGATGCTTCCATTATCATCCAATTGCTCTGCATATTAAACCATAGTTTCTTTAATACAGGACAGGAAATACAATTTTGAAGATTAAATACGCAAGGTCAGGCAAATGTGCAAATCATTGAAGCAACAAATGAATCATGTCACAAAATTCTATTTAAATTAGCCCAAGGCCTACATAATCTGGAAAGTACTTGTATTTTAAAAGCCTCTGTGAATGACAAAATTCAGTAGTCAAAAGGTTAATGGCTGACTGTAAAAGTAATAGATAAAATAGTTTAGTTATCAATACGATCTACAAGTAGATGTTTGACCAATAAATGCTACAAAGTGATGCTAAAACTACTGTGGAAACAGTATGAGTTCCAAACCTCTTGCTTGTCATCATCATTTGAGTCGAGAAGTGCATAGAGTAGTGTGTAGGGAAGTAGGAACATAGCTGTATGGATGTCATGCTTGATGATCATGCTGCATGCTCGGAAGATACGACCAGGTTTGCTGGCTTTAACCTTGGGACATAAACAGGAAAAACAACATTTCATGAAATTCAGAGGAATGGTTACATTGACAAGCCCAACATCTGGCCGACAAATATATGGCATTACACTGAATGGCCAAAAATTTGATGGTTTAGAGTTGCTTGGCAGTGTGACTGAAGTCTAACTTTAAAATATTTTCTACAATCACAAAAACTCTTTAAGGTTAATAGAGATTGATAGCTGTTCCAAAATAACATAGATAATAAAAGGGTTACATTATTTATATGAAGTATTCATCTCTACAGTATCAAATGTCAAAATATTTTGTTCTTTCTTTTTATAAGACACTCCAAAATATTCTAAAACTTAAAACAACATATTTACAATGTGTCAACATTTAACGATATATAGTATTAAAGAAAGTGATACAGATTCTGAATCATCAACAAATTTTTTTAAAATTACATGTACTGTTCTGGAGAATTTAAAAAATGTAAGCAAATATGCTCCTGGGACACTCCAAACAATGACCTACCATTAACAAATAACAACTTATACCAAAGAACTTCAATAATCAGGTAAATTTATCAGAGTTTTATCCTTCAATAAGCACACCATGTTTCTCTTACCTTTGTGACTAAGTAACTTGTCCAGGTACAGACCCAGTCTTTGAAGGTCTTAGCCTTCTTACTGCGGTAGATAGGATGGACAGTCACTTTGCTGATAGCTGAAGCTGCAGATGGAATGTACTTGGTGTTTTGGAGAGGGGATAAAATCTCCTGGATGTGTTCAGGGAATCGTTGCCAGAGTTGCCGGCCAGGTCTAGAGAATGAGATAATTTTTGACAGTTTCTTCTTGATATTTGGGTTGTTTGGTCATTATCATCATCAGAAAGCCGTCCTAATACATTTATAAGTCTAACTGCTCTGGGATGGAATCGATCATTCCTTCTTATCTGAACAGCTTTAACCCAAAGTTAATCAAGACCTTCTATGAAGTTCTTCTACACAAAAGGGGCTGGTAACTACATGTATGCTTGCTCTTTATAGTGATGTTGATTGAACCTTCGCAAATATGTCCATATACATGTACGCTACAACACTGTGCAGAGCAATGCTAAGCAAGTCTATTTGGCTATCAATCCTCGATCACTGACTTGAAGACAAAAACACTTCAAAGTTAAAAAAACATCAAAATGCTAAAAGATCATGTAATATATCAGGTGCACAGAAAATTTTACACAAAGTTACAGTCAGTGAACTTACACTGTCATGCTGCAACAGCATCAACAGTATTATGTCAACACTGTGCCAGCTCTCATTAAGCACACACATTAGTCAGAAAGATGTCTTGCAGAAGCACAAACTCATCTACATGTTATAAGTAACTTCACTGATCATTCCCCCCCCCCAAAAAAAAAAAATAATAATAATAATTTAAGTTTCTAAAACTCATTTCACTAGAGACAAAATGAAAAATGAAAGACTAACCCATCTTTGCTGACACCTCTGCACTCAAATATCTGGAGCATTTCCTGAATGGCATATGCAGAACAGTCCTGCGACCTGGGATCAGCTGCAGCTAGAAATGCTCTGACAAGGTCGTTGATCAGGTCAAAGGCAAAGTGCATGTCCTCAACACTAGCCTGTATGTCAGAGAGAAGGAGTGAGAGAGAGGGGGGGGGGGGGGTTACAAAGCAATGCAAATACAAATACAAAGCAATGAAAGTGTCAGCTCAGAAGACAGTGTAAGGCTCAAAATACTACTTTCTGAATAAGACATTCATTTGGAGTGAAGCACAAAGTTGAACACAAGATTCAGCACAATGCTACGATGTGATTACATCTCTATGTCTGAAACCAAAGTTTCTATTTTCAATGCCTTTCAATCCTTTTACAACAAAGACTATTTCTTTCAGCTCTTATTCCATCAGGGTTTTTTTCTCTCTCATGTTCCTCCTAATTTTCCCTTTCCATAGCTTCTATTTTTGTTTGCTATCTGCTGCTGTAATATTGCTAACCCCTAAAAAAATATCTGAGATGTGGTGGTGGTTATTTCACCTGGCTGCTAACAAAGCATAAATGCTTGTTAGTATTAAAGCAACCAGACGGCTGGCAGCTTTAGGTCCTCTCCGAGGGACCTGGTAATGAGGATTAATGCCTTACCAAAGGGCATTAGCGCATCGAGATGGTTTCAAACCCGGATAACCGGATTACGAGACCACTGCTCTACCAATTGAGCTATCGCTCCTCCTCAAGCACTGATGTACTTACATGAAACTTGGACATTTCAGCTTTCTTAGATGTGGTGCTCAGATCTAGTCTACCAGGGTCAATCGCTCCCAGCACACCCAGGCATACACCAAACAGGTTCTTGGCTTTGTGATCAGAGTCATGACATCCAGATAGGAGCTACAGGAAGGAATCAATGGTACAGTCAAACCTGCTTTAGTGACCACCTGTCTACAAAGACCACATTTTTTGTTTCCCTTGAAAACGGTTTCTTATTGAAACATGTACTAAAGGAACCTGTCTTCAGAGACCACTTTTTACTACAGATAAGTCTATCACATGGTCAATACTTGTAGCTAATGGCACACCCAGGCAAACACCAAACAGGTTCTTGGCTTTGTGATCAGAGTCATGACATCCAGATAGCAGCTACAGGAAGGAATCAATGGTATACTGAATGGCCAGATGGGGGTTGCAAGAATATATGATACTACAGACAAGTCTTTCAGATGTTATTACAGGTAGGGTAGCTAATGGCACACCCACGCATTCACCAACAGGTTCTAAAAAGTTATTTTTTTTAATTGTAGTTAATTTCCTTTGAAAACATTGAAATATTAATTCAGTCAAATAGCACAACATTATTGTTTAATTAGGTTTGCCTTCTATAATAGCAAAGAAAAAATAACCAAGGAACATTGATTTTCTGTTAACATACACCCCCATTTAGAATTTGCAACCGAAATAGGCCTACTTTTCTTTGACAATGTGCTTGACGTAAGATTTAGTACGAGTATGCATTATCATATGCTAATAAAATCATTGAATGACATTTCAACTTACCACTGAAACAAGCTCATTTATGACTGGTGCCACTGTCTCACTGCCCATTACATACTCATGAAGACAACTCTGAAAAGAGAATTAGAAACGATTCTTTAAAATTTACCCTGCACCGTTATACCCCCAGGTACATAACAAATTATGTAATGAATTCCTATTGCTGTAATAATTTGAAATATTTTTTCCTAACCCTTTTTTGTAACATATTGTTTTTGTTTCATTGTTGAGCCAGTTGTTTTTTAATACTTTGTACATGCCTCTTGGTGATAGTAAAAAATGCAAGAATATAATCACCCTGTCCACTGATTCCACAAGCACACAATCAAGTCTACTGTGCGTTCTTATCATAGACCCTGTATCCCTTTTCTGTATTTAACAAAACTCAAATAAAGAATGTATTTGGTAATGATTACCTGGTTTGCTTGAAGCAGATCCCTCAGATTGGAGAGAGCATGGATTCTGACATCCACACTCTCATGACTGACCCCTTTAAGTGACCTCTTCAGCAGGGTTCGAAGGTCAGGTTGGCTGGATGGGTCCTCCCTGTGCTCCTTCAATAGTGCGTTGACCTCTTGCAGCTCGGGAATGTCCGGGAGGAAGTAGATCTCATTGAAGCGGTCACTGAATGCATCTCTGTAGTTGAGATCACAAATCAATGAAAAAAAAAATCATAAATGAATGTTAAGGCAAAATAGTCTAATCCTATTCCGTAGGAAATGAATAAAGTGCACTTTCATTGTTGTTACTAACTGCAGTACAACATCTTCACAAGCAATTAGCCAGTTGAACATTCCACTCCGATTCACAAGGGCATCATTTCACGAAGTCGTCATATATGCAAGTTCACTGACATCCAATTGAAACACGTGTTAAATTTCATACACACGTTTAAATGGGTTGTCGGCGAACTTGTGCTTATGATGGTTTCATAAAACGCTTCAAAATTAAAAATAGACAAACACATACCAATCCACAATCTCTGGATTATGCATCTTGATGTAGAACATAATGAGAGCTGCTAAATTAGTGTGCTTATAATATGAAGTGAATTGCTATAGATATCTAATGAACTAAACAATAAACAAAATACAAGGTTACACAATATTAAGAGTATCAGGAGTATGGTGAGGTGGGCATGGTAAAATGGTCTTTAAAAATTGGCATGCTACGTGGGCCAAAATATAAAAGAAAGTTGATGAACAAGAAAACTCACAAAGAAAATGGGGGTCTCTAAAATGCTTAAGACTTACCTATTATCAATGATGAGAGTGTGTATGATAGTACTGACTTGTTGAGGTAGCTGATTGAGGAGTGGTAGGAGGGTCACGATGACCTGACTTAACATCGGACCCAGGGAGGAGGCATCAACACTGTCAGTAAAGAAATTAATCAGCATTTATTAACGGATTATGAAGGCTCATCATTCAGGAGAGTATTGATTATGAATAAGAAATATTACAATGCAAGTGACTGAAAGTGGGAAGTTATCAAGAAAAAACAACATGAAATATCACTTAAAGCATCATCTAACTCATTGAGTCTGAATCAGTGGTCCATGTATTAAAATAATTGGAAACGAGAGAATTCAGTAGGCAACAGGTTCATTCCAACTGAGCAATAGTAATAGAAGGATCGTAATCAGTAAAAAAATATATCTTGAGATGGAAGAAACACATATACAAAGATCAGCCTCCTCTTGAACAAAAGAAGCAAAATGCATTAAAAAATGATCCAAAAACAATTCTGATCAATCCCAGATATTACTGATCGTAGTTGAAATGTACCCCTTGTAAGTTTCCTCTACTGGCAGTTATTCAGGAACTCATTATCCTTTATTTGATCTGGAATATCCAATCCAATCCAATCCAATCCAGGTATTTATAAAGCGCCAATATCTAGTTGCCTAATCAAAGGTGCTAATGAGACTGAAAAACTACCAAAAATGTCTGTTCATGATTCTAACTGGGAAAGACAAAAAAGCAGTGGCTAATTGTAAGCGACCTAAAATAGGTATGTCTTTAGTTGAGTTCTGAAAGTGGATAACCGGGGACAAGAGCGAAGGGTTTGGGAAAGACCATTCCACAATCTCGATGCTAGTACGTGTACTGTAGTACAGGACAGAATGTTGACTAACCTGTGCACGAAGCAATCCCATGCCTTGCAGGAGAGTGCGGGGAATCCATGTTCCTTGTAGCGGAGACCAATCTTCAGTGTAGTCATCACCTTGACTCTTACCCCTGTGATGTGCCTAGGTCCCATCAGCTTCATGATGCATACCAAGCTCTCTAATGCCTACAAATACAAATACAGTGAAACTGTATACGGACACTGCTCAAGGGAAACACAAAAAGTGGTCTTTATGTACAAGTTCCTTTATTACATGTTTCAATGAGAAACCATATTCAAGGGAAATAAAAAATGTGGTCTTCATAGACAGATGGTCTTTCCAGGCAGGTGGTCGCTAAAGCAGGTTTGACTGTATTACACATTTTAATGTAATTTATATTTTTTGCTATGGGTCAAGTTACGTGTTTGTGTAGTCTCCCAAACCCCATGTTAATGTACAATTTGGTGTCACACCTGTACATTAGTTCCCCCCTCCCCTCTTTTACCCTTCACCAAATTTATTTTACCAACTTTTAAAGTCAGTCTTTCTTGTTCTTGGAGCAGATTCTTAGGGTTCCTTCTTACAAGTTTGTATCTTCTTCCTGCTATTTCCATTTCAATACTTCGGCAGTTGTAAAACTAAGTAAAACTTCAATGCAGTACACTCCAGAAAAGAGTAATGCTTATGAAAACCAGAAAATACTTTCTTCATCGTAATCCAGTAAGTAACCCCCCATTCAACAAAACAGCTGTAACATACATGTTCAGTGTATAGAAGTACCACAGATGATTTTCTCTTTTAACTTTTCTCACCAGTTTTTTGTCTTGAATGGGTATCCTACTGTTGAGGAGCTGAGAGTCAAAGAATGCTAAGATTCCCAGGAGTCTCGGCTGCAGGAAGTCAGCCATGTCTGCTGGGTGTGTGATTGGACGAGGTCCCTTGTACGTATCATCACGGGACGCTAGCATTGCAAGGCCACTGAACACCTAGAACAGAAAGCCGAAAATTATTGTTACAACCATTTAAAATTCATGAATAATTATAACCAATAATGGAGAAACAAACTCAACATTGCATATGAAGAAAGATATTATGCAGTCATAGACTGAGGTCAATGACATCCTCTCTCTTGGGGGAAACTCACACAAGTAATGAACGCTTTCTGTCATGTAAATGTCTTCTCACACATGGGATTCCAAAATATCTACTTGATTTTCACCTGAGATGTTTAATCATTTCCCATTTTAGCCCATGCACATTCCAAAGCTTCTTCTGCCTTGACAAAGTTGAAGTGTTAAGGATAAAAGAAATCACATATCAAAGATTTGGAGGTTAACAATTGGGGGTTTATATCATCATGAATTTGTCAAAATCCCTCTAAAGACATGAGATGATTTTCAATACTACCAAAGTGCCAGGTTTCTTTTCTCATGAAACATAAGTGACATCACTCCACATCTCACCTGTGAGTAGTTATGACTGAGATGCAAGAGAAGTTCATTATGAAGACTCTGATAATCCATCCTGAGAAGCCTTCCTAGTTCAATCTCAGTCTCACTCTATACACCAAACAATTTAAAATAGAAGCATTAAAACAAGCATAAAATTAACAATGAAAAATATAATACATACTTTTTGCGATACATCTTTTTATCCAGTGATTACATACAAAAGCTCATCAAGGTAAATATATATAATGAAAGCAAAGAATGTATATGTTGTTTTCAGACAAACAGAAACATAAACATGTAAGTGTGAAGAAAATAACTAAAATAGAAATTTTACAATTGGGCTCTAAAAAGGGACAAAACAGATTCTGAAAATGGACACCTCCCCCATCAAAAAGGTCCGAGTACATTAATTTAATTTACTTCACAAAATACCTGTATAAAGCTGTTTCAGCAATAAATCGATAAACAATTGTTCAGGTAGCATTCAAACATAAATGAAAAATTACATTTCATCATTTACAAGTTAGTGAAAAAGCATTACAAATAATTTTAAAACAATCTTCAGCAAACATACATGTATACTTTCCATTTTCCATTTTCTATCAAAAATAAACTGAATGACAATACTTAAAGGTCATCCCTACCTGAATGTAGTGCAAAGCTTTCTCAAGTTCAGTCTTGCCTTGGGTTCTCACCAAGTAAGAGAAGATGAACTTAAAGTTCTCAACCAACATCTCTCTGTGACTCTGTCAAACAAAAATATCAACAAAAAATAATTTCTGGTGAAAAAATAATCTGTATTCTATTGTATAAACATGTAACATAAAGAAATGCACAACACACGTATTTCAAGAGAGAGAGAGTCGGAGAGATTCAAGACATTTCATTTCATCATAATCATAAAACATGCAAAGAATTATACAAAACACAGTACAGGATTTCCAATGCCAAGAATGCGTTCACAGATTCCCTCTAATATTCCATAAGCATTAATTACTAAAACAATAAATTTGCAACGTTTGTATATGAATATCCCAATTTCGCTGTTAAGGCCTGTGCATATTTAAAACGAGACAAATGCAGATGAATGTTTCATTTACATGTACATGTAGGCCATCACTCTTCTGCTTTCTTAGGTAAATCGGGTACTTACTATTTTCAATGTTCTTGCGAGGGCTTTGAGTAGTACACTAGCCTCAGCACTGGCTTTACTGACAATGTGAGGTAACAAGAACTCCAACGTACGCTGTTTGATCAGGAAGAAAGGAGAGGATAGGTTACTACAATGAGAAATACTCACATGAAACAATAACCTACAGTGTATTTGATTTATCAATAAATGCAGAAACATCTGCTAAAAAAAAGTGTATGTGTTTGGTAATTTTCTCACGTTGGGTGTTTGTTGTATGTCACTGATTAAGGTGAGAAATAATCTTTAATAAGTAAAACCTAATCTTTTCCTTGATTAAAATCATTGAGTCAATTCGACAAATACTACATAATACATGTACCATCAAAATAGATTATATTTAATTAAAGATTCAATCCTTCTCTCAGATGTAGATTTTTTTTAGCGTTTTTGTGCAATACTTCATTATTCAGATAAATTGAAATCTGTTATGGAATCAGTTAAGATAATACACTGAACATGAACAATATTAAAGACAGGGTATTCTACCCACTTCATATGTATGAATACTGGCATCTATATTATAAGCACACTAATTTACTGCCCGATGTGTCGACATCAACGTCCCACAATGCATCACCAACAGCATGACGCATGTGTGTGATGATGCTTGGGTACAGGAACCGGAAATCGCTCTTTGTACGCCTTCCCCGAAAGATTGTGCAATTGAAAATACATTACAGCGATGTAAGCGATGTTGTTAAGATACCATGCCTTCAAATATAAAGCATTTTAGTAGGAACAAAAATGTAGAAACATTTCCAATTCTGCAAGTGTTTCTTGCATTTCTTCCTTAAGCTCACCTCATAGAATGTCTCCAAGTTCTTGAATCCAAATGCATTTGCAACCTTGGTGATGGTATCCAGACAAGGGTCCTTGTCCTGGTCCTGGGTCTCGGACTGGTTCTGGGACCAGGACTGGACCGCATCGTGCATGGCCTCTACAAGGAACTTACACACAGGCTGCTTGAACTGAGACAAGATGGCCGCCATGGTCTGACCCTTGGCTTCAGCTATGGCGTGGAGCTGTGAAAGATGGAAGGAATTGTTCTCAGCATCCTTCGCAGGGGGTCTGTGTTTTTATTTTTAGGGTTTGCCATTATTGAGCTCATATAAATTTAAAAATGTGGGGACCGGAGTGCAAGTTAGAGGGCCCATTTGCATGGGGCCCCTTTTAGTTTCCCACTCTTTAGTAACTCTAAATTACTATTTTAGTAATAAATACAAACATCTTCCTGTTTTAGACATTCATTCAAAGTTTGGATTCCATCTAGATGTGTTGCCGTAAATTTCGAGATAGGGAATATTCTTCTTATATCCAACAGATTTCCTAAAACTGAAATGAAACTATAAATCTAAAGGTAGTTAACTTTGGTTAAATCCATACTCGCCTTTACTGCAGTGTCTTTCTGTAACATTCACAAGTTCTCTCTCTGTCTCTCTCTGTCTTTCTCTCTCTTTCTCTCTCTCCATCTCCTGCACATTTCACTGTGCATACATGATTTTTAGTTCAAAGGAGATAAAAGCATATCTCTTCAAAGGCCTGAGTGAAAATCAATGCATTACCTCGATATAAGCAATGGAGTTAACCATCGTGACCGTAGACAGCAAGCTTTCCAACAGACTGATGATAGCTACCATTAGTAACTCTCCTTCTGCAACCCTACAAAAAATTATCAATACAAATGACTCTGTTAGGGATCTTCAAGGGTGCTAACTGAGCACTAATTTACCTGGCTGATAATGCACTTCTTAAGTGTCTTGGATAACAATTCTTCTTTTAAAGAAGTGTAAAATGTGATCCCTATGATTGAAGTAAAATAAATCCCATTATTTTAATGTTTATCATCTCAAATGTAGAGGTAAGAGGTAACCTAATAATTCCTTCCTACAGCTCAACACAAGTAGTCAGAATCAATCCCCAAGTAATATATCACAAATGAACATTCATCACCTAATTATATAATTGCAGATGTGCCATAATAATCAACTCTTTTGATTGTGGGCATCATTAGAAAGGGAACAAATTGTGGTCTACAAACACATTGACCTATAGGATCATTGGTCACTTACTTGCCCAGCTCTCCAATGGAGCTGACCACCGTCTCCTGCAGACGTCCATTCCCTGAAGACTTGCCGGACATGAAGGCTGACTTGAGCTGAGTGACCACTGCTTGGATGTTCAGGTCACTACACTGGTCACCGTTACCAACCAGATACTTGATGTTACGACTGGGGAAAAACAAAGAAGGAATTATTGTGGATTACATCATTATAAGTGAAATATAAGGTTAGAAATGACAGAGGACTCAGCTTTTAATAAAGTAGAGATTATATTAATTAATACAAAGGGTTACAGAGAAGTCAGAGAGAATGAGCACTGGCTATGTCATTTAAACCATTGAGATACTGCTATTAAGTACAGCGTGAAATCTCTTCCATTACTTTAGAAGTAAAAGTCAGCAGCACTTTGCACAACCCTTCACATAATAATAATAATAATAATAGATCACATTTATAACGTGCCTAATACATCGTTTCTAGGCGCAGTGGTGCTGTTGTCCCAGCAGCCATTAAGTGAAGCAATATCCTTACACGAAATAAAGCCGGGACGACAGCACCACAAGTACACAATATTATTCAGTACACAATTATACAGTATGCTATGTTACATTACAAAATCAAAATTACAGTTTGTTTATACAAATAAATGAATAAATCAGCTTAATCTAACTTAAATCTAACTTAAATCTAACTTAAATTCTGCTAAAGATGACTTATTTCATAACAAATAGAAGTACAACATCATTTATTTATTTGACATGTTTAGAGAAGAAAAAAAATCATGGTATGTTTTTGAACAGATGGGTTTTTAACATTACTTTGAAAGTGGATGTAGAAGGAGCATTTTGAATGTAGGACAGGAGGCTATTCCACAACTGGGAGGCAGCTACAGAAAGCGCTCTATCCCTGTATCTCGTTTTCACACGGGGGCCAGGAATTAGTTGAAGGTGAGAGGAAGTAGAAGCACGTAACCTGGAGGAGGGGGATTTGGATTTTACAAGACTGGAAAGGTACGTGGGGCATTCACCGTTACGGATTTTAAAGGCAAGGAGAAGAATTTTAAATTGGATACGTTGAATTACTGGCAGCCAGTGGAGATTGCGGAGGATTGGGGTAATATGTTCATAAGGTCTTGAGCGGGTAACTAGACGAGCGGCGGCATTTTGGATACGTTGAAGAGGAGCAAGGTTGGAGGGTGGCAAATTAACAAAGAGGCCATTACAGTAGTCTAAGTGGGAAGTGACAAATGCATGTATCAGTCGTTCTGTAGTGGGTTTATCTAAAAATTTCCTAATTTTGCCAATTTTGTGGATACCATAAGATGCAGCTTTACATACTTTCCTTATGTGAGCCTTCATATTGAGAGCAGTGTCTACAGTCATGCTTATTATACATAGGGATGAACCTAGCCTAGACAGCAGACAGCATTCAAATTTGGATATAACTTGTTTAACCCAACATCAATAACCTCAATTTGAAATGGTGCATCGTTTTTGTTTACAAATGCATAAATATAGTTATAATAACAAATGTACATTCAGAAAATTTGATACCAAGGAGTGTCACTGTTCACAAAAATTTTAAAGAACTAACAAAGCAAATTGTTGTACCTGAAAACTTGTCTGACTAGATGATCATCATCAACGGCAAGGGTTAAATAGGCATTGAGTACCCCAGTCACAGCAGAATTGGTGAACTTCAGATCCAAATGTGATAACACCTGCCTCAGACTGTGTATCATACCTAAAATGGTGGAAAGTATATATTATTAGTACTTCATGCAGAAATTTTAAAGATCGACCATTAGAAGGCAAACATACGGAAATCATAGAATTGATATGAAAGCATAATCCGTAATTTCGATGCAGATATTTGATATACATTTACTATTACACAATAAACTTTTGCACATTTATGAGTGGTCAATAGTTGTGAAGTTCCTTGACATTAATTAACTGAATCACATCAATGAATTTGGTAATTTTGCAAAAGCTTTCGTTATACATTGTAATTTTCTGGTTTGAATGGGATGGAGCAATACATGTATATGTATATTTTTTTAAAATAATATTACTCTTATGTCACAAAAAACAATCAATATTAAAATGAACAAAAAATACCTAGTTTGGTTTTGACTCCTTTCTGTAACAGCACCACGAATGGAGAGATGATTGAAGCATCTAGAATGGTGAGTTCCACTGAATGGTGCATCTTGTCTGCTGTGGTTCCCTCTGTGCTGTGACCTGGGGTACAGGTGGTACACCTGAGTTGCACCGCTCGGTGTAGTGGTGTTTGCTCCCTGTCTAGCTCTCTGATCAGAAAAGTATGTCTTGATTAGTTATTTCAAAGTGCATAAGAACTAATTTTTCAAAAAATGCTTTCTTTACTGCCATAAATCAGTAACACAAAAAGAGGTCCAATGTTATTAATCAAACTCAAATACTCTCTCTTATTTTATAACACACTACTTGTGTTGATGTAAAAAATACTTCCAGTGTCCCTGTGAACTTCAATTTCATTTGGAAATATAAACAAAGATTAATTTAAAAATATATAAATTAAGAACTAAGGAAATCATGATCATAATTTATACAAATGTAAATCAAGTATTCATGAAAATATGTTATAAAGTATTCTTCCTTGTCATGTATGAGAATGATTTGTCTGCTGAGAGGCAGAAGGGTGTTCAATCATAACTTGTATAACAACATTAAAGTGACTCGGTATCATTGCCTGAGATTCTAAAAAACCAAATCCTGGATTTAGCTCATGCAATATAAACCTTTAGGTCATTCAGGAATCCCATTACTTTTATAAGCCGATCGCCTGTCTTATTATCAAGATATTTATGATTGGAAATCAAATTTCATTTTTCGTTTTCCTAATAGTTTTCATAACACTACAGTCTACTGGGGAAAATGAGTATGTATGGTAAAACCGGTCACTCAAAGTTTTTACTTTGTTGAGGCACTTAATCATAATCATAATCATTTTGAAGTGCAATTCTTTTAGGGCATCAATATTACACCATATGGCAGATACTGATAACACGTAGGGCCATGCATCTCAGATTTAACATTGTTAAACGATGTCTTTAATGCTCTTCTGGCTCTCATCAGATGAATTATTATAATTGCAGATCTTCTTACCTGTGGAGTGTACATCCAGTAGCTAGTACACAACATAGCTCTCCCATTACCTCAGCCAAACAGCTAGTAACAGTCTCAGATTCAGATCTGCATAGGGGGCTTTTGATGGAAAAGAAATATGTATACAAAATATGAAGCAAAAATCAATGAATTCAGCTCAGAAGTTTGTATTATTTAAAGTGACTATTTTCCTTTATAGGCTAGAAGAGATAATCCCATAAAAGGTAAAACTTTTGAGATACAGCACTTTTCCTCTACAACAATACATTCAGAAGGATTTGCCCCCCCCCTTTCTATTCAGTTTCAGACTGATAAAGGAACAAGAATACATTGCAGCATGAATATTGCCCATCCTCTATCCAAACTATTGTTGTAATCTCAAGAAACTAACCAACATACTCAAAAAGTTTGAAAGGAAGGGTACTTACTGCATGTGTTCTTGAATGAGTGTATAGTAGCTTGGTGTCAAGTTGAAGAGAAGTAGCGGAAGTGCTTGAATAGCTGCTATCTGGATACTTTCCTTACTACTGGTCTGAAAAGTTAAAGCAAATTCAAGAAAAACTAGATGGAACTTCGACCGCGCGCAGTCGAAATGATGCCTCCGTCATAGAGCAATTTACAAACCAAAACAGAAGAAATTTTTCAAATTTGATTTCTATTGTAATCCATTAACAGGTTCTCAGAATATTGTGATTACAAGCAATTTCTCATATACATATATGACCCTTTGATCTTTGACCTCATGACCCTAACATCTACTCAGTTCATTGGCTCTGCAAGATGTCCGGAGTTAAATAGTAATCCATCTGTCAGTTCTAATGAAAATGCGATCACAAGCTGTTTTTGCATACATAATGAGCCGCATGACCTTTGACCTTGACCTCATGACCCCAAAATCTAATCAGTTCATCGGCTTCGCAAGTAACATACATGACCTAAGTTTGGCAGGAATCCATCAATCGGTTCTTCGGATAACGCGATCACAAGCTGTTTTTGCATACATAATGAGCCCTGTGACCTTTGACCTTTGACCTCGTGACCCCAAAATCTAATCAGTTCATCGGCTCTGCAAGATACATACATGAACAAAGTTTGGCAGGAATCCATCAATCGGTTCTTTGGATAACGCGATCACGAGCTGTTTTTGCATACATAATGAGCCCTGTGACCTTTGACCTCGTGACCCCAAAATCTAATCAGTTCATCGGCTCTGCAAGATACATACATGACCAAAGTTTGGCAGGAATCCATCAATCGGTTCTTCAGATAACGCGATCACGAGAACGGGACGTACGGACGGACGGACGGACGTACGGACGTACGGACGTACGGACGGACGGACGGACGGACAACCAGAAAACATAATGCCTCCGGCTACTTCGTAACGGAGGCATAAAAATGTATTTTCATTTTAAAAATATACATTGTATAACCTTCTCCTCAAATTAACTTAAAGTAAGCATCATGCAGCACTTTCATTTCATATGTGTTTTGTTTAAATATTTCCTTTATTTTTTTCTAAGTGTGAGATGAAAAAATGAAAAATACTATACGGTAGTTTCCTTAAATATCTCTTCATTGCCACTTAAGTATTGCAGGGAGATGACTATGCTTCATCTCTATTTCAAGACAATTTAGGAGCTTCATAATGTTAATGCAGGGATGCCAACCTTTCAGAGCACAAATCAGTAATCATAAGGTTAAAAATCCGTAATTTGGAGACAAAATCCGTAATTTTCTGCGCGACGCAAATTTTTCTGCACGCTGGCAAGCGCAGCTCCCGCAGGCAAGCGCGATAGCACAACAAGTTAAATAAAAGTAACATAGACTACCTGTTCATTAGTTGGTGTTACGCGATGCATTTCCATTTCTTACTGTATTCTTCTTTAAAAGTCTGTAACTTCTTGCCACGCTTCTTAGTTGTGGAAGACATGATGATTGATATCTAAATCCAACCAACATGAGTTCAGATTGTCGACGAAAATCGACGAACGCTGTGACAGCCTGTGAGAAATCCGACAGTGTACACGGCGCTAGCGTAGCGAGGCCTGGCGCTGGCCGCGCGGCCAAGAGAGAGGTATTTCACCCGGCCCCCGCTCGCGAAGCTGTCTTTCTCTGCTGGGCACACACGCACACAGTCAGAATATACAAAGACGCACATGTATGCACTATGCACTGTGAAAGGGGTGTGCTAGATAACAAATTGTCCAATCGGAAGCCCTATGGGATTTCTATGCATGGATTCAAGGATGGCTGCGCTGCAATAGTCAAAAGTACGTGCTAAACCTTAAAGTGCTAATTTTGAAATTCTGCAAAATCGGCAAAATCCGGGATTTATGGTACGAAAATCGTACCGCCCGTAATCGGCCGATTTCCCGTAGAAATTACGGGAAATCCGTACTAGTTGGCATCTCTGTTAATGATGTATTCAGGAAACAATTTTACAAGGAATCTAGAAGATGGTGAAAAAAATACTTAGCAAACTATACAAAATAAGATATGGAAATCATATTGACCGACTAAAAGACTCTTTAGATGAAAAGAGGTCAAAATGATGCCCTAGTTCCATAACTTCTCAATCATTCAACAAACAAGCAAGAGATCAATGACCTGCATTCTATAGATGTACATTACAGGAAGGGAGCTCCACAAACATGTAATCAACAAGAAAGGCTGGTAAATTCTACATTACAGTGATGTAAATTACAGGATGGCACTAGAAATACACAATGTAATCAACATGTGTGGTATTGCAAGAGACAATGGGCTTGTTGATTACAGGAAGGTTAATTGGATGTGTTGATGGATGGATAACAAAAAGTTGACCTCCATATTGCTTTAAGTCAAAACATATGGGGTGATCTAGGTCAAGCAGATGAACCTGATTTCAAACATCAATCTATCAGTCAAACTAATGGTCATCATATATTAGACTAATCTTGTTGAATTATGGTTCTACATTATCCAGACGTTTGTTAGAGTAAGTTATGACAACATCACTTTTAAAGAAATAATTCTTACACAATGAAGCATACATTAAAGTAATCAATCTCTTCAAATCTGATTATCTTGATAATCATAAACCAAATGTACATGAAAGTTCCATTTGTCTCTGCTCTGTTTAAGCATTTATGGTATTATCACTGATGGGTCAATTTCATAACAAGCACTTTTTCTTGTTTACACCAAAATAAATTGTTTGACTAAGCTTTCCATCCCATCTTACCTTCCCTCCCAAAATGTTTAATTCTAGTTTTACTGCTATTTCAATTCAGAAAGGTTTTAATAACAAAGAAAAAACCAAAGTGAATGAATATACCAAAGCATCCTTGAAGATGTGAATCCTCCATTTTGGTGCAACATCCTTTGACAGCATAGCAATAAGGTGAAGGCACTGCTGCATTGAGGACTCATCTAAAAAAGAAAAGTTTATACCTAATAATCAAATTATATTCCAAATGACTGCTTTACTTAAAATCAAAGGGGGCAAAATAATCATACAAACATTAAAAATTCATAATAACTTAAAATAATCTATATGTTTTTTTAGGACTGCACTAAGTCACATCATTCGACACAAAAGCATGACAAATTAGTCATTTTACACACATGTAAATCTATCTATATAAACAATTCTCCCCATGTTTACACTTCAGTCGGCCTTTAGAAATTGATTATTTTTTCACGAATAAATGTTGATTTATAAAAATTCCAAATACTTGGATTTTCATACATAGATTTCCAGGTCAATCATGTCGCACACTCCATGTTTATGTAAAAAGATGTGTTTTTCATAGCTTTTCCATGAAAATTCATGAACAAAACTAGCTTGACTATAAATTATTATGTATAAATGATGCTGATACCTAGCTTTTCTGCCAGTCTACTGCTGAGACCTCCTACTTCCTTCATGGTAGACCTGCCAAACATCTTGAGATCCAGCCAGTTGGCTTCCATCTACATCAATTAAACAGAGGTCAATTCAAGAGTGCATAGTAAATGCCATACACGCCAATCTAACACTTTGATCTTCACAATCATTCTCACATTTTAAAATATTTTGAAAAGCAGGATGCGAAGACGTCTCTCACACATCTGGTGACAAAGGAATATATCACGGCTATAGCATGTTTATTGTTTCTCTGCTACTCATATAATCAGTATGTGTATAAAACATTACTTGCATAATGAATGCACTGACAGACCAAAAAATTGAAAGCAAAGTAAAGTGGCAAATTTTACTTACAGGCAACCAAGGTAAACACAGAATCCATGTGACAGAGTGAAGGAAATCTTGTGGTAGTTTCACGTCACCTACAGAAGAAAAAATAGGGTAAATTTTAGTAAAAGATTTCTATTCTATATTTAAATAATAAAACACATACCATATACATGTATGTTCTGGTTTTCTAGGAGATAGAGAATCCTGCATGGTTTTAATTATCACTACTACAAACTTGTAGTCATCTTACATTCAATCTTATGTTAAATGTTTTTTATGAAACCCAATTGCAGCAGAATTTCTAGCTCAGCAAATCAAAGTATGAATTCAAGGACATTTCTATTTGAACTGCATAATTTCTGAAACTTCAGAGGCCTTTTTTCATAGAGGACTGTCATACTATCAACAAAAAAAAACAAAAAAAACAAATACAGAATGCTGATGACGCTTCTTACCAGCCAGAGAAAGCACAGCAGCAATACTGCAACAGATACACTGATAGGAAGACTGGACTAGACGATTGACTGCATCACCCTCATCCTTCCCATCACCATCTCCTCCCATCTTCTTCCCACCAGCACCACCAGACTGCCCCGCCCCAGCCAGAAGCTGCAATGTCCTCAACCACAGATCACACATCTTCTCCAACTGCTCCGAACCAATCCACATCGACAAGGTATTCCTGGAAGAGACTCCATCTCCTATTCCTCCTCCTCTTTCTCCATCACTCCTTCGTTCTCCTCTCGGTGCTTTCTTCAAAGAGTGGGTCTTGGGGCTGGTAGTGCTGCTGTCGTTGTTGGAGAGGTTTCTAAAGTCTTCACCAAATCTGCAGCAGCTTCTCGTAATGACTTCCATGAGGCTTCTAGTAGCCTCCAGGACATGGTACAAGCTCTGCAGAGCACATGGGTAGAATTTGAATGACTTTACTGCATTTCAGTTTCTCAATACCTCAGCACGCTCATGACAGTAATTATACTTACCTATAGAAATTAACTAAGATATACAGCATACTAATTAATCAGGAGTTACCTTTACTTTGAATGTACAATTCAAATAATCATATCAAAATGGTCTAAATGAAAGAATATACATCACATTAAATCATTGTTGTAAAGCATTATTAAACTGATTTATATAAAACAGATACATCATTGTAGCAAATATAGATACTATTAATTATCTTGAGTAAACATTTTCTTTTGGCTCTCAAAGAAAATGTTTTAAAATTATGAATGAAGGAAACAAAAAAATAGCAGTTTAAGAAATAAACTTTACTACCTTGTTATCAGTGGTTTGTATCTGACAGAGTGAATCCAATTTGTACAGAACATCTTGAAGGGTGTGAGACTTCTCAAACATAGGACTACATGTATCACCTTCAACAGCATCATCGTTAGGATCTCTGTGTGGGTTTTATCAAATTAAGGGGAGAAACAAGATATCAGAATCCGGATAAATCCTTGGCTTTTCATACAGCACTCTATTACAAGGTTAATGAGATGACATTCATAAGGTTGAATGGAAGTTAGTGTTATTTACATGGCATAATTACATGCAGATGAAAAAAGAGCATGTACATCCCCAGCGCTCTATATCCATGAGCTTTTAGGGTTTTGCTCAGAATGCACAGTTATCACAAATAATCCCAACAATTAAATAACCACAAATCAAACATTGAACAACAAACATGAAGTCTGAAAAGGAATACGAGACAAAGGAGAACCATTGAAAAAAAAAAATAATAATAAATATCTGTGGACCAATACCTAATGGTTGTATGTCCAATGGAAGACTTTCTCCTGGAAAGCTTATTCCTTTTCACCAGCTCTGGTACTTCTTCCCCACTGCTGGTATCAGTAAGGTCAATCACAATGTCTTCAGTGGTACCACCATGGTTACTTCTAATGTTGTGCTCAGCAGAATCTGGCTGCTGGGTGGGAGAACCCTTTGGCAGTGATGCCTGCAGTTCTGAACGGATGGCCAGCTCCAGGGGTAGAACCACACACTGGAATATCACAAAGAAACATGAATCAAAATTAAATATGACCTGTAGAAGAGTAATATAAAGTATAAAATAAATGACTGACTTCTAAAAACTGCAGAAATTAAGGAAGCATTTCTAGGAGATTCCTAAAGATTTGCTTCAATCCATTGCATTAATTTGAAAGGCAAAACAGGAAGTGGAAGCAACAGTGAGAAGTACAGAAAATACACAGGGGTAATCCCCTGGCTGTACTTTGTTGCAAATACCCAACAAATAACTTTGCTTTTTATCTTGTTTTACCAGGACGAAGGGACTTTGTCATATAACTTTCAATGGAACTCACATTTTATAAGACTACAGATAGGATATAAGGATGATTTTCAGAAGGACGAAGCAATTATGACTTGAGTTCTATCATATTGCCCAAACCCCATGTGATACTCCTACTGATATTTATTATGGTCCCTGTATTATATGAAGCCTATGGGTAAGAGAAAATTCAGTAGTCAATGGGTTAAGATGTTTATTGGTCCTGACCAAAGCACTGCTCGTCCACGCTCTAGGAACAAGCTAACACTTATGCAAATGTCCAGAGTAAAATGTCTAGCCCAAAAGGTGAAGCGAAACCCCCAAAGTACAGAGTCTAGTGACTCTCCATTGAATTCTTCTTCTTCCTCTTATGGATAATCCGCCTCCTTCAATGCTGAAGATTCTTGCAGATGTATGTACTGGGGTGTGCAGGTTGACCACTACACCGGGGTTTCCCCCCTACTCTTATACGAATAGTGCAGTGGGTTCTTAACGTGCAAAGGTGCTGACTCTCCTCTACACGGGCCTCCATTTAACATCCTATCCGAGGGACTGAATTGCACAAACCTGTCCAGACTGTAGCATGTGTAGCTGCTGGATGAAGGCTTGATTGATAGTCTTCATTCTAGTCTCTCTCACAGATTCCAGAGACTCGTACCCAGAAGGAATGTGACGTTGGATGTAGACTACCAGGTGACAGAGAGATGATTTCAGTGATTCTGCAAGATGAAACAATGATGGATGAAAAAAATGTAATTATAATATGAGAAATTCATTTAATAATTTGTTACTACCGAAATTAAAAACATGTTTTAAGAAAAAAAGTTTCAGCTATTTCGGTGTGAAGTGCTGGAACTCTATTTCACCAGAACTTAAACGTGAGTTATCTATTATGAATTTCAAAGTTAATCTAATAAGTATAATGAAATCAAGAGTCATTAATGAGTAATCCCATCCCCTTTAAATATTTTATATATTTTTGGTGTATGTTATATTTGTTTTGTATATCTTTATGTTATCATTATTATGTTGTATATATGTTATTTTTATATTGTATGTTTTATGTATATGCACGGCCCTACGGAAGAACAGTCCGTGGGCTGAGGTAGGCCTCCATGCTTAAAGAACAAAATGAAATAAATGAAATTAAATGTACAAAAGATGTCAATCAAGAGACTGGTAATCCAAATATGTACACTATACATGAAATAATCACAAAAGCATGTATTAAAGTTGCTCAAGCGTGGCTACATAGAGGACACAAAAACAGGTGCAGTTCTCTTTTTACAACCAGGAAATGTGTTTTGTGGATGTTCATCACACCAAGTTAATTACCACATCATCTGTTGACAGCAAACAGTGAATAAATGGAGGACAAATATCAGCTGATTCACCAGACTGCAGTCATATGCATTGGTCAATGAATCTACAAATTGAATGAATATCAAGATGACTAAGAATATTTCACCTGATTTGATACTATGTAGTCCATATTTGGGAATGTTTTCAGACAGTGTTTCCATGATGATCTCTATGACTGAGGGTGGTAGTGAGTATCTGGGTTTTCCTCCACTCTCTGCAAAGAGCTCCTGGATACAAGCTGACAGATTCTCTTCTAGCTGATCTACATCTCTGGAAAATTGTATTAAAACAATGAAGCAATATCTTAGAATTCACATATCCCACATAACACTGAAAAGGGTAATGAATATATTTTGTGTACACAGTCTTACCACGTTATCTCACAAATTTTTAATAATGTAAGTTTTATGAATTGTTTACAAAAAAGGCATACGCATATGGCCTATTGTTATAAATATAAGGTGTTGTAATTGATTTCAAACTAGAATTCAGAATGAAACCCAATTTAATTTCTTAAGGCTAAAAGACTGGCCCTAGATCAAAATAAGACCAATCAAATGAAATTCATAACCTGCATCTTGCAACATTCAAGCATATTTATGGGTCTCACAAACACAAAGAAAAGTTGGTGAATACTCTATAAATGATGATTCAAAAAATTATTATGGAGGTTCTTTGACTTACTTGTAATCTCTGAACAGATCATGCCCTGATTGCAAACAGGTTAGAGTGGTGAACATGAGGTCCACTATATGGTCTATAGACTGTAGAGGTGGTGAAGCTACATGGTGGATCAACATTGCCAAGGTTTTCAAGGAGGCCTATTTCAAGAAAATATAAAGGAAACAATAATTAGGGGTAAAGCAAAATATATCATGGGAGAGCAAGGTATGATTGGGAAAGAAAATGTGACCAAGCAAAAAAACAGAAAGACAGTATCCAATTGAAGAGGCAGGGAAATGAAGTAAGAGTGAAAAGTTATACCAAAATATTCTCAAAATCTTACATCTATTCATAGCCAATTTAACTTGGCATGTGAGATGATCAGTTGATTGAATGTGAACAAGAATAAATATATAACAAATTATTGACCTCCCAAATGAAATTCATCAGTCGGATAAATTTGTGGGTACATTAAAAAAACTTTACCTCTTCTCAACAGTTTATGAATAATCCCCATAACAAAATTGACACAAAAGATAAATGTCTGCTGTCTTAAATGAAGATCATACCTGTTTGATTTCTAGCTGTCCTGTTTCAAGTTGCCATGCTAATGTAGTCCAGAGTAGGAGCATGTTGTTTGATAGGAATGGTTCCACATCAGTAGCCATCTCACACATAATGTCACTAATTAAAGAAGACCAATTCATTTTTTTTTCAATTCAATAAAAAAACAATCAAATTCTTCACACAAAGGCGATGGAAATTGGGTCTAGAGGACTAATTACAAATTGGGGTGGTGTTCGGGGCTGGTGCAATCACCACAAATTTGTTTTGCACAAATGTTTAGAACCAGCAACCTTGATAACTCGGCCAGTATCACATTACACTTCTGTACTCAGGGCTGGTGTGATCACCACACATTTATTAGCACAAATGTTTGGAACCAGCAATCTTGACAACTCAGCCAGTATCACATCGCACTTTTATACTCTATTATGATGATGGCCCAGTGCATTGTTCTAGTCTGTTTGGCATTATGACTTACCAGATAGCTACTTGGAGGAGGTAGCAATTGCTGACATGACCAATCTCTATGCGCCTGGGATGAGAAGCGATGGTCTTAAACTCAGGATGCTCCTGGAAAATGATTGATAAGGCAAAGTAAGTGTCACATGCAATGGAAATGACTGACTCTCTCATCACACTAATCACACTTACATTGAAGAGCATACAGCTATTAAGAGATAATATGACAGCTGACAGGGTGGGATAACATGCATCAAATGATGATAAAAGAAATATTACAGCAGCTTATAAATAATAATAACCATTCAATTTATTCACAATCTTTGGCTCTCAAATAAGCATTGGGGATTGACTGACCTCTGGATTATCTGAGCTCCTGACATCCACTGCAAAGTGTTGGACTTGAAGGGGTGGATCAGGGCAGTCATCGTCTTCATTAGTAAACTTCTCATGGTTGATTTGCATTAATTCTGGAAAGGGAAAACATTCACAAAATGATAACTAAAAGGAAGCAAAATTTACATAAGGATCACTAACTCTATCAAGGTTTAATACCAATTAATTTTGCTATGAGGACACAGAAAGCATACATATTTCATGTTCACATCTGTGGCAGGAGTATGGTGACATACACATATGCAATTGAAGGGTGTACCAAAAATGTGTTAATTACAGCCGAAACATTTATGAGTTTGACTTTCTGTTGGTCAAAGAGATTCGATGTACCTATTACATTATCATTGAGAGCAAATCAGTAACATCAAGAACTAAGGTTAGAGTTTATGGAAATGTGCATTTTACCGAAAAACAAATCATATCCTGCGGTTTAAGTAAGACCAAGACAGCTCCAAATCTTGCAGAGTAAAAATGTCTGTTCCAAAAAAACTTACCTGCTAGAAGCCTTGCTAGATCATTGAAGAAGCGATAGAAGCTGTTGATTTCCTTGAACTTGATAAGATGAAGCAATGAGATGATGATCTGTGATGTCTGCTGATGGATGGTATGACAGGCATGCTCACCCAGCAACTGAAGAAGATGACATAGGAGCCACCTGTTCAAAGCTTTAGAGATGAAAATGATAAAACAGGTGCGTAAAGCTAATGTCACTTATCATAAAAGTGAGGGTTGTGAAAAGGCACTCTGAGCAAATGCTTTTAAGTGGTACCCAGGGCCCTGTCTTACAAAAAATTGATATCAATTGCAACTTATTTGCGATTGATATCAATCGCAACTATGTACATAAGAGATAGGAGACTGCAAACTTGCAATTGATTGGAGGACTCGCGATTGATTTGGATCAATCGCAACTCTTTGTAAGACGGTTGTTGTCTTGTAACTGAGAGGTTCCTAGATCAAAAACAAGTTTGTGCACTAAAGCTCTTATGTACAGCATTCATTCTCAATTATAAGTCCCCCAAGTTCTGCACATTAACATAACAAGATTAATCATAAATTCCAGAAGAAAATAACACAAATTTTAAAGAAAATAGAAAGTGAATTGCAATTTGTCAGTTCCTGTATTAAGAAAATTCCTTATTTTCAAATCTCAATGAAGTATTCTTATCAGTTTTCAATACATTTCATAATACCGGTACATCAATTACATACATTTTACTACCGTATGTGAAACATGTAGGTCACTCATCACGTGTATAAGAGGTACCAGATCAATTAAAATTCATTCATGACATGTATTTCTAATATACCGGTATGCTTTGAATTAAATATATATTTTGTTACAAAGTCATCATTGGATAATGAAGTGTTACATTTAATTTTATGTTCAATCAACTACACTGCTACTTCCTTTCTTTTCATCAGGATGTAACTTACTTTCAGCTACATAGAAGTCAGAGTGCCCACTCCTAGTGGACTCCTTGCTGCCAGAGCTGTGGGTGGCTTGAGAGTCTTGTGGAGGGTCAGAGCCGACAAAGATCAGGGGCTTCTCATTCACGCAGTACTGAATGAAGTTCAACGCCACTTCACAATGCTGACTTGAGCTGCCTGATGAATCACCAGCTAGTTCATTGCATACTAATTCAAGGAAAGGAATAATCGGGTGAAAAACATAAAATATCAATGTACATGTATGTCTTTGCTTCTGTTTATTTATTTTGGGGGAGTTACCTAAGTATATGAGAAGGTATCCTGCCCAATAAGCCTATTCAAGCTTATTTCTGGTTCCTTTTATCGTTCACCTACTACTTTATATTTTGGATATTAACTAAGCTTTTCTGTGTACAATGTACAAGACATTGATGATAAATTTACTCTTAATTTACCTAATATTAACCCATGCATTATGTGCACTAATGAAACTTGTACTAAAAGTAGTTATTCAATCATGTACACTGAATAATCTTGTCAAAGATTTTCACTGCCTGTATATAGCAATAACAAATAAAAAGGAGATTCAAATGCTCCTCGGCCTTTCAAATATTTACCTTCATCAAGATTGGAGAGAAAATCAGAGGTGATTCGGCAAATAGTCTTTCTGTAAATCTTGATCAGCCTGTACTGCTGCTGGGATGAGGAGCTGTTGGGTAAAACGATTAGATACCAGCATCATTAATACTGTACTGTCTGTGATAAAGTAACAAAAAGGGCAATTACACTCATGACAATGTATGATATAGATATTTCTTACTGTGGGGTATGTTTACTTTGGCTTCAATGTAATGGCTTGGATACTACAGTGAAACCTGTCTAAAAAGACCACCCCCTAGGGAGGCAAGAAAAGTGGTCTTTATAGGCAGGTGGTCTTTATGTACAGGTTCCTTTTGTACATGTTTCATTGAGAAACCAATTTCAAGGGAAACAAAAAATGTGGTCTTTCTATACAGGTGGCCACTAAACTAAAGCAGGTTTCACTGTAGTAGTAAGCTAGGGCAGAGGTCGTGGACTTATGGTAATCAACAAACTGTACACATAAGTGCAATAGTCTCACTGTTTAATTATATACCATGTGTATGATTCTTTTTAAACAAAAATTGAAGTCAAGATACGCACATATTTCTTGACTTTAAAAAAATCTGATTACACGTTTGAATACGAAACCAAACATATTGAATGGAGAATACCGGTAAAGAATCACACTCAAATGAAAATGGTGAATTTTTATCCAGGTGATTTTAACATCTAAACCAAGGCTACACACTTATATTTCTACCACAATGCTATCAGGTTGTAATTTTACAGTCTATGTAAATGCCCCCCCCCCCCCCCCCCCCCCCCATTAAAGACTAGAATATTAAATGGAGTGGGGGAGGGGGGATTAGTCATCATTTGAAAGCCAATGTGTACAGGGCAGTGAGGGCATATATTAATGTGGAGTCCTGTCTACCCAAATGTATTGATGGGGGTTGGGTGTCCGGACACTTAACAAAAAGAAAGCCTTTTTTTTTGTTGCAAATAGCACTACTAACCATCAAGGCTATATATCCTGTATAATACTGCCCAACATAATCTTAGAAAATGTAAGAAATATTGCTTGTAAACTACTCCAAATTGCTTTTGTAAATCAACTGTCCACATACACAACATGTCTGAACAACATTTGGGTATACTATAAACTTACACTTGCATGCTACTGAGTTGGCTGATGGCCTCCTTCAGGTCTTCTAGTACAGGATGAGCCACTCCATCCTGTTGCACAGAACTTGCCATTTTTCATCAAGTTTTCTGCACTGAATTATGAGAAAGAGAAAACATATAGAGTACCTGCCTTCTAGATCTTTGTCTGACTCTATATGACTTTCATCACGAGCATTAGTTCAAGTTCCACTCTGAGCAGACGAAAATGATTGTCACCCCCCCCCCCCCTCTCCAAATCGAGACAAAATGAATTCAGTTACATTTTCAAACAAAAGAAAGAAACAAAAACAACACAATGGACCAGTTCAATGATTAAGATTATTTATAATGCCAAAACAACAGAGTAGTTATATAGTCTATAGTAGGCCTATTAAGTACAGAATACAGCAGACCCCATGTATAGGAGAAGATTTTTTTTTCTTAATTTGAATTACACATCTAATGATCTATAGTCTCTTTTGAGCTGCTTATATAATTAAGTTATTTTTGTTACACTAATTAATGAACTTGTCATTTTTTTTAGTCAGAAGCAATTAAAATCAAAAGTTTGTGCGTCAGGTTTCCGTCATTCAATTTTGAGCATTCTGCTCTCTCTCTCTCTCTCTCTCTCTCTCTCTCTATTTATTTGTATACTTCATTGTCTAGGCATTGTGGCGTGCGGCTGTAATCCAGCTAACAATGGAAGTTACAAACTGATTCAGCCGAGGACGCAGGTTCGAAACTGAATCACCTCTTTCGGATGGTGACGTTTAAAGGTCAGTCCCCAGACGTAAATAATTAAACTTGATTGATACACGTCTGTAAAAACCCAATAGTAGGGAGGCCAATGCCCGGGCGTAAGGCTTCTACACCTACGATTTGTGCGCTCGTCGCCCACTTCAAAAAATTAGCAAAGGGAAAAAAATGATGTAAAAATAAAAATTGAAGAAAATAAGAAAAGAAAATACAATTATACATTTCACAACATACCTATAGTCACGGATCTGTAACAGTCTTTCACCATTTGTTGACAATCTTGCAGATTTTGACGTTTTTTAATCCAATAATTGTGGTTGCAGACGACCTTGACGCACTCGCACCACCGACTAAGAAAATCCTAGAGGGCGTAGAGGTTTGCTCACTAAAAACCTTCTCATTGGCAGAAGGTAGACCCTAAAAATAAGGGATCCGTTTTGAGTAAAGAACTTTTGATAGAGATCAACATTTCAGATGTTCACAATTGCCACTTCTAACAACTAGAAAATATAAAGAAAAAAGATTATATCTTTTTAAATACAGATTTTTACAAACTGAACATTCGAAAGTAGATAGAGTACGATGTTTCTGTCAATCTTGCGTTGGTTTGAGCCCTATAGCTACATCCATCTCAAAATGAGAAGGAAAACAGTGAACAGTGACGTCATTGTTCGCGCCAAAAATAAAGGGTATTGCGACATAATCTGAGCTCCGGTCAGATCGTGCGCAAAGGGTAGTCTTATTTATAGACCCTAGTACCTTATTCTCACAGCACTAGATACGAGTGTCGTGCAGTAATGTATGAGAAGTGTTAAAAAAGATATTTCAGTAAAAAAAAAAGTCTACGTGAGCAGTCTAATTGAGAATTGAAATGAAAGCCATGATTTGAATGTGTGTGTTGTATGATACATGGTTAGTGAGTGTGTATGTTACGTATAGCGAAGAAAGGGAGAGAGAGAGAGAGAGTGAGAGAAATATTAGTACACGTACGTTGTATGCATGGATGTGCGCTATGATTGTGTTCGCTGCAAGATGGATTTTAATTGGACCTCGTAACTTCTCGATCGTTGATAATAAGGAATACTCATGAGGAAATCAAATTATTGGAATACACATCTAAGGTAAATATCAATGAATTATATATATTTCTTTCCTGTCAATTTATTCTTCATTTTTGAACCATCGTCTTCGGCTCGTAGTAGTAGAAGATGTAATCGTTCGCACATTGATGGCTGGACTTCAGGCTGCATCGGGGCTTGCCTGTGTCGGTGGAGGGATCAACTAAGAAGAAGAAGGTGTGTACGTGTGCGACCGATTCAAGGCTAGCCGCTGTTGAGTGATTGCACTTTCGCGCGAAGTTTTAAACTTCATCATGAACTTTGTCCCTCGGGCCTGTCTAATTATGAACGTAACTTTGCGACATGAAATATAATTGTTTCAAGGCTCTTACGTACGGAAAGGCGTAGAAGGAAGCTGGATAAAAAGAGCTGGATATCTCCTATTTGATGGAACTTCTGGAGTCGGCAGATGGGTGGATTTTCTTAGTGAAAGTAAATGCTTTCTTTTAATCTTAGTTTTACTTTAGTATAAACAAATTAGTAATTAAAAAGTTAGATTTGGGCATTGGCCTCCCTAGCAATAGGGTCTATATACACACACACACACACTCTGCCCATAACAGTCCCTGTTCAACACAACTCCTGTTAAGTTGAGGGAGGGGTCGGGGGGGGGGGGGGTAAGCAAAATAGCAAGGGCTTCACGGTCACGATCGACCCTTTATTTACCCTCCACAAAATAACATTCAAAAACAACAACACATTAATTAAAACAGCTGGGACTGTGCACTAATATGTACAACTGCAAGCAATTATGCAGTGACTTTAACTCAACGCAGCTCCGACAGAATTGTATTAATCTCTGTTCCATTCAGTCTAATATCCGGCTCTCTAGCCTTTTCTTTCAAATCATCATTTAAAAGATAAATGTTTTTCTTACCCTAATTTTATTTGAAACTATTTGGTATTCGTCTCAGCTCATGATCTTGCATTTACCGCGGCGCCGTCGGTCAGATTCCCGCAATCTCGGAATAGTCGAGCGCCAGCTCGTGGCACATTTATGTTCATTTTTATTAGACAAATCAAGAAAAATTATGATGAAGTCATACCCTTGTTCGCTTAATTTATCCAGAACTAACTAACCATTCTCATCAGTCCTTGTCAGCATCATCAGTACCATCATCATCATCGTCGTCGTCGTCATTCTCATCCTCATCATTATCATCATTACAATGTATTTAGTCCTTGCCATTAAAACAACACCATAAATTATGTATTTTTTATTTTGTTTAATCTTCCTCTTTCCCATTTCTATTTTTCTCTTTTTACTGTAAATGATGGTACTGTAGGTTAATGTACATGATGAAAAAGGCTAGAAAATTTGACAAATCTCATATGCTCTTTTCATTGTTTTTCATTGTTTATTTTTTGTTATGTTTGTGTTATACCATCTCACTGAAAATACACATGAAATATTGAACAAGCAGCCTTTCATTAATGACCAATCCATCCATCCCTCCCTACTTCCTCCTTTAATCTTTCTTTCCTACCACTCTTTGTCTCCTCCTCCTCTCTCTGTCTCTCTCTCTCTGTCTCTCTCTCTCTCTCTCTCCCTCTCCCTCTCCCTCTCCCTCCCCTCCCTCTATCTCTATACCTCTGTAATCACTGCTCCACTGACAGAAGGAAAAAATCCAATCCACGTCAATGTAAGGCATGCAAACAAAACCTACATGTTTTACACTTACATGTGTTGGGTCTGAGTTAGGTGAAATACAAAAAAAGTTCCGTAATTTACAATCGATTTGATTTGATTTTAAACAATATGGTTTATTATCAAAAACATTCATATAGGGCTGAAACAAATTGAATTTCCATTCATATACAATGCTTACATTTCCAAGACACATCCATTGACCAGCTAATTTTCGTTTCCTTTCAAAATGGTAGAAGGCCTTTTTATCTTCCTTTTTCAATGCAGTAGGTATGTTCCACAAGTGTGGGGTAACTGACCGCACAATTCTTTGGAAACAAAGATTAACCCATTGCCTATTGTAATTTGTAACTAGGTACCTCCTGCATTGAAGCCTATGGGAATTATAGAACTCCGTAGTCGATGGGTTAACAGGGAAAGGAGCATTTTTTTTAAAGTTGCAAAATAAAGCCTGTACTATCTAAAGAATCATGTTCATACATTACATTCAGAATAGTAAACCATTTAGTCAAAATACTTTGGAAAAAATATATGCTTAATTAAATATTCTTTACAAAAATAAGATCATAATTTAATGAATTAATGTAAAAGGGGGTACCTTCCATAAATTCCAGAAAAGTCATATGTTTTGAGCCAGAAGAGGATTAACTTCGTGTTGAAGTATACCAGTTAACAATCTCTTTACTCAATCAGACAAACTTTCCATTATAGTACAAACAGAAGACACTTATTGACTTTACAACACATCAACAGGTAGCAAAGATTCATTGACGAAAATATATTATTTACCTCAAATATAGCATTAGAAAATGACACACCGCTATATTATCATTGTTTTGACAAGTTCAATGCATTCCCAAACAGGTCATACAAACATCACATATATATATATTATGTAATGTTATATTTATTATTTGTTCGTTCTTCTTTTTTCTCAACAGCACCTGAAATACAGGAGCTATGTGCAGTTGGTGAACTAATTTGCACCCTAGACACTTAATTTAATGTGAAATATGGGTACTTTAACATGAAGTATTGTCAAAAGACAAAGTATAGTGTTTTTTTTATCTTGATGAACTATAGACAAGAGATATTTATTCTAAATTAATTCCAAGTTAACTAATACTTTTTTAAATATTTAATATTTGCTGAAAAAAAGAAAACACAAAAAACTGTTACATTTCCAATCAGGATTACTTAGAACATGACACTGGATACTGAACAGCGAGACCTTGAGCTCAAAGAGCTCAAACTTCCCTTCCACTCCCAGGCCAAACATTTTGAACACTTTCATTGGAAACCACTTGATGGAAGCAGATCTGTCAATCATAAAATTACAGTGTATTCTCAGTGGTCAATATAACATCTACGGTATGGATAATTGGATATCCACTCAATGTGTAAATCTCCATGATGTCCCAAGATAAGTTGTCTTTAACTTAAGTTTAGGTTCAAGACTATATCAGACTTGGCTGATATGCACATCAGCTTTGTAAATGTTTATGTGCATCCCGTAACACCTTTTCCATATCGCTGTATCCTGACAGCCGACAGGCTTCCTCCAAGTCGCACCACTTGAAATCCTGATGCTCATTGGACAATTTCACCCCTGCATTAGGATCCTTCAGCTCAGCTAGCCAATAGACAACCTCCTTTGGTCTATTCCTGACAATGTAATTGAGAGTGCTCTTGAAGTCTGTAACTGTGAGCTGATCATTGGTATAGCCCGCTTCTTCCTCCGTCTCTCTCAGAGCTGCGATACGGTAATCCTCTCCTGGATCCAGATGGCCTGAACAATGGAAATAAGGAATTGATTATGGTAATTTTATAACAATCTTGGGCTTTTCTCCCATTTACAAAAAACAATAACAAAAACAAAGAGTAAAAAAAAACATCTGAAAATAGAGATTAAAATTTACCAGAATTGGAAATATATTCTTATGTAGTTAATTCACAGATGTTTATTGCTCCGAAACTAAAAAAATGTTTCAGATCTAGTTCAAGAGTACGATGAATATGAATTGTGATAATTTCAAACAAATTTCTTGTCACCATCTTAACCTTTGAAGACTAAGTTAGTAAAAACAATAAGCGGTATTAAAGGCCTGCATTGTTGCTAGGTCAGACATAGCCTTAAAAAAGTAGTCATTCAAATTAATGATGAGCAACCTTTTTTCCTTTTCTTTGTCTATTTAAAAAAAAATTAGAAATGTGCACATTGGAACGTAGGCCTACACTAAAATAAATGCATGGGACTGAAGTGTAAAAATTTGTTTACTGCTTTCGAAAATTATCTAGCTACCATTACCTTTGGGTGGTGTCCAGTGATGTTTTCCATATGATGTTTGGAGCAGTAAGTATTCAATTCCTATTTGGAGTCTTCTAAATATAATAAGCCCTCCTGCTCGAAGCATTTCTGAACTCATTGTTAATTTTGATCTTCACTTGACTCGAGCAGACAGCCAATGATACCATCCAAGTTAAATCGGATATAAAATTATAAGAACACACCTTGGGGGTTCCCCGTTTTATAAAAGTCATGCCGCGGCGGTAAACTCGCATTTTCTGCGGCAAAATACACGTAGCTCCCTCCTCCATCCGAGTTATATTTCCCTACTCGGCACCTTCTTTTCTCACATTTCACTTTTTTTCAGGATCTTATTTTTTATTTTGCACCCCTTATATCCGGTTTACAATTCACAACTTTAAAAAATGGGGGAAACATTCATACGTGCTCAGTCAATTTTCTTCCTCCCATAACATCGTCTTATACAGACTTTGTTTAATTTTACTTCCTTGTTGTTCAACAGTCAAATTTATTGTTTTGTTTTTTTGTTTTGTTTAACGTTTCCCTAGAAAGTACCTAGTCCCTTTGCTATGTTCTACATGCTGTGTAGATATTTTTTTTATTCATCATTTGCACAAGTGATCATCATAAAAAGCTAAAAATGTGGTTATTGCACAACTTTGGTTGCTCAAATATGGCAGCAAAGGTTGCCATTAGATAATAGAGCATAAGCAGAGATCCTCATTTACTGGTGACCATACAGTTATGTATGTAAGGTTTCTAGAAGTATAGACACACAACAAATGCACAGCATCACCATTGCAAAGTTTATTTTCAAAGCATTATATAATATATTTAATTCATACATTTCAAGTTTTGACACAAGTATACAAAGTTTATTGACATATGTACTTCCTTTTCCTTATTTAATTTTTTCATGTATGAAATGGCAATATTAAAACTCAACTTTTATTCATAAAGACATTTTAATATTCATAATCTGACTCAATGCTAAATTTGATACATTGATGCATTATTGTTTCTATTTTATTTTTTTAGGGTGGGGGGGGGGGGGGGGGGGCTAACTTAAAATTCCATAATTGTTGAAAGAAGGCATATATCTTTCACATAGAGGAAACGTGGTAAAAATTAGTCAGATGTTATACATATAGCAGAAGTATTATGAAATATAATTGCTCAAAGAGCATATTGGAGTATGTTGCATGCTCACCGACACAGAGAAATAGATTGCAAATCAATATACAAGCAATTCTCTTGTTTAGTTGCCCTAGAATAAAAACCACAATCAAAGAGAGTTACTGCTGTAATTTCACAAACAGTGTCTGTTCCCCAAGAAACATGGTACTTGAGTATCTTCTAGTACAGTTGTATGTTAATTATCCAACACAGAGAAATGATTAGCAGATTCATCAATCAGTTTTATCGTTATTGTCCTCTGATGCATGTCTATTCAGGAAATGGTCTGAATTAACGGAAACAGGCGCGATAGCTCAGTCGGTAGAGCAGTGGTCTCGTAATCCGGTGACCAGGGTTTAAAACCAAGGCGATGCGCTAGTGCCCTTTGGTAAGGCATTAATCCTCATTACCAGGTCCCTCGGACAGGACCTAAAGCCGTCGATCATCTGGTTGCTTACTTACAAGCATTTATGCTTTCTTAGCAGTCAGGTAAAATACCACCACCAAAAAACATGTCCTTGTTGCATCCTAGGGGGTAGTGATTAAAAAAAAAAAAAAAAGCAATTTTGCAGGTTGAAAATGTTGTGGAAGAGTTTTCTGAAGTCCCCACACTTGGTATTTGCACTAGCCTAGCACCAAGGGTATCATTCCTTTTTGAGAACCCTTGTGTCACACATCGCACCAAAGGGAGTTTGAACATTTTATAATCTCTGCCCTCCCACGGTTGGTGCTTCATCTGGCCCTCCTGGACCAGTACAGACTTGGCTCCAGACACGATGTGACAGCCAACCAACTGAGCCAGTCAATAGCAAAAGTTTTGACATATTGCATATTTGGATAAACTGATTCTCATCAAAATCATCGTCCTCTTTAACTTTTTCATATTTCTTATTCTTTGGGAATTGAATTGAACATTGCACAGAGATCCTGTATTAGAACATAGGCCAGTACGATCTGTACGGGACCTGGGTTGTCATATGTCGCCATCTCCGGGCAGGGGGTGGTACAGGCACCAATTCGGCGACGCCTACCGGTAGACCAATGAAAAGATTGGATGACCTGCCTCATAATACTCCAGTAGTTGCTCTCCTTCCAACATCACCCTCCGACTCTTCTTCAACAGTTCTCTCTTTCTCATAATGTTCATCAATCACTTCCCGAACTCTGCTTTTTAATCTATCTAGTCCTTCTCCGTCTTTGGCAGAGATGGGGATGATGTCTTCAAAAGAGATTGGCTTTCTGACTTCTCCATTCTCCTCAGTGGTGCCTTCTACCATATCAGGATGACTGTGCGATGTTTCAGTGTCTGGTAAAGAATGAGATGGAAATAGGAGAGAAATTGTTTAAGTGCATAATAATCAGTATCTATCCTCCTTGTTCCTCCTTGCGAGATAGTTTTGCCAAGCTATCTAGTTACATGCCCGAACCACAGCATCACTGGCTTGCAAGACAATTACAAGACTCAGTAATGTCCTTGAATGACATTCTTATTCATATTTTTTTTTAAACCAGACACAGATGAAATGTGCATTCTGTGAATAACTGTTAGATTACTGTGCGATTATATGGTTCACAGGACTTCACATATTCCTGTAAACTGTATTTCTCAGGGTATGTAGCAAAAGGTGTAACAGAAGGACTTTTCCCAATCAGTGATTGCACTCAAGATCACATTTTATTACAATTATCTCACATTTCTTTGGTGACAATTTTGAAAGCCCTCTGTGTATAGACATAACAAATACCGGTAGGTACCGTAGTAATAATGGATATATGTGAAGAGTAAGTGTAGCACTGCTTCTGCTACTGTCTTTAAGATCTGGGGGGGGGTGTTTCACAAAGATACAAAGTCAAACTGAACTCTAAGTTGGACTTAAAAATTATGGAGAGCCATTTGTAGCCCTAAAAACAAATATATTAAAAATCTAAAAATCAAGTATTTAAAATTTTTGATGAATTTCACATCGAGAACATAAAATCTTCTTGATAATAGAAAATATGAATGATTTTAATCAACATTTTGTGCCTTTTAAAACAACTTTTTACAAAATATTTTCAAAGATGCGAACGCCTTTCCATAATTGTTAAGTCCAACTTAAAGATAAGTTCAACTTAGGATCTTTGTGAAACACCCCCATGCTCCTGTTATCAGATGTGAAATAGAAATTACACTTACTGTTCTGGATGGCTTCTAATGTTTCCTGGAGTAACTCATCTGCTCCTTCCATGTCTAGTTTATTCAGTGCTAGGATCGCTGGCTTTTCTACTAGTTCAGACTTGTACAGCTCCAATTCCTGCATGCAAAATAAGTAAGTTAACATTGAAATAGTGAGAATACTACAAAATTCATGATTTATTTAGAGTTCAATTTATGTTTGTGGAAGAAAAAAAAAATTCAATACATGTCCAAGATCTTGGGCATCACTGGCTGTGGAGGACTTGTCTGGACCTCTGCAAAGTCCAAGGAGTCATTGGATGCATTACGTTGACCTCTGCCAATTTCTGTTCTCATCCCTTCATTGCAATCCGTAGGTCTATTCTCCCGTTTAGTGACCTGGTTGTCACATTAGCGTGACATATGCCACCTTACTCCACAGATTGAGCATATCATTTTCAAACATTTTCCAGTTTATTCTTTAACCTACAGTAGCTTCAAATACTTCCAGGACTATAAGCCTTGAGGCAGTTTGAGGATAAATGTTTACCGGTATGCGGATTTCACTAACAATGCTTTGAAGTACTTGGCACATACAACAAAAACAATGTATCATCTGCTGAGAGCCAGGAGGGGCTTAAATGCATAAAAGTACATGTGTGTGAGTTACTCCCTTCTGGCTCTTGGCAGAGAATATGTTAAATTAATTGAGCAGGTACACAAAAACTCTCTGTAGAATATTCACAATAAAAAATATCATACCTTGTTTAGGATGTTTATTGTCTCAAAAGCATTCCTATAAGCATGTCTGGGTGAGAGCTGAAAGCCATGGACGTCAACGACAAAGAGAAGGAGTTTGGTGCGTTCAACATGACGGAGGAATCGGTGTCCCATTCCCATATTCTGATGGGAGCCCTCTATCAGACCGGGAAGGTCAGCCATACTGATCTAGGGAGACATGTGTGAAGTAATAGAGAACATTCAGAATTGTGAGCAAAGATATTACAGGACAACATGCTTAAAATAGAACATAATTTTGACAAAAAAACGAAGTGGCACTTCTATTTTCATGTGAAAAAGTAAAATATTTGCAATTTTTTTCTTCAAAAACAAAAATTATAAATCATAAAAAAGTAAAGGGTGCATATTTTGTGTAGATTTGTGCAAGAATTACACTAGTTTTGCCTAAATGAGAAACTTAAGTAACTGCTACAATCACAATGTATGGGAGAATCAAACTACACATATAATGGAAAGTTGGAACAAAACAAGTCAAAGACAAAATTACCTGCCGTTTATCACCATATTCCACAATTCCAACCTGTGGTCGTATGGTAGTGACTGCATGGTAGAGGGATAAGGCAAATATGCTGTTAACATTATCATAAAACCAAGGTATTGGATTTTCAACAACTAAAAATTAAGATAAACTGATACAGTATACGAAAAAAAATAACTAGGATTTTTTTTCATGATAGAAATCACTTTCAAGGATACTTATGTTTACTGAAATATGCGAAACAAGTGTAAGAAAATCCATACATGTAAATACAAAAGTGATATGGAAAAAGGAAAATACTTTGAATGTAATGCTGATTATAGAGCAAAATTTGTATCAAGATGATTAATACACTTTGTACACTTTGATTCTTGAAGTCATTAATTATTGGGTAACATTACAAAAAAATACAAAATGATTTCATCCCGTACTTCAATCGAGAAAGGTACAACAATAAATGCTAAACACCTTACATGGATAATCAGCTATCTTTGGCTCAGTCCTCGAAACAGCTTTCAAAAGAGTTGATTTGCCAGCATTGGGGAAGCTAGGAGAAAAGAATAATTAATTAATTTCATAAATTAACTGTCAATATCTCTTTTTTTGTCATGCCGATGAATATGAGCCTTTATTTTGACTCATAAATCCTACATGTAAGAGGACAGAATATAAAACAAATACCGGTCCATGTATATATTCATTGGTTATAAGGAGTATCCATTCTATTGTTATTTTTGTTATAAACACAATTTACATTTGTACTGATATTCAAGTAACATGATGCCATGCATTGTTTACATTGAATTCAGATACTTACCCAACAAATCCAACATCAGCAATCAGTTTCAAAATGAGTTTAAAGCTGCCTTTGGTTCCTTTAGCTCCACTCCATTCATTCTTTTGCTTCCCACCTTCCCCACCTCTAGCAACTAAGACCTTGTCTCCAACTTTGTTCAAATCTCCTGCAGAAAGAGAAAATATTTAACGCTAGTGTTCAGTGATTAGTAGTAATCAGTCAACAACAAAACAATTAAGGCCTTGTTATAGAACATACAACACACATTTATAGATCATATACCATACGTTTTCTAAAAGAGCAGTGTTTTAGGCAAGATATTGGGTCCTGACACAGAACCAAGGAGGAAAACATTAAAAACATTAATTTAGTGATAGAACTTAGGATTGAGACCAAGAGCAAGAAATACAAAAACTCAGACAAGGATTACCGGCCTGGTATGGCTACATCCCTGACAGGTAAATGGCCTTGATACTGTGACAGGTTTGCCAACAATCATAAATACTCTTACCCAGTAACCGATTGTTATCATCTGTAACACACACCCCAGGAGGCACCTTGATGATCAAATCTCTTCCTTTTACACCTTGAAGAATCCGGGCTCTAAAAGTTGAAATGAACAGACATCAGAATTAATTTACTGAAATAAATCTAGGTGTCATACAAAAACTAATAATAATACTTCCATTGGTCGGGGTAATCATTAAATGTAGTTTAGGCTTCTGAAGTCGCAACCTCAAAATTATTATATTAGGCAATCTTTCTTCTACTCCTGTAGATTTCTTGAGCCAAGTCATTCTTCACAGTTTCTGTGTGAAGAATCACTTGGCTCGAGAGACACTCAAAATCTCTATGAAGTATTGCTAGGCTTGAGAAAGTCAACAAGTTGAAATGAAAGCTATGCTTCTGAGTTTTAAGGTTGGAAGAGGCCCAAACTACATATTTCAAATGAGAGATGCACATTGGTTCATCTCATGCCAATACATCAATATAATGAACTTATCATTATTATCATTTGTATAATTAGGGAGACATTTCCCTGGTATATATTGCAACAGATAATGTTCAGGTGTATGTTTAAAATGAAATTGGGAAATGGAAAGTCATATTGAAGACAAGGGCAGGGTATAAACTATAAAGGCTTACTTGCTGTTGTCTCCTGGCCCGGCAATATAACGCTGTTCCCTTTTGGAAGACTTCACATTTTTCAGCGTTTCATCAGGCAAAGCCTGGACATATACGTCACCACCACTCCCTCCGATTCCACCAAACTTGGGATGGCCTTGCCCTCCACCTCCTCCCCTGGCATAGATGCGGACTTGATCAATGAACCTGTGTCGGTTTTTTCCAGCCTGTCATTGAGAAGAAAAAAATCCAGAATCCATAAACTGTGAAATAAATATTAAACACAAGGACTGGCTTTTATGTCGTTTACATAAGCATCGAGCTTAGTTTCTGATGTTTTGATTGATTGCAGTCTTGAGTTCTGGTTATGATGAAAAATGAATTCTTGGAGAGTCAAAACCTTTTTTTTTTTTAAATTTAAAAAGTAGACATCGGCCAAAATAATTGTTGATAAATATTAAAATGTACAACAGTTGCTACAAGATATGCAAAGAAAGCTGTGAAAACATAGGAATTCCTCTTTTTAAATGAGCATAAATATGAAAAGATGCCTCTTTAATCTAACTCCCAAAGTTATATTATTGACGACGATGATGATGATGGTGATGATGATGATGATGATGATGATGATGATGATGCTAATACTAATTAATCTGATAATGACGATGAAGACGATAACAATAATAACAATAGTGATAATAAATAATAGGCCTAATAATAATTTTAATAATATGATGAATATGAATATGAATAAATCTAGTCCAGCAGACTAGATCTATAATAATTCATACAGAAATGTATTGAATAAATTGAATATTCACGAATTGGATTATTAATAACATTTTCTTTCTTTTCCTCTTTTTTTTCATTATCAATATTTCATCCTGATCATCCTCGCTTTATTTTCTTCATTCATTGTTTCTGGATTGAGCAGATGATTGATCACCTTGTCGTTGAATGGTTCAATACTCGATACTCAATATGCATTAGCATTGACTCTCTATGCTTTGCTGGAGTGGATAGACCAGGGAAATGTCATATCTCCCTCGATCTTTATTACTGAAGCGATCCACGGCGAGACGGCCCGGTGGCCAAAGCCGCCCCGCCTAGTACCGACTCAGAAAATGTTAAAGTATAACTTTAGTTCTTGAAGTGTAGAAAACGAAGATAAATCAAAGTCACTAAAACAAATTCTTGATTGGAGTTGAAGATTTATTGAAATAAACGTAGAATTAATAAAATCACGAAGTTCATGTTTTGGGGCTGGGCAACCCAATTGAAGCAAATTAGCAACTCATGTCGGTATCGTAACGGAAAAGGGGTCCCGCTCCAGAGACGCAACTCGGTTTTTATCCCCCCGAACTGACACGCCTCGTCCTCCCAAAAATTGAGGCGTGTCACACAGACGCTTTGCGTAATATCAATCCACCCATAATTAGTTTCCGTATTAAAAGGTCCTATATTTCTTGGCGAATTTACCCCCTCGGATATAAGGCGCTCCGGATGATCCGCATCTCTATTCCTCACATACTTCTTTCACGCACCCACCTGTGTCTCTTACATTCTAATCTTTCAAACAAGAGATGCAAATCACCCGGAGACCCAACAACCCTGGAAATTAATTCAATAAATATAAAAAAGGATAAATGTTGCTATGTCCGTCCACACTAGCGAGCCCACATGCTTCTGGCTATTACACACCTGTAATCCTCACTTCCTCTCTCATTCTATTTCGATAGTGTGAACAGAGCCGGCAACAAGGAAAAACCCTTCCAATTGTAATACAAATCTATTTCCCAAATTTGCCTAATTAAATTTAAGTCAACTGTGGCGACACGCCCAGCGACACCTAATCCAATCGGCCAAGCCGAAAAAGTAGAGCCAAAATTAAGAGCGCAACGTCTCGGAACAGGTGTTAAAAATAGCATACAAGGAATTCACCATGTATTAGGCAGTTCAGGTGATTTTTTTTTTGTAGGAGATAGGGGGTGATTTCAATATCATTTTAAAGATCACATTTTTATTTACACAATGCACTTTGAGTTGTTCAATTTGGACCAACGGTTCCAGAGATACGGATTTTTAAAATAATTTTCAGAACCATATTGATGAGGACAAAAGATCAAAAGGTCTAACCTATTATAATTGTATTGAAGTCAATTAAACCTGTGTTTAAGCAGTGGCACCATTGTTTTCAGAAGTTTGTGATTTGTTAAGCCTCATAATAGTCATATCTCTTCAATGCGATGACCAAACTCGCTGAAATTTGGCAGATATATTCAGTGATGTTTGGCAAATATGAAATTTAATATCTTTACACAGCACCATAATAAAATATGCAAATTTATGCAAATTTATGCAAATTTCCATGTTTTTGTCATCATATTGTTATAAAAGGTAAATAAAAACCCTTTGAATCTAAACTTTTACCAAATGATCTTGTCTATTTATTTCTTTCTTTTCTCTCTCTCTCTCTCTCTCTCTCACACACACACACACACGCACGCTTTCTCCCTCTCTCTCTCTCTGTTTCTTTTTTTCTCTGTTTCTTTTTTTCTCTCTTTCTCTCTCTATTTCTTTCTTTCTTTCTTTCTCGGTCTTTCTCTCTCGGTCTTTCTCTCCTAGTCTCTCTCTCTCTCACACACGCACGCACACACACACACACACAAAAGGATGAGGTGACAAATCGTCTATGTAGTCTATACTTGCAGCAATCTTGCAGTAAATGAACAGTTTTTTCGAAAAAATATTGTTACTTTACCCCAAAATATAACCAATTCATGTTAGACTATTACAATATTTATTCCACATATTAAAATAAATATCACAATTATCAATAAAATACGACATACAATGAACAAAAATTGAAAAAACAAGTCAATCAAGTCACAAACGGGTCTGAATTCTAAGACTACGAAATGGTCTCGACGTCACTCACACAGCTGTTTCATTCACGTACACACTATGTACACGCATCACGCGTCGCATCGTCAAAATCAGTTCGTGCAATTTTCAAAAACTGCAATCATATTATCATATCTACCATAAGATCTACTCATCATCATTATATGAAACTTTCAGGAAAGAAGGTAAGATGTTTAATTTTGTTAATTACGGAGTTGTAAGTTAATTGAAAAACTCCTTCCATCTGAATTTCATCACATTGTCGGCAGATTTGAGCAAAACCATCTACTACGATGGCTATTCAACGTACAACTCACTTCCGATGTGCATCGATAATTGTCGAAGAGAAATGACGTCATATTTTATTGTTTTAACCAATCAGAAGGCGGGGAAATCCGAAATAAACCGAGTGTTTTTTTTCGGCAGAACCACGAAAGCTCACGAAAGTGTGGCCGAAAGCGCGCTCACCCTGATGTATGTGGATTCGTATAGGGAGCTGAAATGCGCACTTGCGTACGTGAATAAGAAGTTGTCCCCATCGCGAAGGTCTAAACTGAACTGCCTACATGTATGTTTGTAAACATAGTTCTAGCGAAATCTACCAGGAATTTGCCTTGTACATGTACGTCAATGAACCTTTGAGGAAAACGTAAACACGAGAATATCCATATCATTACATTACGATGAGCAGCCCAATCCATACCATCCATGCATTGCTCACAAAATTGTTAACGTATGGGACTACGACTAAGACTGAGCTGAACTGGCTAGTACTAGAATAGGGACAATCGGACGGTTTCGGACCCCGAAATCAAGACATGCTTAAACATTTGCAAATTTGTGTTCAATATAAAAGATACTTACCTGAAATCTCCCCTTGATCTTGTTGGAAACTAACAGAAATCTCGTTAAAAAAACCATCATGTGAGTCAGTTTTTCAGATAACTTTTCTGTAACGGTGTCTTCAAGTCGATAAACAATAATAAATGAAACGAAAAATAATAGAATCGAGATGGCCGAATGTAGAATTAGAGGGGAAAATAGCTGAATATGAATAAACAAATTCAGCCCATAACATTGATAAAATTGGATACATATCAAAAGTAAAGCAGTTTCAACTATAACCTATAGTACAAGGATATATTTGACTGTCAGGGCGTCATTTCAGCAAACCATCATAAAAATACAAGTTAATAATAAATTCATACCAAAAATAAATAAATGATTTTTAAAAAGATCGAGTACCCTACACGTTCGCCCACATCCCTTTAAAAGTTTGAAACACTTTCTAAAATTAATACACACCTTTCAATGGATTGTCAGCGAACTTGGACGGTTTCCTGAAACTACGCAAGTCCACCACTACCCCCCCCCCCCCCAACTGCTCAATGTAGGCTACCCACCTATCTATGATATTCCAGATATTTTATAAACCCTTTAAAAAATTCTCAGGAGTCCAAGAGACTGGAGAGAGAGAGGAAAAAAAAAGTTTCTACCTGATTTAAATATTTTAGCCTCCCCCCCCCCCCCCCACTTTGAAAACCGGTCCACGGGGCCTGCATGTAACATGTAAGAGTAGTGATGATGCGGACCCCCCCCCCCCCCCTCCATACACACATACAAAAAAGAAGCTCCTGGCCCTCTGTGTGTTTTAGCTATCGAGACTTGTCTACTAAAGGACAATAATTAAAGGACAATAATATTATGTAGGCATAGGGGATAATGTATCATCTTTATATATTCACTCATATAAGATCAAGAAATAAAGCTCATTGCCTTCTCTCCCCCCCCCCCTCTCTCTCTCTCTCTCTCTCTCTCTCTTCATGCCTCCCTCCTGTCCTCTCTCCCTCCGCTCTCTCTCTCTCTCTCTCTCTCTCTCTCTCTCTCTCTCTCTCTATTTATCTATCTATCTCTCTATCTCTCTATCTCTCTATATTCCTTCTCTTCTTATAATGTTTGTTTGTAAGTTGTTTTTATTTCCGTCATATAAAGAAAATATACAATGGAAAGAACTTGGGGAAAAAAAAATCGCAAAATGTATAAACTTACATAATAAATGTTTACATAAACAAAAAACCACACGACTTTACATCCTGCATTGAAGAAAAAAGGGTACAACGAAATAAGAAGGAAAAAAAGCCACAGAGAATCAAAAGGCTGGAGAGGACATTTTCAGCTGCACTTGCATAGTGCAGCTAGTCTCCCATGGGAACCAGAAGAAAGAAAAAAAGATGGAACATAAAATATACTACCATCCGTTTCATCCTCACAAGCGAATAGGTCTTATAAGGGCGATTGAAATCGGGACCCACGGCCACTATCAAAGGGCCTGCAAAAATGGCCCCTTCATACATTTTTTTTCTGATATGTCTAGATCCGGCTCCGGGGTTTAAAAAAAAATTAGGCTTGGTACTGTCTCAGGGTTTAAAATTGGAGATTGATCCTAGTTCATTTCCGGTTTGAGGTACAACAAAATATATGGTCAAACAAAATTCAGCCTTTGTTATCAACAAAAGAATTGTGTTATTTAACGTGCCGTATACGATATTTGATTGATCTCATGATAGATATTGATTTGCCATGGCCTGTAGCGGGAACATGCACGTCTACTTAAAAAAATGTAAACTAGGCGTCCTTGCTTCCGCCCGGCTTTGATGAATAGGCTCCTAGTCACTTTTTGACTGTTATGGGGGAAATTGTCGCCCTTCAAAAGTTCATGATGGAAGAATCACCTTTGGGAGCGGGGCCTTCAACTGACTATTTTTGTCTCCAAAAAAGTCGAATATGCTTATAGGCCCAATTTTTATATTGTTATCATGACTGAGTGATAGGCCTAATATACTGCATGACACTCCAACCTCCTCACAGAAAAAGGAAGACATGAGATGTATAAATTATGAATCTTGGTTATTTTCAAAGAACCTTGATAACCATGCTTAACCATGCTTAAATGCAGGAATTGGAACTTGGAATGCAAGTCTTTATATATACCTATATATCTAGGCCTGCATTTTCAGTTGTATTTATTAAGACTGATCTCTTTATCTTCTCTCTTTTTGAATTCCAAAGGAAATTATAGTTTGTGAGGAATTGGTAATACATGCATGTATATAGGGACCCATAGGCGCCGGAAGTGGGGGAGGGGGGAGGTGGGGGGGGGGGGGGGGCACTCGCCCCCCCCCCCCAAAAAAAAGGGGGGGGGGGGCAAAAACGCATCCTGCCCCCCCCCCCCAAAAAAAAAAAAAAAAGAGAAAATAAATAAATAAATTAATAAATAAATAAAAACGCTTCCCCTCGGGACTGGGCCGCATTTTATGATGAGTTATGATTGATATTAAAAGGCAAGTCTACTCCAAAAAATAAGTTACTTTCAATTGAAGCAGAAAAATCAGACAAACCAATCAAAACAAATTTGAGCAAAATCTGATAACTAAAAAGATTGTCTAAGTTCCTATAGTTTTTCATACTTAGTAGTCTATAAGAGAATTCATAACTTCCATATTAGTTATCCGATTTTACTCATTTTGGGGGCTCTGTTTCTCTTGTTTTTCTGCATCAATTCAAAAGCAAATTATTTTTGGAACGATGAGCCATATAGAACGCTTAATATTGACCTTATTAATCAAAAGATACTGACATAAAACTACTGGCATAACACATTCATTTTGTCGTCGACCACACTGCACTTGAGCTACCCTGCACTTGCACCTTGCATGCACTGCGAGTTGACCTGTCGCGGCAAGCCGATGGGGGCGCTGTCAATTGTGAATCCACCCTAAGATTCGGCGTCAGAAATGACCATTAAAAGGGACTAAAAATGGAAGATTATGCAGATTCCAACGTCGGAGAGTATAGTAATTCAACCCTTTCAATCAAGCGTCATGTGAGATTTTTCAGGATGTGTCTTCAAGCTCTGCCTTCGTCGTATTCATCTCTTGATACAAGCAGGTATTGTGCCCACATATTGAGATTTGTGTTGTCATAAATTTCATGTCGTTAAAATAAAAACACCAGTCATGATTTCGACACTGGCCATTTTTCTGGGTGAGTGGGAATGCATAATGATATCTGAACCACTCTACTGATGGGTCAGTTTCTCACACAAATGCGTCCCTCACTTAGTCTAAGTATGAGTGTAGACCTATGTGTTCTCAGTAATGACTTGTAACGAGGCCGAGGTGAACATTTATTTTTGCTGGAGAAAAGCAGAAAAAAAGATAATGAGATGAGAAAGTTCAAAGTCAGAGGAAAGGAAACAAAGTCAAAACTCAAATTGAAATTTGAAGGAATGAGAAATTCAAAAAATAGAGGGCTATCTTTCTTAGAACCTAACCTTTGAGAAAAGTGCATTTAAAAAAAAAAAAAAAATAGAAACGGAAGAATGGCGAAAGTAGATCTATCTACTTTGAAATGGATTTAAATATTTGTAATTAATAAATGATTATCGGACCAAAGGCAAAAGGCGATACCAATTATTTATTATTAATATTACTTACTTACTTGGTTAACTTGGTTGTTGATACTTGAAGCATCAGCTCATGAGCCAATCGCAGCACTATTTACGTTGATAAGGGCCAAGGGGTATATTTGAGAGGATGGTGATGCCAATGCTTTTCAAGTTCAGATTTCAAGCTGTTAATAAATGGCGCTTGGACTGTCGATTGGGGTAGCCCGCTCAAGAAAGTTATGGATGTTTGACTTTGAAACAAATAATCTAGAACTCTAGACTAGACTGAAATTTATGTGAATTTCAAATTGGCAGTTTGGTCAATCAATAGAATGGATCAGACAACTTCTATTTTTCGTTTACAAAAATATCAATAATTTGTGTTTTCTCTTAAGGCCCTTCCTTAGCATGATATTATAGATCCTCTTAAACAAAAATACCATCCTGAGTCATGCATTTCACAAAAAAAGAATTGACAATTTGATTTTGTTCTCCCTATTTTTTCTCTAAAGTTTCACCAGTGTGCTTCTCTGAATTTTCTGCTTTCATTTAGAGTAATTTTCTATTAGGTTTTGGATTGGATTTCCCTTTAATAGATCCAGCATTGTTTCTAGACTAATTGATCAAACAGGAAAAGTTTCCACACCTGCTGATGTGTCATCAGCGTGAGACTGAGAGGTTCACTCTGACTCATTTCCTTTTCCAAAAGTTTTTTGATATATTTCCAGAATGATACAAGGAAAAATAACAAAAATTGTAGATCTGGAGTAAACCTGAAGTTGCATGAACGTGAACTTTGTTTGAAGAGACTTGAAGGCTTAAATATATTTTCATAATTTTTAATGATTAATGTATAAAATGAATACATAATACTTTGATGTTTACAGACTCACCGTTGCTTTCTTTGCGCTATCTGGTTTGGATGTCCTCAATTCTCTTGATGTTATTGAGTCTGAGAAACAAGATATCATCAACTGGATATATTCTCTTCAAGTGTTACCAGACCCTGAGAATACAGGTGAGCAAATATCTTTATTAATAATAATAATAATACCAGTACTCAGTTTCTATATAGCGCTTATTACAATTACTAAGCGCTTCCAAACTTGGAGATTATTACCCCGGCTTTAGCTGTGCTGCCATTATGGCGCTCTAGCATTTCAAAGATTAATTCCTGCCAGGTACCCATTTACATCACCTGGGTTGAGTGTGGCAAATGTAGATCAATGTCTTTCCAAAGGACATTAATGCCGTGGCGGGTCTCGAACCACGGACCTTGTGTTTGACAGTCCAGCGACTTAACCACTCGACCGCGGCACCTCTTGCATGTGAATTCTAGGTGTTAATCAAAATTTGTTGTAGAGCTTTTGCAAGGTATGGTAAACAAAAACCATAGATGATTGTTTAACCCAAGACCATCCTTACCAATGCCCTCTCCCACAACCCTTTTTTTTAAAATTATTATTATTTAATGAGAGAGAGAGAGAGAGAGAAAGAGAAAGAGAGAAATTACATGTGTATTTGTCTTTCTTGAGAACAATACATGTAGTTTCTGTGTAATAGGCAATGTCTAAAATAACCTTTGAATTGTTGATTTATTATTGTTTCCTATCATACAGATGAGTCATTATCAAGATGTGGTTTCAGAGGTTCTTCTACTATTGGCTTAACTTTTAATCCATCAGAGGTAAGAATTGAATGGAATCCAATCATGAACAAAAGCAGAATAACTCTTTATTTAACATAAGTCATAGTTCAGAATTCCTCTGAGTAATATCTTTTAATTTATATTTTGAAGTAATTATGCTGAGTCGTATACATGTATTTGTTTCTTGTGCCCATGTTAACTTGTTGTAATATAGATAAAAGACATGATAATACTTGAGTTTTTATGTACTCCCAAGAAAGAGTATTGAATTTGAATAGTAAGATAGGTGTATAAAAGAGACTAATACCTACACTGACATGGACAAAATGTTAGATCACATGAGTAATTTTGTAGCAGCAGACCAGTTAAATATATGTGATTGATTATTGATACACATTTTTAAAGATGCCAGATTGTCCGAGGCTTTTCTATCCAGAGATGCTGCTGTACATAATAGATGAATTCATTTTGTTGCCGTAAACCTGCTTTTATAAACAAGTCATTAAAAAAAAAAGGTTTCCCATTCTTTGGTTTGTTTTATCTGACTGCTAAGAAATCATGTGTATGCTTGTCAGTAAGCAACCAGGGGGCCGAAAGCTGAGGGACTTGATAATTAGCATAAATGCCATGAGATAGTGAACTAGCGTGTCAACTTGGTTTAAAACCTAGAACCTCCCAGTTCTTAGACCACTGCTCTACCAGTGAACCATATTTTATTCATTAACATAACATTTTTCCCCTTCACCTGCATATATGGGGAAATAGCCAAATAGTAATGGTTAGTTGTAAATCCAAATGCCTTTGATTTGTTTTATTTTCCATATATAGAAAGACACTGCCACCTTCCATCCCTATGACTGGGGCCATGTTGCAATGACATACACAGGTCTGGCATCACTTCTTATCTTAGGGGATGATCTATCTAGAGTGAACATGCCAGCCATCGTTGCAGGTCTCAAGGCTCTCCAGCTTGAGGATGGAAGGTAAGTTGCTTTAAAGCCTGTTTGTACTAGTTAGGCCAGGAGGAATTAGACCACCCAGCGTGGTCACTGACAGGTGGCTATTTCATCAACTCAGCTCTCAATTAACATAAGAAAAAGAGGATCATGGGGGACCAATGGTCACCGATTATGCATCGTTTGTTATATGGAGGGAGCAAGTAGCTGTAAGTAGTGCAGTGTGGCTTTAAAAGCATTATAGGATTATTCACCATGTCCACTCCTGTATTCTGTTCTGTGAAGCACATAGAGAGACATGCAATTTATGCATATGTGTAATGCGCTTTATAAAAACGTTTAATTATTAATATAATTATCTTTACCAAACCTGGTGGTTGAGCTGTACATGAATCTTTTACAAGCATCTGTAAACAATCAGTGTAGGAAAATTGTAATATTATTCTTAAGAATTTTGCATCAAATTTTGGCAGATGGTAAAGGCTGATAAGAATGGAGGGGAAAGGAAAGAGTAATTAAATAGAAGTAAGACACAGAGAGCATAAAAAGAAATATTAAAGACAGAGCTTGAGAAAAAAGAAAGTAGGAAAAGCCCAATATAGCAAGAGAGAGAGAGCAAGAGAGAGAGAGAGAGGAGAAGAGAAAACAAGAGAAGAGAAGATAATTTTGTGACTTCAAGATAATGTTCAGACTATATGTTCTTTATCCAGTTTCTCAGCTCTGGAGAATGGCAGCGAGAATGACATGCGATTTGTGTACTGTGCCTGTTGCATCAGTTACATGTTACAAGACTGGAGTGGAATCAACAAAGATAAAGCTGTGCAATTTATTCAAAATTCACTGGTAGGTTTTCCTTCACGCTCTTTGTCTTAATTTTTCTAATTTCCTGCCATTAAACCTCTTTATCACATCTTCTTTTTTTTTACAGCACATTTTCTGTTATCATGATCATCTATATTGCAATTTTAGTATTAAAAAAGAAGAAAAAATAAATAACAAAAAGAAAGGATTTCAACTTCTTACCTCACTTATACAATAGTCATGACAACATTTTCCTAAACTGTTCCTGTAATTTGTGATCTGTTCATATTACTCTAATAAATTAAAGGACTGTCTAGAAAGAGGGAAATGATTTCAGTCCACCTTTGTTTTATTCTTGATCTTTTCATACAGTGATATCACCATTAGGAGAAGTGTTGTTGTTGAGAGGGGGTGGGGGTATATCTTGGAGCCATTGTCTAAGAGGGGTAGTTAGTCATCTGGGGAGTGGTAGAATCATAGAATTGTTTAAATAGATTAACTGCAAATGAAAACACTAAACTTACTTTCTCATTTCCTTCTATTTCCAGACTCATGATTTTGGAATAGGACAAGGTCCAGGTCAAGAATGCCATGGTAAGTAAACAACAAAAAAAGGAGGAAAAAATAAAGAAGCTTATTGCAGATTATTACTCGAATGCTTTTTAGCCACCAGCTCATCTCAAATGTGGATTTTGAAGTACAGGCCTGTAACTCCCCCTCCCCCCCCCCCCCCCCAAAAAAAAAAAAATAAATAAATAAAATACACAGCAATGTGTTTGCTATGTATTTATTTCATAGAAGTCTTGAATATCTTCAGTTTTGAGGGCAGTTATTTTGACTAGTCAGAGGGTACTAAGCCTAACAAAATTGATACACAAGAGGGTTGGTCAAAATTAGTAGTTATTTCAGCCAGTTCATGCAATTATTTGTGTCATTTGTGTTATCTGAAGTCTGTAGAATAGATGAATTATGTTAGCATAATCTTAGAGAAGTATTGGTAGAACTAGAAGTCTTCAGTTGTCAACAGTGATATTTCACATTTTCTGTCTTTGTACATGGCACATGAGTCAACATACTTAGATTGTGCTTCTTCCAGATGAAAAGTAATTTATCTATCTATGTATGTATCATAGCTTGGAGGCCATTGGTTATCCGTAACTTCCTGTTGTAGTTAGTTTCTCAAATGACATTTACAACCACTGCTTGATGTTATTAGTCCATGGTATGCCCCTCTTTCTTCTCCCATCAGTTCCTCCTTGCAAGATGGTGTTTTCCAAGCTATTCTTCCATCTAGTTACATGCCCAAACCACTGTAACCACAATTGTGACGAGGGGGTCATGTTCCCCTAAATAACTCTCCATTATCTCTCCATTATCTCTCTCACTTTCTTGTTGGATGCATGCAAAGTGTACTGGATGAAAAATAAATTCTATTTGAAATATCTTCATTCGGCACAACTCTGTTTGCAGGTGGTACTACATTTTGTGGAATCGCTTCACTGGTGCTTTTGGATCGGTTGGAAACTGCATTCACACAGAAACAGATAGATGGGATCAAGAAATGGTGTTTATTTAGGCAGCAGACTGGTTTCAATGGCCGACCAAACAAGAAGACAGATACCTGCTATTCTTTCTGGGTTGGATCTACACTCAAGGTATGAAAATCTAATTTTCAATAGAATCTAACCTATCCATAAACGCCACCCTTGATAATCTGAACTGACTGACAAGCGAACTCTCATTCAAAATGTCTATAATCAGACTCTTTTCTTTGAGTCTTTGAGTTTGATGTCTTTTCCTGAAGAAAAAAAGTCTTGGCAATTATCTTACTCTAAAGTTGACATGAAAGTGTCCAGAAAATAAAATATGTTTGAGTCTTAAATAGTGCCCTTGGATGTAAAGATGAGTGGAATTTGCAAGTTAGACCAGTACTTTTGATTTGAATGTTCTTTGATACAGTGTGGTCAGACTGATTGATTGGCAGAAAGTTCACAATTTTATCATCAAAAACATTCAAGTAACAAAGGAATGAAAGTAGAAAATGATGGTGAAATAAAGTTTCCAACAAAATTTTGAATAAAGTTCCAAAGTTCAACTCATGGATATATTTGAAAGTGTTCTCAAATGCTTCAATGTCTTCCAATACAGCTTCTAAAGGTGTTTAACCTGATAGACTTCCGATGGAATAGGAACTACATCTTATCCACGGAAGACACAGGCATGGGAGGTTTCGCCAAGTGGCCTGACTTCCACCCCGATGCTCTCCATGCTTACCTAGGACTATGTGGCTTATCAATGATGGGAGAGGAAGGCTTGGCACCGATACACCCCGCCCTCAACATCTCCCAAAGAGCGGCAGACCATCTACTCAGTATACACAATAAATGGAGGGATGGAGCTGATTCGTGATGATTTTAATAGCAACACTGAAACAGATAACACTATTATATACATCTATAGATAGCTGAAACTGTGGCATCGCCAATATTTCAACTCCAACTCTGAAAAGATCAATGATGTTGTCAGCTGAGAGCCAGAAGGGCCTTAAAGGTAAAGACCAGTATTGGAAATGCCCCAATTTCAAAAAATGAAATGGAAGCTCTCATTACCAATCATGTGAAAGAATATGTTTTGACTAATACATGAGGATAAAAAATTTGCCGGGAAACCGCCTACTAATTCATATATTTGGTAAATTTGTTTCTCTCATGGTCTGTGAGAGATATAGGGTAGTCCCATATACATCTTTCTGTGTATAGTGCTTGTAACTTTACGAAGAATGGGCCAAATTTCTTATCATTTTGATGATTCCAGAACCTTGCAGATGCTAGATGATCAACCTTTTATGATCGATTCCACAACGTTTCTTTCACAATGCAATCGCATGACCATAACAGGTCTTTACCTTTAACTCTGTTGCATTATGTCATGCCCTTCTGGTTCTTGGCAGATGCCTTGTATTCTCTTTTTGGTGAGCATGTCTTGAAGAAACACAGGGTTATCATATGAAAGAGAACTTTCTTGGCTTGTACTTTGATATTACACAATGTACACTATTAAGACTATTTTTTTAAAATGCATACATTCTTCAAAACTACAGGGCTGTTAATGAGATTGTATTAAAGGTACTATTTCCATTTTAGTGTGGTCCTAAAAGCAGTTAAATTGCTCATTAATTAGATGTAGAAGGTAAGATATAACTCACACCTGACAGTTTAAGAATAAGAATATATGGGAAAGCCAATTGCTAATTTGCAATGAGAATTCTTTTCATACCACAATGCGAATGCTGGTTAAATCATAGAATATAGAAGTGGACGAGCTAGGAATTCCTTGATATTGCCACTACATATGAAATATTAATTTCCATAACTTTTGAGACTGGGCTTTTTTGCATGTTTTTACATCAGTAAATAGTACCATAAATAAGTCTTTTAATAAGCAGATTTATTAAATGAATGCATGTATTTCATATTGAGATTATATGAACAAATTATTATTTTATCATATCTTTGTAAACAAATATTGCACTTGAACTAAAAGTAGCATGTCTTGTTTTGATGCAATAATTATATTTTTTGCTGAATGCATAATGTGAATGTTTTGTAAATTACTTGCATTAATATATTATGCAATTTATATCTTGTATTTATACTTGAGACATCTTGTTTTTTGACATTCCTAATCTAACGATTGTCAAGTGATCTTGACAGTATGTGCCATTTGAACCACTACTGACATCATTTAGCATGTGCAGGCCAGTATATTTATTTGATACAGCAAAGCTCTTTTTCTGAATATTTTCTTTTCTTAATGTTTGTAATTGCAAATTCATTAATCTGAACATTAGATATCATTTGGTTATCTGAATTTTAAGTAGATTTTCTGAAGGTCCAGGAATCTGAGAATATAACATTATCTATTATTCTGAATATGAAGCTTTTCAATTCTGAAATGAAATAAGATTGATAGTTTGAAATAATGATAATAATATTCAAATTTGTATAGCACTTGATACTGCATTTATAGTGCTTTACATTGTAATAATTACGGTCATTGGGTTCTTTTGCTAATCCAATTGAAATAGTTTGAAATAATAATAATGATATTCACATTTGGATAGCGAATATTATATTTCAAAGTGCTTTACATTGTAATTATTGTTACCTTGTCATTGAATTCTTTCGCAAATCTGCACATGATAGCACACATGCCAATCCAACCATATAAACATTTGCATCCTACCGGGTATCCATTTAACACCTGGGCGGAGAGTAGCAAATGTAGATTAATGTCTTCGCCGCAGCAGGACTTGAACTGCGAACCATGTGATCCGCAGTCGGGTTACTTTCTGTCTACCAAATCACCTGCTATCTTTGAGTTGTCAGAATAGCATATTTCAGTTTGTACACGTTTCAGAAAAGCGTCTGTGCTGCTTTTTGTGTTCTGCTGTATACACCAAAACACATATAGCGTCATCAAACTTTATATAGCATCTGTTTTGTGTAAACTTTCGACTCACAAAAGCAGTCATGTTATGTCACTAAGCATGTACATAAATTCTAAAGGTCTGAATTTTTATAGAAATTCAAGATTTAATAATTTTTGTATTGGTTGACTCTTATTGCTCATCATTATATCATATATTTAATTTGCAAGTTATGAATATCTACCTCTCTCATGTCAATATTGTGTTATGGTGTAAAGTACATTGAAACACATTTACAAGGAAAGGGAAATGAACAAACGACCAACTACTTGTTATCAACAATTTAGGGTTGAATGAATATGTGCTTACTCTGGTAATTGCATCAATGGAAATGTTGAAAGTCATCATAAAATGACCAACAGAAATCATATTAATTACATCCTTCATCCGGTACAATTCATGTTAAAACGTCACCTTAAAATTACCATTTTTGATTCATTTGAAGTCAACCTTTTGTTAGAAGAGAGAGTAGTATTGACAAAACGTATAGTTTCTTTTATTTTGGTGGCATTATAAAGAAGAAGAAAATGAACCCATAACATTATTGTTTTAATGCTTGACAGTGATAGGAATATATTGCTTGGATTTACTATACGTTACCAGTAATTTGGTGTTCAATACAAATACTTCTTTCTGGGACAACTTGAAATAGATATGTTTAAATGAAACCAAATAAGACAATATGATGAAATATGCATTTATGGAGAACATGGTCCATCATCTGCAATGTCCTGATCAAATTCTTAGTTTAGAATTTGACTGTTCATGATTCAACCTCTTATTTGAATCTCCTGCGACACTCTTACATTTGTTTTCTTAGTGTTTAGTTTCAAATATGACCCCAAGTACAATGTGTTCATGTATTTGAAAGGAAGGGTATGCAGAATGATGTTCAAGAGTGTTATTGTGTACGGTAACCTTCATTTTATTGAGACTACCTGTGTCATGCTTTCTTACAGCATTGATGAGTTTCTGTACACCTACATGTATGCAAAGTTTGGTTTGGTTCGGTTTGGTTCTGCTGCATGTACACAATAATATCAGGATACTGGCAAGTGCATAGGGACCAGGGACCTGTTTCACAAAAATTCTTTTTCAATGACAAATGACAAAAATCAGTGACAAATCTGCCGATAACCAATCAGAAGCAATCATTTCACTAGATTATAACAAAAATTCTCATTTGTCACTGATGACAAGTTTTATGAAATTGGGCCCTGATTGTACAGAAGGACAGAGAATGTAATACCTTGGTCACTCCCACAAGACCGACTACTGACCGAACAAACAATGACATTACCCCTAATGGTTTGGAGTCGGTCTTGAGTTGCTCCGGCAGTGTGACCAAGGCATTATACATGTACATTTGTTTTCATGTGTGGAACACAACCCCAATTGTAATGTGCCTTCATTGTAGAATATATAATATTCTCTTTATAAAAAAAATAGTTTGAAAGTTAATATACAGCTTAGAGTAAAAGTTTTCCCTTTCCATGGGGATGTGCTCCAAGCCTCATTCCTGCCATTTTATGTGTTTATGCTTTGACTTTTATATGCCTGAACAATATTACATTTTCGTATTTACATGGCTTGATAATAGTTTGGTATGTGGCAGTGTATCATAGACTATCTTGAATCTTGTCAGTGGACTTCATGTTTTACAACAATTTTTGTTTGTTAAGAAAATAAAAGTATATTACAAAAAGATTAGTTTTGTGGAAGCTTTTATTTTTAGAATAGAGAAAGAGAGAGAAAACGAGAGAGAGAGAGAGAGAGAGAGAGAGAGAGAAAGAGAGAAGGGGGGAGGGGGGGGAGGTGGGGATACATCATAATAGAGATGGGTGAGGACAGGGATTTTGAAGGAGGGGTACCGAGTGAAATTGTGACTTTGAGATGGGATAAAGAGACGGGGAAAAGAGAGAGAGAGAGAGAGAGAGAGAGAGAGAGGGGGGGGGGGGGGGGGAGGTGGGGATACATCATAATAGAGATGGGTGAGGACAGGGATTTTGAAGGAGGGGTACCGAGTGAAATTGTGACTTTGAGATGGGATAAAGAGACGGGGAAAAGAAGAGAGAGAGAGAGAAGGGGGGGGGGGGAGATGGAGAAAGGAGAAAGTCAGGACGGTGGGTGACTTGGTGCTATCCCAGCTCAAGTTATTAACTTAAAAGCCTTGTCTCTGTATTTGTCTCTCTCTCTCTTTCTCTCCCACTCTCTTTCTTTCTCCTTCCTCTTGCTCACTCTCCCACTGTTAATTTTTTATCTCTCAAACTTGCACTTGTTTTTCTTCTTCCGTCCATCTTCCCATCTCTATCTCTTTTTCTCTCTCTCTCTCTCGCTCTCTCTCTCTCTCTTAGACAGGCATGCTTACTGTGAATGCGAGTTCCTCTGTCTAGAGGTTTTTAAGAAGTGCAATATACATTAATTTTGTGCTTTTAGAATTCTATTTATTTGCAAATATATCGGGCCTAACGGCCCTTTCGCAAATTTGTCCAACATCAGGTTTCAGGTCATGTATTATGTACTGAGCTTTAACGTTAGCACATCAATATTAATTGATTGATTAATAATCTTGCATAGTAATAACTTATTAAAATCATAAACTGGTTGAAATGTTAAAATATACAATATAAATCATGAACATACATGTAGATTCTTATAAAGAGTCAAACAAATTCACCAACTATAGGCGTTGTGGCGTGCGCCTGTAATCCAGCTAACAGTGGAAGTTACAAACTAATTCAGCCGAGAGCGCAGGTTCGAAACTGAGTCACGTCTTTCGGATGGTGACGTTAAAGGTCGGTCCCCAGACGTAAATAATCAAATCTGATTGATACACGTCTGTAAAAACCCAATTACACACACACACACACCAAGATGGTTAAAATAATTATTAGAAATTAGTCCAATATGACAAAGCACAGGTAAATACCTTTTGGATGTTTCATTGAATCAATTCCTATTGATTCACTGAGCATTTTCTAATTTGATTGAAGCTAGACTGGAAGACCTTACTCTCAGGTGTGTATGCACAATTTCACAGTTAATTTGAGAAATATCAACATGTAAAGTAGGGCTCAACGCTAACAGGCACCCTGGACACACGACCATCCGAATATGCACTAAGAGTATGGAACTATGAATACATGTGATGTGGGTCAACTGGTTGTTCCATGAGGTTGGGGCAGAAATTATGACAGTGTCCATGTAACATTAGTACTACACATGGAAGATGAAATCATCTGTTGATAATGTTTATGCAATGAATGAACACAATTTGAGCAAACAATATGGTTGATAGTTTCTCACTTCTGGTATGTCACAAAAAATGCCGTACATGAAACGACTCATATGTGACTTAATGTAGCTTCATATTTCTTTTAAATTGAATAATGTATAGTAATTATCATATTCTATTTATTTAAACAAAAATTAGAACAAAAATATCATCTGGTCACATTATATTTATAAGGCAACATTTCTCCTCTTTCGTAGTCTCTACCAAATTTACATTAAAAAAAAAATCAATTTCAAAATAAGATTTACCAGTTTAAGTCACTGCAGTAAGAACTGCCAAATGAATATCAGCGAGATTTCAAGATGGCATGATTGTTCATAAAACTTGAGACTGCAAAGCATACTGTTACACATAGAAAATTGTACTAAATACGGTACAAGAATTCCCCACGTTCATTGTAGAAGTTCCTGCCCTTCTGGAAGACCTGCGGTTTCAGTTTGGCCTGTCCCATCAAGCTGTCCACGTTCTCAAAATCAATATCACCAATAGAAAACTCCATTTCTGGATCTTTCTGTTCTCCATCAATCTCCTCTTTCTGGGTGTTGTATGAATTTGCATCCCAAAGGTCCTTCCTTTTCATCATCATTTGATGCTCTTGACTTTCCCCTGACGAAGGTCTGTTTTCCACGACTGCTGATTTATCATGTCCTGCTTTTGACTGTGATTCTTTCTCATATCCAGAAGCTTGTGTACTCTTATATGTGCGCTTGTTTTCTTTTCCTTCATTATCAGTTCGTCTATCAACATTGCCAGTTGCCACAATGGCCTGTGTCTGGGAGGCCCCACCAGTTACATAGCCTGTGCTCTCTGCAGCAGCCAGGTCTTGCTTCTGTCTGGTCTTTGCGTTGGGCCTGAACTTGCTTTTCAGAACTTTGGCGATGACTTCTTCAGATACATTGAAGCTCTCCGCCAACGTGGCGACAGACCATTCCTCAGGATTCTCCTGTCTTAGATAGTGTATCTGCTGGATGGTGTCCCAGGATAGGCTACGTTGCTCAGGTCCCTGTCTGAACTCTCTTGCAGCTCTAGCTCTCGTGATGGACCGTATCTTTCTCTTTTGTTTTCTGCATTAAAAAAAATAGGCCTTGATTTCATAAGTTGTCAACAATGTTAGGATATAATAGTTGTTAAACTGATGCAAAAATGAATACAAAAATAGCAGTATCTTTAATAAAGGAATCATTCTTAAAGCTTAACTTAGCAATCCTAATTAGTGACATTAAAAAAATGACAGATTAAAGGGCAGTCCAACCCTTAATATTAAACGATAATAATAATAATAAAAACAGTGCTTATAATAAGTTTATTTGTATGAAAGCAGAAATATAGGAAAAAAAGAATAAACAGAAAGGTGAAAGTATAAAATAATCAAACAAATAATGATGTAGAAAAAGCCATGACCGATCTTATCAAACTTTCACCACTAGATACGATGTTTATCCTTTCCTCTAGAGTAGTTTGCTATCAATGTTGAATTTCCCAATTACTTTGATTGTCATAATGAAGTATTTTTGTAAGAAATGATAACTAATAGAGTAATCTACTTAGTTACTAGGGTAGTCTACTCTACCTTGCAATTTCTTCCAATGACATTTCTGAACTTCCATCATTTTGTTCCAAATATTTGTTAAGAGGGTTGTTATAGTTTCTGTCGATTGCGTGCTCATCTTCCGAATCATAAACTCTCTTCCTGCATGATTGTGAAGAGCTGGTGAAACTCCTTGCAATGATGCCATTTCCAGCTACATTTGCCTTCAAACTGACGGAAAAGCCGCCGTCAGCAGGCAAGAAGCCGCCCGCATCGCTGCCGGCTGGGTCGGCGCTAATGATGATGGCGGGATGGACGGCTGCATCGCAAACATTAACAACAGCAATCACATTTGTATTCCTTTGAAAGGTTTTCCAGCATGTTTTTATGATCTTCCAACTTGCGACTTCCCTATGGATACCAAACATCATGGAGTAATCTGCATATTATATGAAGAAATTGGACCCAAGTCATGCAATTTCAAGCTGTGAACGAGTTAACCCGAGGGCGAGCGTGTTTGTTTATATTGCGTCGCGGAGCGGCAGATAGGTCGTTTATTCCGGTCACAGCTGAACAGTACCGTACACAAACTATACAGCCAGCGCTCAGCTGCGCCGCATGCCGTAAAACGGGATCATGGGGAGGAACCAACGAACTCTGGGAGGAACACACCTTTGACACACCCTTTCTGGGGATTTCCCCTGACCTGCCTCGCGAAGGAGAAGCGCAGATCTGAACCTTGCTGGGGAGCTCGAGGTGGAGTCTACGATGGTCTTTCAAAATAGGAGTTTGGCAAAAGACATAAAAAGGCTCGGATATTACTCGTTTCATCATAGAGTACTCCAGACTTTCTGAATTTCAAACAACATTTTTGATAGTTCATCGTATCGATTAAAACATCTTAGACTATGTATAGTTTGGGTTCAATGAAAGGGGGTTCAACGTCAGTTTATTTTTAAGAGATAGCCGACAAAAACAAGTAAATGGAGAAAAAAATGCACTAACTGGGCATCGAAACTGAAGATGCCTTCCAATAACCAATCTAAAAGTCTAGCTCATTAGACTACTTTGTCTCATTGCATGCTTAGGCTATTATCTCCATTATGCTCAACTATTCTGAGAATGTATATAGACAGGGAGTCACTTAAATAAAGATGATTATACCGGTACATCTCTCTCACTCTCTTTCTCTCTCTCTCTCTCTCTCTCTCTCTCGATCTCTCTCTCTCTCTCTCTCTCTTTCTTGTTTTTACCCTTAGAAAAATATGTACATTATGGTATTGACTATAAAATAAGGGGAAAAATAGGCAAAAGGGCTAATCCATTGTAAAAAGCGATCGCTTGTCCACATGACCACTCTGCCTCATTGCTATTATGTTACAGTTTGCTTCTATTTGTAAACACTGTATGATGTCAGTGAGACAATGACTTTAAAATACCAAAATATGTGGATTTACTGATTCACGTTTTCGGGGTTAAGATTATTATTTTTGCAGTCCGACTCCGTCAGGATTGCCCGTAAAACTTTTTTTCAATAACTAATAGTGAGTTTTCAAATAATTATTCATTTTTTTTAAACTGCCGACATGCAATAGGGCGCTATGGAACTCCCTACATAGCATAATGAATGGAAAACTATTCTACTTAATTCAGTATATTATGTGTGGTATTCCTTGACATGGCATCAACCCGGCCCCCCACTCAAGGGTCGGAATGACCGCATGCGTGTTACCAAAATGTCCGCTAAAGGGGTTCTTTTCACGCACCAAAGTCCGACTCGTACATACACAAAATTGACTTTACACACCAGGCTTAGGGGGTGTTTTTAAAATGAGGGAACACGCATATGCGTACCCTAAATACAATACTGAGTGGGCCGGGGGGGGGGGGGGGGGGGGGTCGGGGGCATCAATGAGTATAATGGGGAAGCTTGGCTATTCAAACATTTCAATAGACCTTATTATAGAACTTATTATACAAAGGTTGTTCTTGACCTCCTGTCCGAGGCTTGCCCCACATATCAACAAGTAATGCAGACTGGATTCCAAGTACATCACTAGCTAATAACAATTAATTCGTCACGCGGCCACTAGATCCCCAGGAAAGAAACATCCATAACTTTGAATATATGTGCACGAGGAGTGGTTCTATAGGAGATTTTTTTGAACGTGAACAATATATTATTTTATCTTTTTTCAAGATGAGAATGAAGATTCGAGGTACCACGGAAATCAGTCATTACTACTTATGTGTTACGTGTTTAGAGGACCCGAGTAAGCACTCTCTGTTTATCTTGTCTTTCGGCTGACTAGACTCGTACGTACAGTACATCAGAATCAGATGACGCGCGCGAGTTTAATCGCGCACAATACGGTCGACGCAAAGCGACGCGATAATTGACGACAAGAATATCTCGTCAAAATCAAATCTCGCTAGCGCTTTTTTTGCGGGAGTTTTGTATAAATTAGACTGTAATTACTCTACTCGAGAATATAATTGACAAGAAGGTATCCACATTTTTAACATTCACCAGTACTAGACTGCAGCTACACCGTGTCTGTAGCTGTAGCGTAGCTTAGCCTTAGGCCGTGTCTACTGGACTCTTGTGTGACCAATGTGGCTGTGCTGGTGCTGAGAGCTAGAGTCTCGCAGAATTTCAGGAGCAACTAACAAGTGCAGTGCAAGTGAATGCAGTGGTGACTGACACTGCACTGACACTGTGACAGTGACAACTTTTGAATTGAAGCTGAGCTGAATGAAGAAAACATCATGGATCAACCGATTGTGAATATTCCTGAGGAAGTTTTGAGCTCACTTTGCACGTAAGTTGGCTCTCAGTTTTAGACCTAGACCTTGTTAACGCTCCAGGAAAAAAATAGTTAAATTTCTGTTCAACAAAAAAGTATTTCTTTTTCTTCTGTAAAAACTTCATTGTTGAGCTTGAACTTTGAAGATCACCACACCTGCAGCTATTTACCATGGTTAAAACAGACTCAAGTGCAGCTTATTTTACATGCATGTGTACCTAATTAGTACGGAGTGTCGTGCAGCTAATTTATTTAACATGCAATCTTCTTGAAATTTTACTTTTTAGCTTGTTCCAAAATTTAAACAGAAAAATGTTGTCACAAATCATCATAACTTGGCTTCTGAGCCTTCTCTTTCCTAGGATTGCTAAACTAAAGTCAGGGAAGATTTTTGTTTCATTAGTTCACCAGTCAGTGTCCAACTGATGTAAATCATTAGATAGACCTAGGTGTAGTTATTAATTAGTTATGACCTCACAAGTCACAATGCAAATCTGTCACAGATTGGTTTATGATTGCAGTCTTGAAATGTGAATAATAAGAAATTAGTGAATGCCCTTCCTGACATTTCATTATTTACTGCCTAACAAGCAACACCCCAAAAAATGTAAAAAATCACATGTTTTTATCTTCCCTACCTACAGACGTTTTCTTATCAACATTCCTGATGAGGAGAGGAACGATTTAATACGAGCTTTCTTCCAGATTGAGCTGGCCCATTGGTTCTACATTGACTTCTTCAGAGTTGAGCAACAGGGACTTCCCAATTGTGGCATGAAGGAATTCTCCAAAGCTAATATCCTTTCCGTCCTGTTTAATTACCTTTAAGTTGGATTAGAAAATATTTAAAAAACCTGTTAAAGTGAAATGTGAAAATGAAATATTTAAAACTAACCACAACTGTAGGTAGTGTAGACCTAATATTTCATTTCAAGGCTTTTGATTGAAATTGTTTGTAGTTGCTGTTATTTTATTATTTTATAAATTTATGTGTAACACATACATGTCCAATTCTTTCTTCAGAATGATAACAAAATGGATAAATCATCATAAATAATCTTACTGCTTCTTCTTCTTCTTCTTCTTCTTTTTCTCACTATGAACATTACTGACAAAGAAAGCAGATAAAATATACAGTTCCCCAGGTAGAACAAAGGAACATCCCTTCACTGCTATTATGTAAAAATGTGTAGAACAAGTGTCACATGCATATTCACCTTTTTACATAATAGCAGTGAAGGGATGTTCCTTTGTCTACCTGAGGAACTGTATATTTTGTCCGCTTTCTTTGTCAGTCATTTTCATAGTGTCTTCTTCTTCTTCTTCTTCTTCTTCTCCTCCTCCTCCATCTCCTCTTCTTCTTCCTCCTCCTCCTCCTCCTCCTTCTTCAAGTGGTATAAGGAAGAATGAAACTTATATGATTATGTAATAGCATTTTGGTTTCTTTGTAGTACTAGTAGGATGTAGAGTGTACAGTCAGTCTCTGGCAGGCTGTTTCATAACTTTCATTCAGGGGTCCATAGTGCGTTGCAAATTTAATAATAAATGTAGTCTCTGGCTTGGTACAACAATCTTTATATTGGATGCCTTTTCTTGTTTTAATGACTACCACCAGTTTCCATGAAGCATTGTTTTATAATTTTTTATCCAGAATTAAATTCCTTGACCAGTTTTTGTTCACTTTTCAAGCATTGTCCATTTTTGATTGACCATGCTGACAAGGTAGATAAACTCCATGCAGAATGGAGGGAATACAAGATGAGTGTTCCAACATACGGAGGAATATTACTTGATACTTCCCTCACGCATGTAAGTGCTCTATGTTTGTGACTTTGTGTACAGTTTTAAAGTGGAAATGCATTTTTTCCAAGATACGTTGTATGTTCTAGGCTCCGTTGCATAAAACTTACCACAAATGGTGACTTTGCTGTCAATATTTAATCCCATGGCAAAATCATTCAACAGCCAATTAAATCTAGGTTTCCATGGAAGTTATGATTGATTGCAAAGTTACCATCAATAATGATCTTTTGAAATAACAAAATATGAATTAAAAATCAAACATTCACAATCAAAAGTGTTGTTGGGGCAGAATTGTTTCTTCCCTTTATTCCCATTCTGGACTCTGAAATCTGAAGGAAGGTTAACTGTTCCAGTTTTCAGAGATGAATTGATGTAACATTTGCTTTAAAAATAATCAGAGAACATTTTCAAATGATCAGTATTATACGCTGACTTTAAAAGTATTTTATATAAATAAAAGTACAAGTACAAATTGTTTCAACGTAATTTTCTATTATTTCCCAATTCAGCTTGTAATGGTGCAAGGTTTTTTTAGCAGAACGAGCTGGGGATTCCCCAAAGGGAAGGTCAACAAAGAGGAACTTCCTGTGCAATGTGCAATAAGAGAGGTAAACAAGTTGTATTTCGATTCTACTCTCTCTCTCTCTCTCTCTCTCTCTCTCTCTCTCTCTCTCTCTCGCTCTCCCCCTCTCTCTGTTAATAGTAATTTAGATGTCCTGAATGTTTAGCTAGAAATACAAGTTGTAGAAATATTAGGGCCAAATGTTGATGCTACATTAGTATATATCATTATAGACCCATATGCCCATCTACATGTATGTGCAGTCTTTTCCACTGTACATAAATTCAGCAAGGTTTGGTAAATTTGTTACCATTTTGGTCACTCTAAATTCTCACAGTGCAATTTGTTCTTCTTATGCACTATATAATGAAGCATTCCACTCTTTTTTACACAGCTTGTGTTCAAAATGCACTCTCCTATCTTTTATGTCACCTGGTGGACTCATAGTCTATTTTAAATGTGATGGGTGCCCAATATCTACAAATTCCTTACAGGATGACTCCGATGACTTTGATGTAAGAAAATACTACAGTACATGGTTTGAAAAGTGATTTCCTTTTAATACAGTTTGTGCTACATGTACATGCTACAGTAGGTTTATTTTCTTTACTAATCCATATTTTCCATTTTGTTTTCTTGCTGACTACCTGAAGGTTCGTGAAGAGATAGGTTTTGACGTCACCAACTACATTGATGAAAATAACTACATTGAGACATATCTGAATGACCAACTTGCCAGACTTTACGTTGTTCCAAATATTCCAATGGATGTAGACTTCAAGCCAATCACACGAGGGGAAATCAAAGTGAGTTGTTGCTTTTCTATATAATTGCTTAAAATCGTAATTAGTTGTAACCTGGACAAAATAATTATCAGTATTGTATAAAGCATTTAGGACTCTTACCTGTCAAACCTTTGACCCCTGACTTTTAAGGGACGGTTGCCCTAGGAGGGGAGAGGAGAGGATTTACTATCCTAGGAGGGTCAGTTGTTTTGAGTTAGTTGTCCAGGGTGTAATTTTCTGGGGTTTAGATGCTATGTCTTTGATTTGTATTTATTTATTTCTATATCAGTTTTACTGAAATACATGAATGTTGGTCAAAAGTAATTACGAAGAATGGTCATTAAGAACATATTGGTATTTTAAAATTTAATACCCTTTTACAATCGCATGGCCACTTTGCATAAACAAAGCCCTTCATTTGATCATTGAATAGGGCAATAAATGTAATGAAGTTGAATCTGTTGGGATCACAGAATTTGATTTAGGAAGTGTAAATAACACGTTTGCATAGTTTTGACAAAAAAAATTGATTTGACTTGTGCGACTTCAAGTTATGCAGAGATAACTGTATTTGAAAAGTAATAGTTAAACTGGTGATTATATAATGTTGATTTCTGTGCCCTTTCACAGGAAGTGCGCTGGTTTTTGATAAATGATCTACCTGCAAGCAAGAAGGATCCAGCGCCCAAGGTCAACTTAGGTCTCAATCCAAATCATTTCTTCATGGTCATTCCATTTATCAAGTAAGTCCTTTATGATAATCATACATGAGTCCCCTCAAGATTCTTCATTTTTAGTGATTGGTTGTGAATTGTGTTGGAAACTTTTACATATTTCTGGTAATATGACATACCGGTAGTCAAAATGCAGCATGTCCAAACTTTCAATAAAGTTCATGAAGTGTGCGCTTGTAAAAATGACGCCTGGCTGGAATGCTCCCCAGGAGTGGAGAATGTGCATACATTGTGTGTGGGTAAGCCTGAATCTGATGACCAGGGTAATAATATATTTGTAAAGCGCTTTGAGAGGGCCTGCGGTCCTGAAATGTGATATATAGAACAAACTATTATTATTATTATTATATCCCCATTAGAATTGACATTTTCAACAATTATGCAGTTTGCATTCCGGACGCATCTATTTGTGCCACTATACTAAAGCCGCCCAACTGTGATTAATGTATATTAATTTTGTTCCTAGACCTTTAAAGAAGAGACTGAACAAGATGCAGCAATCTGGTTCTTCAAATAGAGGTACTTACAGTCCTTCAGCAATCCTCTCATCAAACAGCAATACTCAGTCTCAGAGGACACAAAGCCCAACTCAGGTAAGGCTTGTACCTTGGCTCGACAAGAACAGAGTTAGCAATCATAACATCTATTTTACTATTACAGATTGAAAAATCATAACTATGTTTCATCTTTTCATAAAGATAGTAATTCTCAGATGATTTTTACCTTCATATGAACACTGAATGTTTAGTTTGATATAGATATTCATCATTTCTTTTGGAAGCTTTCCGGTAGCCTGATGTTCCAATATATTAATTTTGTTCAACTGAAGTTACCAAATCTGAAGGGAAGAGAATTAATTGTTGATTTTATGTTTTCAATAGATATTAATCAAAGTGGCACATGATGGCAATTTATTTACCCAGATTACATTGATATTCGCGTAGAGCAGTAGGAATATTTATGTAAAGTACAGTTAAGTAGGACAGTATCAACCTATCCTGATCAGTAGATGAATTTAAATATTTCTCACACATCTGAATGCTCTGAATGTATTCTTGTTTTTGTTTTTTGGTATAACACAAATTTTCTAAGATACAAGACCATGTATCAAGTCTATGCATTTGAGAATTTGTATTCATCCCTTTTTTTTTACAGGGTAACTACAGACAAAGTGGAGGCAGAGGGCGAGGTGGGAACAACAACCATGTCGTAAACACCAACGGAGGACCAACTAGCCAAACAACGCCTGATAGTAACAAAGTAGAGACCAGACGCAAGCAACAGCAGCAAAGCTTCAAAGCACAGAACATGAATGCAATAACCCAATATTCCAGGTTTAAAGATCCTGCTCTAGATGCCATGTGGAACAATCAGGGTGGGGTGGGGCTGAAGCAGAGGCAGAAAAGCCAAGGGGGTGGTGGCCAAGGGGTGGTGGTTATTCACCCCAGACACCGCAGTCATCGCAGGAAGCTCCAAAACAAGGGAGACATAGCAAGGTAAGGGAATCAGGCCTGATAATTACCAGATTTAAATCGGTTTCCCTATTTTTTAAATATTTTTTCTCACCAATTTACCCCTATTTTTCCCCAATTTGTTTACTCAAAAAGGGAGGGAATGTTGTTAGATGACATTCTTTTTCCCCAAAACTATTTTTAAAAAAAATTTAATCAAGGGAGGAAAAAGTTTTAGTGCTCACTATCACTTCTGAAGGTAAAGCATATTTATTACCCTTGTATTAGAATTGAAGGGATTAGGAGATGGAGGTAGAACGAGTCTCCAATACATGGGGCTCTTCCTTTGGCTACCTGGTATCAGGGGTCTGTTGCATAAAACTTACCAGTAGTGGTAACTTTGCCATCAATATCAAATACCATGGCAGCATCACTCAACAGCCATCCAAAGCAAAGTTTCCAATGGTAAACTTAATGCAACGGGCCTAGAACTACCATCACATTAGAGTAGTTGAAGGAATTAGCTGGAAAGCCTTCAAGACTTCGAGTTGATTAAAAATAATTAGAAGAGGCAGGTCCCTGTGCATTTTGTGAAATCATCTTCTTTTATTTTCTTCATTTTACAGGTCCGAATTCATGACACTGATGCTAATAAACAAAATCCAGAGACTCTTCAAGGTATGTGGAACTATGCTGCACGATATTAAATAAATGGAGTTGAAAGTCGATCATAATAAACTTGTTTTTATCCCTATGTTCTGTTAATAACTATATTAGCTTATTAAAATACTGCAGCAAATATACAAGCATGCAAACCTCTCCAATAAAGTAAGCATAATTGGTTATTCAGATTCAGTGGAAGGTGTAGCATCTTGAAGGTGCATTTGTGGATGTGTTAGATGAGTATAATATGGCATTTTATTTTTCTGTCTCCATTAGGATCCTCCCCACTTCCGAGCAAGCAAATCAATCGCAAACAGGCGCAGGATAGCCGCCAATCCAGTCACACCCTCTGCTCTAAAGCATTCCTCAACTTCAGGTTCGATGTCAATGCCATCATGAAAGCTTTTGATGGAATCAAGTAAAAAGTGTCGGTATTCAAAGGATTTAATCACCTAAACATCTGCTACAAGACTTCTCTTCACTTCTTGCTCTCCGTATTAAACCAACAGGGATCACAGATCTACGATTTGACCATGATATACCATGCAAGTTTCAGACTCTAAATGGAGTAATCTTGTGCTGGTCAAGACTCCTAACAACCGGTGGATTCATAGAATAATGAGATTACCGTAGTATGGATGTAGCCTTTGGACAGCCTAGACACCAGCTGGTGTCATCTCAGTCAGGTTAAGAACTTTTTTTTCTACGTCCAGTGGAACTTAAGAATGTATGGGTTGGCCTGTGGAGAGTAAGTTGAAAGCTGTTACTCTGAGGCAATTTATGTGGTCCTAAATGTTGCGCTTTTGATGGATTTGTGGACCACATCAGGACTCTGGAGTACAACAACTGAATTGTTTTAAATTGGAGACTTGAAATATGGATCAAAAGAAATGCAGGCTTGCTTCAGCTGCTAGAATATGAAAAGGACTGAAATGTACATGTGTTCATCTTATATTAGAGAGAAAGAAAGAAACATTGAAAGAGAGGAAAGTTCCAAATTGTTGGGCTCTGTAAATTGTCAATTTGGTATGCTATTATTGCATTGTGATGCATACAGTATACCCCAAAAGGCATGGATTGATGTCAAGATCTTGTAGTACATGTTTGTTAATATCTGTACATCATGCACCATAGGATCTCTTTAAGTGAACTTTTCTTTCTTCTTGAATAAAAATGCTATTAATACAAACACCTACAACTTTAATATACTTCAGTTGCTTGTAACCCCCCCCCCCCCCCTCTCCACCTTCCCTCTCCCCATCAAACCCACAGTCTCCTAAATTTTGCAATCCAAATTAACATCTAGGTATCCTGAAATGTCAAGGAAACTTGGAAGTTAGCGTATGCAACTTTTGTTGTCTGTTGATATGATAGGTTAGAGAGGTCTCTTGTTGTCACTGTCGCCCTCCTTTTATATCTTGATCACCCAAGTGCTTCGGAACACTGGCTGACATAGTCCATTATTGCCATCAAATATTATCTGTATTGAAGATTGAGGGTTATAGACATATCACTAGTGCAAATCGACGTGCATACAGGCATTGATAATGAAACAAACATATCATTCAGTGGCATAATAGATTTTGGATGGATAGTGCAACAATTGTGCAACAACAAATAATGTGTATACCATTTTTGTAGATTTTCAGTAGAAGTGCAATATCAGTGCGGAGAATTGGAAATGTATTGTACACATTTTAGATAGAGCTTCAATATCATGGTTTTGTTTTCTAATATTTTCAACTTTGTATTGCGCTATGCATTTTTTTTATATCTTTGAAGTTTGCCTAGATTTTATACTTTTTATCTCAAAACCAAAGGAACCACTGTGTTCTCTCAGTCTTCAATTTTGTTGATTATGTTTCTGTGTGTGTGCAAACATGTTAGCATTTATTACAAGATGGAATAATCATAGTTGGTCCATGCATCCCTCACTCAAAGCTAACTTTTGTAAAATGAGGCTCTGTTGATGCATTTTTTAGTAATGGTGAAGCATCTTCCAAACTTAATCTATAACAACAAACACTGAGTCAAATTGTGATTCAGGAAATGAAATTAGAAGGTGACTTAAGTTTTATCCCAAAATATGTTTATGAAATGTACACACACAAAACAAACACGAACCAAGGAGAGGCTTGTTTTTTGTTTTCACACAATACACTGTAAACTAGCATATTTTGACTGAAACTTTCCCATAAAGCAAGGTAAGATATACATATATGCATCATCATCATGTATATATATATATATGTATATATATATATATATATATATATATATATATATATATATATACACATACATATTTCAGCTTCTTATGTTTTATACTCTGAATGCAAAGATAAATATGTGTTGGAAATTTGATATCGACTCCATATTCGAGTTCACTAGTTTAAACAAACTTAATTAAGATGCTAGAGATAGATTTTTCAAGCTTTGAAGGTTTGTTTAGGTCTTTTGGTAGATCATAGATGCAATCCCTAGATTGCAACTTGTCCATTTTGACGTATGTAGTGGGATGCAAGCTCACAGGCTCCATCAATAGAGTTTACTTGACCACGCATCTCTGTATGCAAGATATTTTGTAGTAAATATTGTTAGAAAACAGGGTTAACTTTACATAGGTACATGCACATGTACATGCACATGTACATTCACGATGTAAATCTTTTGTACCTTTTATATCATTTTCTTAAATACTCCTAGTTTATACTTTTATAATCTTGAGTTTTTTGAGGCAGTAGATATGTTTATATTATGTATACAGTCAGAGATCCAAATTGTCAAGCCTTTTTACCCAATATTGTACCATAATGGCATTAGTGGAGGAGTCAAGAAAGCCACAGACAGTTTTTGTAGGGGGATGCTTCTTATCTCAATTTGTGTTGCACTGTCCTAAATTTATATGTATGAATAATGAATGACACTATGAATTTATGATGCAGCTTCTCTTTATATAGCAAGATATTTTGTCCCTTAAAGTTGCTCAAGCGTGGGTATATAGAGGGCAGCACACGGACGTACACACGCACAGGAGCATAATACCCATTGGCTCAGTGTTATGCAGTGATCGCCAAGTTGCCTACGCGAACGACTATATATCCACGCATGATCATCTTTAAAGTAGATTACACTTACACTTCAAATTCAAGGTACACATGCTGAATTACATCAAAAAGATGTGATCAAATGTTGCAGCATGACATTTTTGAATACTTTCCTGTGACAGCATAAACCTGTACATTTAGACTAAAAAGTAAAATTAACTGTTGTCATTGTACAGTGTGTAAATAATCGGTGGATTTGATATAGCACTGTTGAAAGGTACATGTATCGTAAAATGTTTGAGCAATTGTACTTTTGTGAAGAGAATCAAGAGATAACAAATATGCCCTATTTGATACCCATTTGAAATAAAAAAATGTCAAAGAATACAAGCTTTGTTTCTTTATTCTTTACACTTTGTGAGAATAAGTTGTTAAATAAAGAACACTGTTACAACATAATAATGCTGGATAGCTGGTGCCAGTTCTTTTATACAGTTAAATCTGGACAAGTCAGAAAGTGCCCTTTTTGTTGGTGCCCCACTCCCACTTTGGAGGTCGCTCAGCCCCTTATATGGAGAAAACAGTTTATTATAGGTCATCAGTCATCACCAAAAGGTCCTCCTCAGTCACAATCACATTAAAGGAAACCCAACCCCAAGAAATAACTTTACTTATTCTGAGAGATTTATTATATTATTGCCCATTAATCTACAAGATTCCCCACCAAAGTGTATGAGAAAGGTATAAAGCAAGAATAATGTTTCTCAGCACGACATGGGCATCACCATTTTTTGGATAACGTGACGTACAATGGGAAGTCGTTTAGCAAGTTAATGTATTCAAATTTATGGATGCTTTCTTCCCAGACGGTGTGATGATGAAGCATTTCATTCACCTGCTATTATCCTTTGTACCAGTACTACAATTGCCAGAAGCCCAGAATGCAAATTGCATAAGTTGGTGCTCTTCTAGGGTAAAGGTTTCTCATAAATGAAATAGATTTTTTAAAGCGTATCTGCCATAGTTTACAGGAGGGATTAGACTGCCCTGCAAGGTCACTGGACAGGTGGTTATCTCATCAACTCAGTTCTCAGTTAACATAAGAAAAAGAGGATCATGGGGGACCAATGGTCACCGATTAGGCATGGTTTGTTATATAGAGGGCACAAGTAGCTACAAGTAGTGCAGTGGGCCTTTAACTGCTATAGTGTATTATTTATAAATGAATTTAGTTACAATTGTTCTCCTTTCATTTATTTTTCACCAAATATAATATCTATCTTCTCAGTTATGATTTTTCCTCATTGCAAAGTAAAGGTTTTGTTATTGATTAAAAAATTATTTCCAACTATTAAAGCTTGATGCATGATATACAACTTCAACTGGTATGTCACATTTTTAAGAAAATGACTGTGCCCATGTCATGCTTAAAGGCATTACATCATGCCAGGAATATCTTCATTTGTACATTTCATATGGAATCTTATACATCAAAGGGCAGGAATACATCTCATTTTTCAGAATACCTACACTTATTCTTTGGGGTTAGGTTTTCTTTAACCGATGCAACCAATTAAAATCACTAAATCGCAGAATTGTCTACAACAAACACATAAACAAAGAAAATTGTGGAAAATAATAAAGGTTATTCATATTACTTTAATACATGTAGGTTCTTTTCAATACATGCACTTTTTAATGAATTAGAAAGTAGAAACATACAAAACAGTATCGTTTATATGGCAATCCATCAGGACAAAAACGATAATTAAACAAAAAACGAAGATACTTTACAATCTGTAGCTCAGTTTAATACTTAGGTGGTTCCCGACTTATAATTGAAAATCAATTGAATTACACTCTGTTGAGCAAATTAAAGAACTGGTCAACTTAACACAAAAACTTGATGTAATAACATATTATAAAATCTTAAATAATAAGAAAAATAGACATTTGTTAGTTACTTCTCTATTCTTAACGTGAGGAACAATTATACATTTTCAATAACAAAGTGGACAGACCAAACTACCATAACATTTAACTACATGTATTTGTGGAAATTTTCAGACTATCATCCTAACATGCATCATTCCATTTTATTTAGAATAATTCTCTTCTTATAAATGATTATAAAAAAAAATTATTATTATTAACAGGGCAGACCTTTCAAACTAAATGAAATCTAGCAGATTTAAATATCTTAATCACTATCACAGAACTATAGATGTATCAAAATGAGGTTTTCACAGATTAAAAGATACTTGCACACACATTCCCCATGTAGTGAATGAAAACACTGGATTACAATATGTTGATTACATTTTCTAACATACAAGTAGATTTGGTAATGACTGTTTAATTGAAACTCATCATGCAAGCTCACAGACACTGGACACCAGTGTATAGTGACACAATTTTTGTTTTTGATTTTCTTGAAAACATAAAAATCTGGATTAAAAAAGAAATACATATAGAGTCTATATCTCGATCACCTTAAATAGAACATACATGTACATGTACATGCATACATTTTTCTTCACAATCCATCATTTCCTACAATTACAAAGATTCATCTTTCTTTTGGATTTTACTTATGAATAATATGCAATAAAGTCAGTTCCATTTCGGCCTCGGAGAGGTGCACATACACGCCGTGCCACCAGAATGTTGTTTGAGTTTCATCTGCATAGTGTAGTCTAGACCCGTCACCCATGGCTTGCTTGGAATGAAACAATTATTTTGTTGTGCGTGAAATGATGTAGTATACAGCTAGCATCCAATTTAGACGACGACTGCAGATCAGATTAAAGAATCTCTTTGTTCATCTCAGTGTAGTAGAAAAATTAGTTGTAAATGACATGTACAAACTACAACATGTACATGTACATTGTAGATCCCTGACGACTCGCTTTCGCCAGAATGGAAATTCCGTAAGCTGATCTCCCAGAAAACGTATCCTGCAGGGCTTTTTAAATCACAGGCACAAAAACTTCAGTTGTTAAAATGTCTGTTGTTGGATCTGATGGAAGATGAATTGACGAACAACAGCTCACAACTTGTCCAAATCTGACACAGTGACACTGCTGTTCAGATATCTCTCTTACGCCCTACTTCCTGGTCCCTTTAATTTTTATCAAAATTCATCTCTCATGTTAAATTCTATCGGAAATTCAAGTATGGATGATGTCGCTCTGTCCATCTTCACATTCATCTGGCTCTGAGTCAATAATTTGGGTACTAGGAAATAGAGATGAAGTAGCTGGATCATTCAGTCTGCTCAGAAAAGATGAAAGAAGTGACTTATTGATATGATCAATCTGAGAGAGCTCTCTCTCTGGTTGTGGCTCTTCCTCACTGACACTGGCATCTGTATCTGCACCATTTGTTGCACCATTTGGTAACTCAACTTCCATGTTTTCCCCTGCTTCGTTTGGGATTTGTCCATTTTCTCCTTCTTCCTTTTTCTCAGCTGAATGAGGGGTATTCACTCCTTCCGCCATATTGCCCTCAAAGAAGAGTTCTAAGTATAGTATTACAATTTTGAGCAGACACCAACGTGGGTAGCTCAATACGAACTGGCATTGACCACTACTATACTACTAGCAGTGCTATTACGTGCATGATGCTGGAGCTGCGCTGAGAAAGTGCGACCGACCGGTACGGAGCAGCAGCGCTCGCCCGGCCCGCACCGGGCCGGCCGGACGCGTTAGAGCGAGCTAGCCGAGCGGACCGAAAGTAATACACAAGTACCGTGACCTTTCTGTGCAGGGCCGTGGCGCTGTGTTCACGTGTTATCGAGAGAAACCAGTTCTCTATTATGCAGGTCTGATTGCAAGCCCTTTTATCATATTTGTGAGTTAGCAGGGGAAATATTATCTTTCGATTACCCTTATGCTTCTTTTTACGCAGAAAAGATTCAAAATTTTGGGGTTGAATTTAGGAAATTTCTCTTACATTGCCCCACATATTGAAATCTGTGTAAGTCATGGGCAACTCTTACATAACATAGTTTATTTTATGTTTTGGGGGATTTTGTTTTGTATCGTAAACTGCTAAAGAACATTTTGGCTGGTGACTTTACCCGTCTGTCATACAGTTTTACATTGAAAATATAAACATGCACATGCTAAATAACATTAATCATGGTTTTGGTGTTTTCAATGAAACCAAGGAATGAGACGTGTTAATACTGTTATAGATCTAGAATCTATATGGAACAATGCGATGACACGATTCGTGATATGATTTGTTTGCCATGACGATGGATAAGTATGTGTTTGCTGTTTTGTTTTGCAAATCTCTTCAAAGAAGCTTGTATACTTGTATACACCTCCTCCTCCACCTCCACCTCCTCCTCATCCTCCTCCTCCTCCTCCTCATCTATCTCCAGCCACTAGCTCCTCCTCCACCTCCTCCACCTCCACCTCCACCTCCTCCACCTCATCCTCCTCCTACTTCTCCTTCTTCTCCTTCTCCTTCTTCTGCTTCTTTTTCTTTTCTTTTTTTCTTTTTCTTCTTTTTCTTTTTCTTTTTCTTGTTCTTCTTTTTCTTTTCTTCTTCTCCTCCCTCTTCTTCCCCTTCTCCTTCTTCTTCTCCTTCTCCTCCTTCTTCTCCTTCCTTCCTTCCTTCCTTCCTTCCTTCCTTCCTTCCTTCCTTCCTTCCTTCCTTCCTTCCATTCTTTCTTCTTGCCCTTCTTCTGCAGCTTCTTGTTCTGCTTCTTCTGTCTCTTTGACAATTGAGTACAGTCCGACACAGTCAACGCGTGGATCGAAAATATGAAACGTCTGCGAAAATGCGGATGATCTTTATTGATGACCGTATTCCAACCAGAAGAAGGAAAAGATTAAATGCCACTCCTACTAGTCCTAGCCTCCTAGGTGTACAATTTTTTATTGTTGTTTGTTGAGTACTGATGAAACCTAGTTTGAACAATGGTTTAGCATCTGATACTACATGTAGATTGTTCTGGGTTGATCACCTCATTAATAGAGATACATGTAACTGAAATCTGAATCATTTCATAGAAAATCTTGTCTTCTCTTTAACAGTGCTAAATTTGAGTGAGCTTCACTTCAGAAATGAATGAGGAGGGTTGCAATGCTGTGTTGGAGGTGTTGACCAGAGCTACTAGTCAGGATCCTAGCATTCTGAAACCAGCTGAACAACAGCTCAAGCAATGGGAAGCACAACCTGGTTTTTACTCTATTCTACAGGTACTTCACTCTAGTCATATTTTCTTTTTAATACAGAGTCAATTATGATTATTTATAAAGGAAAATTGTTAATATTGTTTAGATTTTTTAGAGAGAAAGGAAAACTAAATATGTTTCCTCAATATTATTTTATGATTTCTCACAAGAGGTTAGTTATGTTAGTGCATACCTGTAGTTGTCATACAGATTGCAACTTCAATAATTAATTACTTCAGCAAATCCATTAATAAGTCAGTCATGGGTCTGTATTACAGAATAATAAAAAAAAAATAGTCATTACTAGTTTGTACAGTTTGAAAGAATAAATATATAAACAAGTTAAAAGATGAAATTTGTTTTCAGAGATAGACATGGAAATAAAAGAAGTGTTATTTTATTGTCAATCTTTTTTTCTCCTTTTACACAGACAATAATTCAGAACCACAGTATTGGCGTAAATGTAAGATGGTTGGCAGTACTTTTCTTCAAAAATGGCATTGACAGATACTGGAGGAAGAATGCAACAAAGTAAGTGCATAATCTGATGAATTGTTATCTTCCCAAAACCCATGTTTTGAAAGGCAACGGTTTCAATCTGCAAAATTTAAATCTAAAACAATATTTGAGATAGCATCTTTTAATCAAGTCAATAGACCAGGAATAATCGTGTATAATACTGTAAATGTACAAATACTTCCATTTCAAGATAAAACATCAACTAAAAACTTTTTTAGGCCTACCAAATCAAGATTTTTCTTTTAGAGATATTTATGTATTTCCGCACAATCTCATCTGTGGGAGGAAAAACAATGAAGTGATACATAATGATTTTGTCGTCACTACATTGTACGATGGTACTTTCGGTTATTTTCAGTGCCATCTCAGATACAGAAAAGGTGGGCATACGAGCCAAGCTGGTCGCTCGCTTTGATGAACCAATTGCTCCTATAGCTACTCAGCTGGCAGTCCTCATTAGCAAGATAGCTCGCATGGACTGTCCTAGGATTTGGCCTGAGCTGGTCCCTATTCTCCTGGAAGCGGTCAAGCAACCGGATCTCCTTGCACAGCAGAGAGCACTCTTAACATTGCATCATGTGACAAAGACCCTAGCGTCCAAGAGACTGGCAACAGATAGGAAGCTTTTTCAAGAGGTAAGTTTGATGACTATCTTGAGAATGTCTAAACAAATTGTAAGATATCCCTCTGATGATATAATATTCTGTTGTTTTATTTATTCATTTATTTATGGTTCTTGTTTTCACTAAACCAAGTGAATATATTATCTCGTTAATGTCCCATCTCTTCAAGAAGCATATCTGGTGGGATTTAGTTTAACAAAAAAAAAAGGTTTTCATGTACCTATGACATGGTTTTGAATTCTTTTGTAATACATATTCATTAAAAGAGAAGTAAAATTATGGTTGATTACCATGGGAATGTGCTGTTATGATCAGCCTTGTGCTCATATATTTGGTCACCAATGTGCAACCTTGTTGCTTATGAAAATTCAAGGAAGAATGTTGGTAGGGGATGCTGTAAAGTTTTCTTTATATACATGTATCTCTATTTTTTTTATAATTTTCAATAGCTGACAAGTAACATCTTTGGTTTTGTGCTAACCCTCTGGAACACCTATACTGAGAAATTCCTACAAGCAGCTAATGCTCAGGATCATACTGCCATGGCAACATCACTTGAGCTCAGTGCGCTTGCCCTTAAAGGTAATTATCCGCACTGTTTTCTCAGAGATGTAAATGTCTTGTATTGCTTTGCAAAGCACATTGTACCTTTGCCAAAAGTAGATTTCACACAAGGGGCAAATTGTGGTTGTGGTCAAATTGTTTTATTGCATTCTCATTCCTTCAAAGTCCTATGTGATCAGGTACTCCTGAAGAAACACTTTCCGTATATATCACCCGCTTCATTATCATTGTCAGTGTTAAATGGTTTCAGAAGACAGTAGTAACTTTTCTTGTGATTATCATTATGTACAGTTTTGAGAAAACAGCTGGTGTTTGGCATAACAGAACCAGGCAAGTCTCAAGAAGCAATGGTAAGAATGAGAGAAATTAATATTCAATCAAAAGTTCTGCTAGCTAATTATGAAAGAAGTAACCTAAAATTTAATTGACTAATTTAGTGAAAGAATATAGAGTCTAATATACTTGTCCAGAAAACCACTACAAATCTCTATCTACCCTCCTCCCCCCCCCCCCCCCAACAGCAAAACAAAAATACAAACAAATTTGAGGCACAGTTGAATCATCCACAAATTGATAGAACTGTACTATGTCATTAAATCTGTATCTTTGTTTAAAGAGAAAATTGAAGAATTTCCCTGTACAGTTTATTCTCTGTTAATGTTGTGACAAATTTGTAAAGTAAAAATTGTTTAATTTAAAATTAATCATGTTCACATAATATCACAATATCACAAAGCATTATACTTTTCTCTTTCCAAACTCTTTCAGATGCTGATTCAGATGATATTCCAGAGGGTGCGTCCCTATTTAGAAGTCAGTAAGTGCTCTGATTATTGTATTCATCTATATCTTTATGTATTTAAAAGTTATCCAATCTAATTCCTTTTCAATTGTGATTTAGTCTTCATGATGCAGAAATGGATTGAAGCTCACAGGTGGGCGTTTCACAGAACTTGTCATCAGTGACAAATCACAGCTTTTGTTATAAGCTACTGGAATCCTTGCTTGTGATTGGTTAGCAGCAGATTTGTCACTGATGTTTGCCATTTGTCATTGAAAAAAGGCTTTGTGAAACGGGCCCCTGATGCTACCTCATTTATTCTGTTTTCTAGGAGCAAGTCTTCCTGCTAATCACACACTAAGAGAGAAGTTGGAGAAAATGGCCATCCTGCACACTAAAGTTGTAAGTCCATTAACCTCAGACAGCAATGAATCATTGATTGTTGCACGTCTCTTTACTGTTTATTTTGTCATGATTTACGTGTATTTCTCTTCAGAAACCCATGTAATATTTTTGTCTGTGAAATTTAAAATAAGAACAGCTTTGATGAGACACTAGGGCTTTGTTGAATCAAAGTAACAGAGGTACATGATTTGAGATGTGACGCTGGTAGTAAACTAGTGATGTAAATGAAGATAAACTGGTAAGGCTATTATTTAATGTGTCAAATATAAGGGTCAAGGCATGGGGGGTCATTGGGGTTTATAGCTTCTCATTGGGGTGTACTGTAGGATACAAGCTGAAGTTAAGAATTGGACCATTTTAGAAACTGATCCTAGAGCATTCTTTGCTGGAGCGTACTTTGTACATTCATTGATAAATGTCTGCTGAGAGCCAGAAGGGCTTTAATCGGCTGATCATATGACATAGAGTCAACACCCCTCTTGCCGTTTAACGATAAGATTTTCTTCATTCTTCACTTCAGCTACTGGACTGCCAGGAGAACTTCCCACTGGCCTACATAGACTTCATCGGCAGCTCCTTGGAACTCTGCACCTCCTGTGTATTCTCTGATGATAACAGACACCTCATGTTTGAACGCTTCACGGTACAGTGCATGAATCTCATCAAAGGGATCGTCAAGTGTGAGAAGTACAAGGAGAGGACCGGTCCTGATGAGGAGCCAGACCCTGTTACTGTCAAAGCAGAAGGGGTAAGAACAATGCTTGGTTCTGTCGTAAGATGTATTGTGATGGTCCATCTATCACACTCTCACACTGTGTCACGCATGACTGCATGCATTATCCCATAGACTTTGGTGTGACTTGGTGGTAATGTGTCTACTTTATTTCTAGCAATACTGTATCTATGTCCCATACTCTGGAGGCTGCTAGGGTGGCACGAAACGGACCGTGAGACTTGGATTCTCCATACCTTTCTGTCTTCAGCCATTCTAGTTAGCTGCTCAAATGACATTGACATTATGATGGTAGTGGGATAATAAAGATTAGAGTGTGTTTCCATAGAGCTTCCCTTTTTGCCTGGATACCCGACCAGACATTGCTAACAATTTTGTTGGATTTTGTATTAATTTTTTTTAAATCAATTTTCACATGCAAAATGTATAGAATCAAAGTTCCTGTTTGAATAAAATGCAAAGAATGCATGCTGTATGTTTCTTACATTGGAATTTATATGTACTGTTTTTCAAATTACCATAAACATTCATGATAAGGTGTATGTATAATATGATAAATTTCACAATGTACAACATACATTTTTCATCCAGTCATTTATTTTAGATGCACAAATTCCTTCATGTGCTAATTCATCTTGTATCCAAATAAACTCTTTCTTGCTATGAGTAGAACCTTGATGACAATATTTATTAAGCTGTAGTATTCAATGTTTCCTTTCTTACTTCAATGACAGGCAAAGAAAGCATTCTTTACAGAGAGTATTGTCACAGAAATCTGTCAGAGGCTAATCATGCAGTACTTTCCATTGGGACAAGAGGTAAGAGAAGTGTCAGGTGCTCCGACATTTGCTTCGGCGACAATTGCTCCAGGCATTATTTTTGTGAAAAGTGTAGGGTTAGGGTTAAGATTGCAGTAAAGTTTTTACGTTAGGTTTAGGCTTAGGGTTTGGGTGACATGTAACTTTTGGTCCAGGATTAGGAATTTGGTTAGTGGAAATTAGTGGAAATTACTGCGGAGCAATCGTTGCCTAGCAAGTGTTCTACCTGGTATCAACGTCCAATATTTTATTTTTCATAATTCTCATGTCTTTATATTTTGTAATAATTGTTGAGATCGCAGCTGTAGAATAGGGTCATGAAGTTGCATTAGAAAATATATTTGAAAAATATATATGCACTAAGACTGTTTTAACCTGTAACTGTATCGTTTCTTTCAGGACCTGCATCTGTGGGAAACAGATCCCGAAGGCTTTGTGTCTGACGAGGGAGGTGAATCATGGAAGTTTAGCTTAAGGGTAATACATCTTATCCGTGTTTATCAATCCTCTTTATTACCTATAGCACACTTATATATGTTTGCCTCCTCTATTGCCATTACTGTTTACATGGAGAGATAGAAAAATGTTCCCCTTTTAGGCATTGTAAGAATCATGAAAAAGTTTAGATTCAATAGCCTCATCCAATATATCGGCAATAGAGACAATAATGACAATGTGTAACTCTGTACTATTATTTCCAGTTTATGGAATAAGTTTTCATCAATCAGCTATCATGAATGCATGTGTACAGGACTTTTTTAGTCTGCCTAAATGCCTTAGCTAATCTTTGTATATGCTGAATGTATCAAGGAATGCAAAGTGTCTTGCAATGCTAAAGAAAGTACTCTTGATGTTTCAAACACTTGCCTCATGTAGAAAAATCAGAAGAATATTATAATGCTTTTCTTGTTTATTTTTTGTTTTCCAGCCTTGTACAGAGACTTTATTCCTGACCCTTTTCCATGCAAACAAATCAGTTTTCATCCCAGTACTCATTCAAATGGTACAGAAAGTACAAGGTAAAGTACACACTGTGTTTCTTGGTCATTACAGAGTTGTATGATAGCCTTCCAGTTTGTTTTGCTACAGATTGAAACCCTAGACTGTCATATTTATTTTGAGTGTGTATTCCATAAATATTGTGTGTGTGGCCAGAGTCCACAGGAGAGGTCCACTTTTATTAATATTTGAGCCTTAGTTGACCAAAGCAAATTAACGGACATCCAGAGGATTCAAGAAGTGGATTAATTCTAAGGTTGATGTGTATTTGCTATTAAAGAGTTATCAACCAAACATAAAAATGTATTCTAGAAATTCAGTTCAGGGTCCAAGCATAATTATGTTTGTTTGTATAGGTGGTTCAACAAGAAGTGGTAACTTTGTGTAAGAAGAAAATTTGTGCAATATTCATTTGGAAAAGAACCGAAACAAAGTCAAGACCCTTCCTGGCAAGATAACTTAACACAATGCTTATGGGAACCAGGGCCCTGTTTCATAAAACTTGTTATCAATAACAAGTTACAATAACTGTTATAAGCTACTGAAATCGTGGCATTTTATTGGCTGAGAACAAATTTGTCATAGAAAAGTTAGCATTTGTAACTGATTACAGGTTTTATGAAACGGGGCCCAGGTTGTTTCTCTACTATTCCATGGGAATGACATTAGATTCATAATGAGTAGAGTTTATCATGATTTAGAATATCATAGCAAACTTGAAATAACTTTTTGTTTCTTTTTTTGTCTACACTCTTTAGATGCGAGTGATACAGAAGATATACAGGTGCTATTACAGAAGGAAGCGGGTAAGTGTCTTTTACAAGATTACGTATTAACCATTTGGCTACTGGATCCGGGTGGTCCTTGTGTTAAGTCTATGGGAATGAGAAAACACAGTAGTCAATGGGTTAATTTCATTAGTATGTAGTGAAGACCTAGCCCTAAAGTGAAGAGAAATTGTTGTGCTGGGCAAAATTTGATGCAAGATAAAATCTATTTGGAAAGATATACAATCACATGTGTACATATTTTCTATTTTTTAACTTTGTAGTATACAATGCATTAGGTCAAGCTGCTTTTGAGCTGTTTGACGATGTTGATTTTGATCAGTGGTTCACCTCTCATCTCTTGAAAGAACTTCAAAACATGCATCCAAGGTAAGAAGCGTCGAGAAGAGAATAATCACCATTCAGATAGACAGCTGTGTAATTTATCTACTGCTTTCACATTGTCACATTGTGTATATATCAATTGCTTTTATATCATTGTGCTGAACGTATATTGACATTTGTAAATTGAAGGAATGTTCCCCTACACTTCTCCGTATAAATATAGTAACTCTTGTGCAGTGGTACATGCTAGTGTTAGGAGGTCAAAAAATTGACAATATGTTTGTTGGTACCAGTTACACTGTATCTTATGTTCTACTTTAAAACCAGTGCCTTCTTTTGTAATGCATGTAGTCGATAAGGAGTTTATACGTAATTGATGTTAGCTACAGTCTTTTAATTGACTTTGGGTAAATATGCAGCATTTGATTATCACAGCAAGTTTGATTCAATAGCACCTTCTTTGTAGTCTTCATCTTGATTCCTTTCCACTGTGTTAAATGTTTTCATACTTCTTTCTGCTTTTATATTCTACTATGTTCTTCCTACCCTTCATTTCCCTTTCTCTTGATGACCCAGGTACAAGATGATAAGAAGAAGAGTGATCTGGTTAGTCGGTCAATGGATAGGGGTGAAGCTGTCCCCCTCTCTACACCCTACCTTCTACCAAGCAATCCTACCCCTCTTATCTGCAGATGAAGATCTGGTAGTCAGGATATCAGCTGCACAGGCTCTCAAGATTGATATCCTTTACATGCATCACTTGCTTAAAGAGCTTTATTTCTCCAATTTTGATATGATGTGTTTTAGCTTGCTTGACATTGATCTACATATGACACACTCAACCCAGGTGATGTAAATGGATACCTGGCAGGATACCTTGAAATGCTGGAGAGCTGTAATGGCAGCTAGGCTAAAGCCGGGTAATAATAAATGCGCCTCGGAATAGAATTTCTAGATAGACAGTGCAATAGAAATGCCCATCATTATTATTATTATTATTATTATTATTATTATTGTATGTATAAACATTCGATGGTTGATTTTTTTTCAGAACAATTTGCTCTTTAGAGTGACAATAATAAAGGTGTTGATTTCTTCATTCACATCCATTGTAGACGATGGGGGATAACAAGGAATGTGTGGAATTCATTAACTTATCCCCCCCCCCCCCCTAGAAAGAATTGATAAATTGATGAAACCAATTTGGTTTTGGATTCCTATGGTTTAGAGCAATTAGGCAATGTGGGAATGTGAGGATTTTTACTCTCTATTGCATCTTGTTGTCATCCAGTGATATCCATTCTAGTTATACCCATTTGTTTAATTTCATAGGTGCATCCAAATAGAAAAAGGAAATAACTTGGAAGTTGTCCAGTAGTATAAAATCATATGATTATTTAAGTAATTTACTCACTTGACCAAGTTATCAGACCCTTAAATGGTAAAGTAATTGAAAAATACAATTTACAATTTCAGGGCAGTTAAAAATCATATGGCATATCCATAATTCTGACCTGTTGCTTTTTTAGTGATTGTATCATAGATAATTGTTGGAATAAGAGAAAACAAAATTGTCTTAGCATGTTTTGTTCCTTGACTGAGATGATGCACCTGTGGATGATTTCGAGTTTAAGACAGAAGCCTTCCTGCCGGTAAGTCATCAAAATGTAATTAATAAATCAATAAACTGAACCTATGAGGCATGTTTTGAAGAAAAAAATAGTACAGTGCTTGATGTGTTACTGATGTGTACCTCAAACTTCCAAAAATGTAATTTTTGAATTTGTGGTAAAACCACAGGTGTCAATTATTTGTCAGTACAATGTAATTTCCCTAGTTTTAGTGCACCAACGAAAGGTGTACACAACCCGCTCTTAAAGTTGGTAGAGAATGTCTGCACTTTAAAAAGAAATCACTCTATTAGTGGTGAAATTATTTATATCCATCCATTAAATTACCACCCTGTGATGTGGCAAATTTGCTATACTGTTAAAAAATATCAATTGTTGTAGTGATTATAAAAATTGCTTTAATATGTTTTGTGAAAGCTTTGAGAAAATTTATTGATATTGTATTGGTTTTATTTCTACTATTCCAGTTTTTAGAATCCAGTTTTTCACTGCTGTTTCAACTTCTACAACAAGTATCAGAATGTGACACAAAGGTAAGTTTCAGACTTGTTCTTGAACCAAATATTAACCAGATATTAAGTTAGAAAACTTTTAAAATTACTAGAAAAATGTTCAGCTGTATATGTTGTTCAAGTAAATGTGTACACATTTATTTATTGGAATATTTGAAGTAAAAAAGATGTGAATGTAGCAAGAACATTTATTTTTATAATGTGTGAATCCATCAGGTTATTTATAATGCTAGGTGAATCCCCAGATAGTCTTAATACCTGTTTTAACTTCATATTATTTCCAATATCATTATCATCTTAACCTGTGCCTTCTATTTATTTTAGATGAGCATTCTTCATGTGATGTCTTTCATCATCGAGAGGGTGGGGCCCCAGATTCGTCCCTTCTCTACCAGTCTTGCCCAGTACTTACCCCTTCTCTGGGAGGATTCAGCAGAGCATAACATGCTCCGGTGTGTCATCCTCTCAACTCTCATTCATCTTGTTCAGGTAAGTGGACTTAAAGGGCTAAGTTTTGCCCCCTCTCTACCGATCTTGCCCAGTACTTACCCCTTCTCTGGGAGGATTCAGCAGAGCATAACATGCTCCGGTGTGTCATCCTCTCAACTCTCATTCATCTTGTTCAGGTAAGTGGATTTAGAGGGGTAAGTTTTGCCCCCTCTCTACCAGTCTTGCCCAGTACTTACCCCTTCTCTGGGAGGATTCAGCAGAGCATAACATGCTCCGGTGTGTCATCCTCTCAACTCTCATTCATCTTGTTCAGGTAAGTGGACTTAAAGGGCTAAGTTTTGCCCCCTCTCTACCGATCTTGCCCAGTACTTACCCCTTCTCTGGGAGGATTCAGCAGAGCATAACATGCTCCGGTGTGTCATCCTCTCAACTCTCATTCATCTTGTTCAGGTAAGTGGACTTAGAGGGGTAAGTTTTGCCCCCTCTCTACCAATCTTGCCCAGTACTTACCCCTCCTTAGGAAGCATTCAGCAGAGCATAACATGCTCCGGTGTGTCATCCTCTCAACTCTCATTCATCTTGTTCAGGTAAGTGGACTTTAATAGAGGGGTAAGTTTTGCCCCCTCTCTACCAATCTTGCCCAGTGCTTACCCCTCCTTAGGGAGGATTCAGCAGAGCATAACATGATACAATGTGTCATCCTGTCAATTCTCATCCATCTTGTGTTTATATAAGTGGTCTTAGAGGGGTAACGTTTGCCCCTTTACTACCAACCTTGCCCAGTATTTGGCCCTCCTCTGGGAGGGTTCAGCAGAACCGTGTCTTCCGGTAGTGTCAGTTATTAACTCACTATTAAGTGAGATTACAGTTAATCATCACACTTGTAAAGCCTTGATAGGTGTATTGCAATCATATCAAGATTATGGTTTGGTGCTATTTGATTTGATTTTTCTAATGTTTACAGTATATTATTTTAAGATTTTAACAAGTTAACTGTAAACATTCTCAGACACTGTAAATTTCTTCATGTCTTTTCTTGCAGGGTTTGGGACCACACAGTACCACACTCTATCCTTTCCTCCTTCCTATAATCAAGTTCAGTACTGATGTCTCCCAGCCTCCACATGTCTATCTAATGGAAGATGGTGTGGATCTGTGGTGAGTAGGTCACATAATACATTGTTTTACTCAGCATTTTTTAACAACAATGACCCCAGACAAGTATTATTGGACTTCTTTTAGTTTATCTCTGATTGGATAGGCATATTTGGGACGTTCCAGCCGTCTGCAATTGTCTGTTGATACCTGAAAAAAATGAATGTATCCCATTGAAGAAATAAAGTTATAGCTATCTTTGTTCCGAATGAATAAGAAACATTGGCATTTCACCAAATATTCATGATTTACTTATCTAGTTTGTGACTATTACAACATCAATTTGTATAATTTATTTTCCTACATTTTCTTTTCAACCGTCTATTGCCTGTTTAGCTGTACTTGCATATGTATTTATTTGAGCTGTTTCGATGTTTGTTGATTTTGACCATGTAGGTATGAGACTATACAGAATGCTCCTGCCATGACACCAGAACTCCTTCAACTCTTCTCTAATATGCCTGAAGTACTGGGTTAGTATTCTATCGAAATATTTCACTTTGATTGTTACATATTGAAATGAATGTCGTTATCTTTCTCATATTTCTTTTTTTCTTTATTTCATGGGTCATACTGTTATGGTTCATACATTTTTTTTCATTTTTTTTCAAGATATTTTATTTCTCAACTCAAATATTACATAGTAGCACATACATACAAAATACATAAAATTAAAATGCATTCAAAACAAAGTTAATTTGCCTTTTCGCTTCTTTTTGTCATTTGTGGACATTTTTATAAAGCTTTGTTTTACTCTGAATTTTAGGTATTCCCATAGTTTTACAGGAGACAAGTAAGTAAATTCATGAATAGTATACTCAATTTCATTTTCAATGGTCTCAACATTCTCTTGTTTAGAAAGTAAGGAGGTGTTTAGTTTCCAATAACCTGCCCCCTCTTTGGTACTGATTGTACTAACAAAAGGGATATGAGAGAATGATCGGTCTTGTATCCGAAATATACATTCAAATTTTCAACGACCGGAATTAAGCTTCTGGGTATCAGAAAATAATCTAATCGACTTAATTTCTTCAAAATCTGGTGAAGTCCATGTATATTTGTATTCATGTTTGTTTAACAATCTCCAAATATCTATTAATTCTATATCTAGTATCATGTTTTTTAGTGTATCATTACAATTTAAAAGGTTTTGAATCAAATTGGGGAATCTATCCATTGTATCAATGAATGAATCACTTTCAAAATTACTAGAAGAATTCTACCCGAATCATCATGTGTAACATTCAAAATATCAAAAGAAGCGAAAGGTTTAAACAATATACAAACTCCAGCGCTGTCTGATCTAGCATGACTGAATAGAATTTTAAAACCCCATTCTTGACACCAGTTTTTTTTCAGTACTATGGGTGCTATGTGTTTCTTGCAACAAAATAAGATGATAGTCAGAATTTCTAATCCAATTAAGTATACATCTTTGTTTAAAGGAATTTTCTAACCCCCTCACATTGAGCGAACAAATTTTTATATCAATAACACTATCCATCATATACATGTAACACAGTATTTTGTGTGTTTACAAATTCACGGTAAATGTCTTTATGCATGGGGGAGCATACTAATGAACTTACAATATCTCTCAGCAAAATGTGTTGAGTTTGTATCCTAGACTTATAGGATATAAGAAGGAAAAAATAAAGAAAAACGTGATAAAAAATAAACATTGTAGATTTGTACAACTGTTCGCTATTAGAAACCATCCAAAAGGTTCAAAAGAGAGCAGGGACAGTTCATTAGAGTAACGCATTCGGCCTATTAAACTTTCCAAATACAACAAACATGAACATTTATGTTATCAGCGCAGATTTTACTTTCATTCTGCTTGTTTGATGAAAAGTAATGGAGATGTGAACAAAAAAGTTATTATTTCCATTGAGACAAGTTGACATAGCATTTCAATTCCTATAAATCCGACATTCGTAGTGTTTTCAGTACACCAGGAGTGTCTTTGAATTTGATCACCCTAGGAACAGAATTCGGAATGAATGCAAATTTATTTTCCTGTCGTAGTTTTCTCAGTTTCTTATGCTCTTTTCGCGTGTCGCTGTGCCGACCTTTTGACCTTTGATGCGGACATCCTTTAGCGTAGAGCTACATTTTAGTATGTCTTTTCGGTCCGTAAATCGTAGAAGTCTGACGTGGATTGGGCGTGGCCGTATCGGTCCATCCTTTTGTTGGCGTGCACGTTCCCACTCAGTGTTCTGTGGGCACGCTCAATCTCTGTATCCTGGACATTGAGATGCTCAGCAAAGAATGCCTTGGCATAGGTAGCACAATCGTAGGTGTTTCCTTCCTCACCTTCTGGAATTCCGTACAGCACAACATTATTCCGCTTGCTGCGATTAACAAGATCCACCACATTCCTGCGCAACTCATTAACATAATTTATGTCAACTTTTTTTCCTGATTTTCTTTGACTTTTTCCTATAATTCTTCAAATTCTGTTTCTAAGTGTCCAACTCTTTGCTCCAAATCCACAACTCTGGTATTCAATCCCTCAAATTTCTGCTCGATAATATTAACTTTTTGCCCAATGATATCACTTTCTTATGCATTTCCTCAATTCCAGACACCTTCAACAATATCTTACGTAGGAGTTTATCCGTAGGATCTATGTTATAGGCCCCTACCTCCATGTTCGGCTCTCTGCTGGGAGTGGCGCTCGTAGATTTAAAGTTACTCACATCTGCTTGTTTCTCTTCTGTTGAGGGGGATCTTAGCCTCTTAAAACTCACCATACTTCAGAAAGTGAAATCCAAGTTCTCAATCATCACAAAAAGGCACACAAAAATGAGTTTTTATGTTGTCCCTGCTCTCCTCTGTGTACTATTTACAAATCCATCAAGGGCGCAATGCTAAAACTTTGTAATGTTTTGGAATGGTGTTGTGTTAATCTTCAGTTGAACTTCTTCACAACTTCATTATGATGAGTAACTATATGAGACAGTGATTGTGGCATGATAATATGGTGAAATTTTCCTATGTATATGTTTGTTATTCTGCATTAAGTTTTTAGTTTAGTTTTTAATGTAGTATTGATTTGTATTTTTTAAATAAATGTTTTTATTTTTTAATTTTTTATAGAAATGGCTACCGAGAATCTGAAGACATGTCTTCTCATCATCAGTTCGTATGTCATCCTTGGGAAGGAACAGTTCATGCAGGTACAGTCAAACCTGCTTTAGCGACCACCTGCCTATAAAGACCACTTTTCTTGTCTCCCTTGGGTGGTCTTTATAGACAGGTTTCACTGTACATGTAGCTTGGCACTAGGCAGCATGGTGCAATACTCCTCTTTAAAGTGTACAAATCAATGTGAATACCCAGAATGTATGAAAGCAACGTCAAACAGCTTAACCTGACATTCTATAGGTAAACGATTAAAAGGATTGGGTAACTTTGTCTCAGATTCTGAAACAAAATCCTTGATTTAGCTAATGCTGCAATGATTATTATAAACCTTTAGGTCAGTCAAGAACCCCATGGCTTTTACAAGCCGATCGCCTGTCTGATTATCAAGATATTTATGATTGGAAATAAAAATCAAATTTGCATTTTTAATACTATGGGCTGCTTCTTCAATACTGGTTCAATGTCACATGTATAAGTACTTGATACAGGCTGCTCATTCACAAATTGAAAATCATGAAATCTTTTCATATTATACCCCCCTCTAGAGCCATGGACAGACAGTAGCGACATGTACAACAGGCATAGTGGCTGAACTCAGGACAGAGGGTGTCACCGTGGTCCTCAAGGTAGCGCTTCAATTGATAGAAAGAATCTCTCTAAGTGCCATATCGATTTGAATTTGGTGATCATGCTGTTCCTCAACCCTCCGCTCCTAGCTTTCTGTATAATTAGTACCACTCCCAGTTCTTTCACTCCTCTCTCTCTTCTAACAATTTATGCAGACTATCCATCCAAAGTCATCTCCTCCTTCCCCTACTCCTCCTTCCAACAATTTTCACTGTCAAATCAAGATTTTCTTGGCTTTCTTTATGTGTAATGAGACCCATGAACTTAAACTGCCTAATCAACATCTCACGTATCATTTTCCTTTGTACTCCAGCTCTTCTTAAGAACTTCCTCATTAATAACTTTGTCAGTCCAAGGGATTTTCATCATTCTTCTTAAAAACCACATTTCACAACTTTTCAAATGCTTTAATTATCAGAGGCTAAAGTCCATGTTTCACTACCATAGAAAGAATCAGTTATCACTATTGTGTCACAATTGTGTTTTTTGTGATATTTACCCCAAAAATTTGTTTTGCCCACTACACATTATCCATTCTGACTATGATCCGATTTGGAAAGAATTTCCAATAGCATTTGATATGAACATTCAAACAAGTAAAATCTTATTGACCAAAGCTCTGAATAGTCAAATGATTAATAAGATCTAAATTTCATCATATTTCATTCTTCCTTGGAGGAGAAAAAGCTAAATTGACTCAGAATGGTGCGATTATCAATGATTTGACTAGAGGAGTTAAATGCACTAAAATTCTGGTTACTAATTACCAGTTTTATCATTATTTAGAAAGTAAATCAGTTATATGTTTGTTTTACCTTCCATATCTAATATAGTTGCCGTCTTACCAGACCATATTTTATGAAGGAAACACCTTAATTGGCAATTATTAAACTACAAAACCCCTTTTGATGGTTTGTTTATGTTCAAATAAAAAGAGACTGAGTATTGGAAAGTCATGTATGTGCACATTATCTGTGTATATACTTATATGGTGTAAAAGCTGTATATGTTGTTCATGTCTGTTTGTTGAAGGAAAATATTTAAAATTCTGTATACAATCATGTATCTTTGTATGTTTAATTTTACCAACATTGTGTTTTCCTGAATCCTTTGATGTAAAAACCTGTGTTTACTCTGCAGACGATAGAAACAGTGTTCAAGATGTTCCCGATTGAAGGACCACATTTCTTTGAGTCGTATCTGCCCAAAGTCCTGGAGGAGATCTTGAGTAAAGATGTAAGATACATTTGACTTGTTTGGGTCAAGAGTACCTGCTGAAGTTGGGATGGGAGAGAGAAATTGGATTGGATCAAAGATGAAAAATAAATGTAGCTTCTTTAGGTAATTTAGGTTTTGTGTTTATAGTAATTGCCATATGCCCTCACAGTGACCCTATGGTAGGAATACTCCGCAGGGAGTGGAGATGGTGCACATTGTGCATGAATGAATCCGAGGACCAGGGAAATAGTATCTGTAAAGTGCTTATAGACGATATTTTGTATTAAGCGTCATGTAAATCCAGATTATTATTATTACATAATGAGGTGAGAAATGCAAGATAAGTTGGGCTTTAATGGGTCAAAGAAGCATGCAGAACAGGAGTAAATAGAGGCATGGGGAAAATCATGTGAAGATATTTTAAGCCCAGTAGTTCAGGCATGCATGCAGAATGAGCAATGGGAAAGGAAGGTGGAACAAATGTAAAATATCCAGGAGAAAGTGCTTAAAGATAAGAATTATTGTAGCCTGGTGACTATTGGTTAGAAAAAGCTAACATGACTGAAAAATTAGGAAGGGGGGGGGGGGGGGGCAAGTAAGATAAAGCAGATGTGAGAATTGCTAAGGCGTAAAGGCTACCAGAATGGGTACAGGAGGGGGCCATTAGTAAGTATCATTTGTGTCTTAAAACCTGTCTACATATTTAGATAGATTAACAAATTTGTTTTTCTTCCCTTCAGATCTACCCTATGCTGATGACCATGTACGTCTCTCTCCTCTGTCGTATTATCATCAAGAATCAAGACTATTTCTTCTCTGTCCTCGATGGCATTGCCAAGAGTTGGAAAACCACAGTGAGTATGATTCCTTGTTCATAACTAATCCAACACATTGAATACTTCATATATCAATATTGATGAACTTTTAAATGTATCAATTGACAAGATTTATTTTCAGTTGTTCTGTATTTCTGGTAGGGATAGCAAATAATATTGCACAGATTAAAACCAATGTACATAGAATGTTAGAGTAGGTAGCATAATGATATTTGCCTATGCAATTTGATAACAAATGGCTAAATAATGAGCAGGTAGCCTAAGAAGCTCAAGCTAGTTGGACCAATGACATGTTGAGCACTAGAAGACATGGTTTTTGTGTATTTGATTTCTAGCAAGTCAGTTTGTGAACAATTGTCAGGACAGAACTATCGATTTGCTGCATGATAAACAATCACAAATTATTTTCTACCAGTTTCTCTTGAAATTTAAATCTATTAATTACCAAAGTTCAAGTTTAGTTTTATTACTAAACTGTAGGCTGATTCCTAACAAAGTTTGTAAACTAGATCACTTTCTTGGAGTAATACATGTGTAGATAAGACCTGAATGGTTCATATTTTAACCCTCTTCAGATGCCATAATGCAATTTTCCCTAATTCTTCTTCCTCTTACAGCCTGATGAGCTACTGACCACCCTGATCCAGACCTGGGTTGACCGCATGGACCAGCTAGCTGCGGCAGAGCGCAGGAAACTGACCGGTCTAGCGTTTGCATCCCTGATGACCAGTTCATCAAGGGCTGTAATGGAGAGGTTACCGGACATGATGTACATCATTGTTGAAGTACTTCATGACGTGTGCAGAGAAGAGAATGATAAAAAACTAGAGTAAGAACCCTTCCTTAATTTACAGTTAATAACTATATTATTCACACTCTTACCAACTTTTGTAATCTTCTAAATATGTGAAAAATTGATTTGACCCAACTTATTTTTCTTGAGAATGTGACATAATAAAGCATACATCTGAAAATATACAACAAAGGCTCTGATTCAGCCAGTCCACCTTTCGTACCTGAGTTACAAAAAACACACCCAAAAAAATTATAAGGGGTATGAATCTATTTAGTTGTTTAGTGTAATTGTATGACAAAAACACAAAAATACAAATTTAGAAGGGGTATAAAATTATTTAGTCATTTAATGTAATTGTATGAAAAATGTCAAAAGGGATAGGAACAAGCCCTTTTAAAGCTCGTTTAAATGAGCTACGGGAAACTGCCACAGTTTACTGCTGATTCTTATGTAATGAATAAATGGCAAGTGGGGATGAACAATGTGCTCCCTTATCGTGTGTGTGTGTGTTATGAGATACAAAATTCGAAGCACACAACGCCTAAACATACCCCATGGTTTATGTGAACAAGCTTTTAAAAAAGTGTTATTTTTATACATTTAAAACATTTTTTTATGTGAATCCATGCTTATTATTGTTTGATTTATTTCATGCACACGTTTTTTTATTTGTTTTATGCGACATGAATAATGGGTGAAATTAAGTTAAAGTTCTATGCATTCCTGTCTTGTTCAATCTTTACTCTGTTTCTCTGTTTCTCTGTTATGAACCCGAATGCCTGTACTCCTAGTCTTGGATATGAATTTTTCCCCCCTCTTTTCATACCTTCACAATCTGTACAGTTACCTAGTTATGAGTGAAGACCGCAGTGATGAAATCGATGATGAGTACGAGACTCTACATGACAAGAGAATGAGAGAGGTAAGAATTCATTTACAGTCAAACTCTACCATAGTCCAGTTATGGTAGTCTTTATATGCAGGTGGTCTTTCTGAACAGGTGTTTTGTTTAGTGTTACCTAATTTAGCAGTTCTTGTTGTAAGTTGATTTATTGTCATAAGCTGCGCATGAGCTAGAAAATGTCCATCTAGCAGGTTTATTTCATTACTCTTTCTTCTGTTAATGAACTTCATGTACAAATTAGCACAGCATGTATGTAAAGAACCAGAATGAAATAAGTCAGTAATGTCTTTTAGATATTAATCTGCAATATTTGATTATATGACAAAAATATTTTCATTGGCCACTTTAGCCAAAGTAGCCAACTAGAACAGCTGAAGACATCGTTGCCTCAACCGCCTCCAAGAAATATAGTTAAATCTTCAATATAATTCATTTTTTCCAGTGATCTGTCTTAAATGGAAAAAGTAGATATGGTATTGAAAACATACATTTTTACTACTTTCTTGTTTGTTCCAGCTTTCGAGGCAAGATCCTATACACAACACCTCCTTCCCAGAATATGTCAAGTTCCAGATGGGAAAGTGTGAGAGGTTGCATGGTCCTGCTGTCTTCCAGCAGATCATGGACTCGATTGATGAAGAAGTCTTGCAGCAGCTGAAAGGCTTCATTTCATGATGAGCAGTATGAAACGTGTCTGGAAGACCCTTGTATGGACTGAAAGAGGCATCTAAAGACTAGATGTATGTGATGATGATGATGATGATTCACAGGATTTATATGGCATATCTATTTGTTTTAAAAGAACATTCAAAGGCGTGAGCTCTTCCAATAAAGTTAGCATTTAGACCAGGGCGAAGATGACGCCGCTTAATTAAAGATGACACATATCCGAGTCTGACCATCAGTTGCCTTAAATGTGAGCAGCAGGACCTTGAATTCAATTCCTTCAAATCTCACCAAGTTTTTAGACACATTTAAGAGACTTCTTCTTACTATTACTAGGGACATGCGAGACATCTAGAAGACTCCCTATCATAATACAAAGTGACATGAGTGGTGACCTATGGGATGTTTCATATATCACCGAGTTTTAGGAAAGCATCAAAGAAACACCATAATATCAGCAGTGAGTGATATGAGAAGCAATCAAAGGACTCCTTCACAACACAAGTGACTTTTGTGAGAGGCAACCAAATAATTCCTTCAAATATTACCAAGTTTTTGGAATGGCATCAAGTATACACCTTCATAATATCAATGAGGGATATGAAAGGTAATCAAGGACTTCTTCATGATGCTTCAGAGACATCCAGCAAGTCTTCCAAATTGCAAGGGACTGATATGTAAAACGTCACAGGTTTCTTCATGGACTGGTTACTGATATGAGAGATATCAAGAGACTCCTTGATACATGTACCACACCTGACTGATTTGAGTGACATCCAATTGTTTCTTGACTTTCTTCATAGGATTTACTTGACAGGCATCCAAAAGATTCCTCTAAATCTCAGTTATCTGTAGGAATAGTATGTAAGAGATGATGTCAAATGGCGATGATTGAGATTTCATGTTTACACAGCTTCATGTATCCCATCTGTTCTCTGTAAGACCTTTGATTATAAGGTACATTTCATCCTGTAGAAGACACCAACAGACAGATACTGCATTTAAATGTTAAGATTAGCTAAGTAAAGAGCTTTATTCATTGTAGAATTCCTTCGTCTAGCCCTACAAATAGAATCTTGCAATAAGGGAGTTTACAGATAGCACATGGTACAAATGACCCTAAATATCCACAGATCTTTTACACATGGAGAAGTTCCACTTTGAGCATCTTAGAATAATAACTGCCAAAGTCCTAGATGTACTTCATGAATACATTTTGTTTGACCTCTTGAAAAGAATACTTCCACCTGCATATCATAGAATGTACCGTTGGTGCATAAATGAATAATGTTACATAACTTTCATGAGCGCATATCCAATATTCATCTCTGTGGGTTTTACCATTTTGGTACAAATGACCTTTATCTGCCCATGCGCAGATTGTATCTGTAAACTCCCTTATTTAGCCAGATATGCAAGAAGTGATTCCTACACACTGACCATACATGTATTATCTCTGTGCCTTATAGTTTCTAACACATAAAAAAGAACTACATGTATATAACAAACAAATTATATTGAAACTAAACTTGATCATGATAACAAATGTCCTTGTTTGTAATGGAAACTTACTGCAATTTATCCAGATGTGCAAAGAAGTGATTCCTACACACTGACCATACATGTATATCTCTCTGTGCTTTATAGTTTCTAACACATACAAAGAACTACATGTATATTACAAAAAAATTATATTCAAACTAAACTGGATCATGATAACAAATGTCCTTGTTTGTAATGGAAACTTAACGCAATTTATCCAGATGTGCAAAGAAATGATTCCTACACACTAACCATACATTTATATCTCTCTGTGCTACATAAAAAAAGAACTACATGTATTATATATTACACAAAAATGATATTCAAACTAATCGTTATCACGAAATGTCCTTGTTTGTAATGAACATTTATTGAATGTGAAAAAAACATTGATGTCTTCAGACACATGGCTTGAACATGAAAAGAATCATAGTTTTTACTTTCTTATGCTTTAATAATTGGTAAATGACCAACCAATATTTGCCAAATTGGTTGTGTGTAACGGATCAACAGTTGTTTCTTTCAATGTTTATACATGTAGGTGGGTAGAAAGCTTACTAATTCACTTATTTGTAATAGCTATGGGCTGTTCCTCAGTATCTCTGCAAGGTGAAAATATGTAACTCTATGTAGCATTATGTATCTTAAAGTTTTTGGGAAAAGATATCCTAACAAATGTCTTCACATATAGTTTAATGTAACCTTTCTATAATTTAAATGACCGAAGTTTTGGTATGGGGTCATGACTTTGGTTCAAATAAACATATTGGAAGCATATGCAATTTTACAATATTCATTGATCGTTGTCACGGTTGAAATAGAGTCTAAAGTGATGAAATTGTAAATTATAGACTCTTTATATTGTATAGCTCCCTCTCAAGACTGATATTACTTAACTTTACTACTTGTTTTTTGACTACAATAGATCGATTTGCTTTTCCCTTTTGGAAATTATATATCACAACTGCATATTCTGCATGGTCGCAGCTACAGTGTACCATGACATGGCCTGAGGCGCTCTTTAAAATATTTGAAATTCACCGGGAGCACCGTTAAATTTTGATTACCGGTATTCAAATTCTCGAAAGCAGGAGTGTTTTAGGAGCTAAATTTCCTATTGTTTATAATACATTCACAGGGGCATCCAAATATGTCAAAATTTTAAAGATTTACTATCCATCCAATTTTCAAAATTTCCCAAAACTTTGCATTACCTTTTATGTTAACAAAGCAAAGAAGCTCTTAATTGTGAACATCATTATCTTAAATGGTTCCTTTCCACCATAAGGCATCGTATTCAACGAGTGATGATGATGATCCACAGTACTTGTATGCCACCATTTATCTGTTTCAAACATTCAAAGGCGCCCGCTCCTACACTAGTTATAGACTACACATTAGCTTGAGAAGATGGGTTTTGAGGCCCGCCTTTATACAGCTTTCTAGCTTGTCAGTGTTGAGAAGAATAGGAGGGAAGGAGTTCCTGTGTGAAAGATACATGGCTTATAGCCAATTACCATACAGTAGTGTAGATCCAAAGTCTCTTTACACCAAATCATGTCATCTTACAAAATTTCATAGGAATGTTTAACCTGTATTTCGCAGCGGAATAAGGTGTCGGACTTGTAATGATTTTATAATCTGTTGTTGACAGCCAGAAGGGCATTGACTCCTTTATATATTAACACATATTAAATGTCTTTCTGGCTCTCAATAGATGAATTTTTAAGAACTGACATTGGCCCGAATTCACAAAGCAAGGTTTGAGCTCAAACCTCCTTTTGTTTCGCCAAACCTCCTTTTGTTCTTTACAAACCAGGTTTGTAAAAAACGCGTAAAACGAGTCATATGACGTACGAAAACCAAGGTTTGTCGACAAACCTCCTTTGTGAGTTTGGGCCTTTATGTTCAAGCGTATTGAAATATATGACAAAATGGTGTGTAATGTAAAATGTATAAATAAAGAAATTATTTATATGCCTTTCAAATACAGACCTGTGTTTTTGAGAATTGATTTGTACTGCAGTCTCCTGACAAGAATACAGTGGAACATCAGTATAATGAGCTCTGATATAATGAGGTACCTGTTATAACAAGGTCCTCGTTATGAGTTTCCAGTGTATATATATATATATATATACATGTATATAAAGTGTGTCTCATTTCTCTTTATTGTATCCGATGTACACAATCTTCCATGTCAATTGGATGAAGTACATAAAACTAGTTTTAGGGTTCTGTTTGCATCTTCATATATCATATATATTACATGAAGATGCAAAGGAAAATCTAGAAAAGGATAATTGCTAGTTTTATGTATTTAAGTCCTCAAAATTGGAGTGCATAAAAAAAGAAATTCCTATAATGATTTTATGATGCAATAGCCAAACTTCTCAAAACGCTTTTGATTCTAAATTGCAAGCAATTGGTGTGACATAATATAATGCAAACGTGAAAGGGTGAAATTATTCAAGCAGCATTGACAATGAGAAGGACTGTGATGGATGGCTATGCCTTTCTGTCCCCTCACGTACGTACATCAATTATGCACACAATTAATGTTTGATTGATTTTCCAAATTTGTTTTCAATCGTCATCAATATGAGTGGGGAACTTTTCTGATTGTAGTTGTCATAAAAAAATGTACCTGTACAAATTCACCTACTCTCTCTTTCTCTCTTTTTCTCCCTCTTACTCTGCCTGTCTGTCTCTTCTCTTTTTTCTCCCATCTTTTTCTCCTTTCTCTTTTTTCTCATTTTCTCTCTCCCTCTCCACATCTCTTCCATTCCTGTCTATCTGTATTGTGCACTCTCCTATATCTGTCTTTACTTAAATATTTGTATTCTGATTATTATTTTTCGTTTCACCTAGCTCCTTTTTGTCCTTTCCATGTGTTTCTTATCTGTACAAGGTACGTGTGTGTATTGGGTTTTCACAGACGTGTATCAATCAGATATGATTATTTACGTCTGTGGACCGACCTTTAAGCGTCACAATGCAAAAGACGTGACTCAGTTTCGAACATGCATCCTCGGCTGAATCAGTTTGTAACTTTTTAACTGGATTACAGGCGCACACCACAACGCCTAGTTTTATTACATTTTATACGTTTACATAATACATGAAAGTTACAGTTCATTTCGCTGGTCTCTTGGTGAAGTAGGCAAGTTGGCGATCACTACATAATACTGAGCCAACGGGTATTACACCCCCGCGCGTAAAAGGTTCGCACGATGGCTTGTTGTTCTTGGGTTTTAAGGCTGACCAATCTAAAAAAGATTATTTCTGCCTGGCTGTGCTGTTTTTTTTTAAAGTTGTTCATCACTGATAATTATTAGATGGCGCTGTTTCTTTTCCTCTTCAGTGGGTATCATGTACTGTGCAGATTCCGTTTATTCGATGGTGCGGGCAATAATATTAGGTGTCGACCATGAACAGGGTGCGAGTATTTTATTAATAATAGGGGTTAACTGTGCAGCGCTAAACTATACTTTCCCTTCCTCTCCAAGAGAATAAATATAAAAAGGCATCGCACTAGTGTCCCTATATATAAGGGACACTACATCGGACGTCCGTGTGCTGCCCTCTATATACCAAAGCTTGAGATACTGGCTTAAAATTAGAGTGAAAAGATAGCTCTAAATAACACCTTTTCGGCTCAAATTTATATATCACACACTACATAACTCAATGAAATTGATATTAACTAGAAGGTACTTTAATCATCGACCTTTTGAGGCCAAATCCATGGTGATTAGAGGTCTAACTCAAAAGTTATCTTGCAACTCGATGTGAACACACCAAAAAAAACACCCATCTGCAGTAAGCCATGCCAGATACAGCAGTATGTTAAGATAGTGGTTGGATATAATATTAGTAATCTGGGTTTATCTGAGATTTAATACGTCTACAATGTCTCTTGGCGCTTTACATATTTTAATAATACCCTGGTCATCGGATTCAAGCTTTCCCGCACATACACGCTCTCCATTCCTTGTTGTCTGTTGAGCATTTTAGCCAGGCGCAATTTTTTTTACAGATAGAGCAAACTACAATGACTGTCTTATCCTACCGGGTGCCTTTATTGGGTGAAGAGAAGCAATTATAAAATACCTTGCTTAAGGATACAGGTACCATGCCAGAGATCGAATCCACGACCTTCGGATCTCCAGAGTTAAATTAACTCGCATAATCCTTAACCTTGTTAGAATATCACAAATTAACCTTTTGACACCAATCATATTGATCAGTCGGTTG